GGATGAAGGACTCGAGGATGAAGGACTCGAGGATGAAGGACTCAGGGATGAAGGACTTAAGGATGAAGAACTTGAGGATGAAGGACTTGAGGATGAAGGACTTGAGGATGAAGGACTCAGGGATGAACAACTTGAGGATGAAGGACTCAGGGATGAACAACTTGAGGATGAGAGACTTGGGGATGAAGGACTTGGGGATGAGAGACTTGGGGATGAGAGACTTGGGGATGAGATAATGAGAGGTCGAGAGGTTGGAGTAGAGGATTTGAAGATAGTAGGGAGAGAGGAGAGAAAGAAGAGTTGGGAGGTAGAGGGAAAGCCTGGAAGGTGGTTTGCAAAAGGAAGGAACGTGTCAGCAGTAAATAGGCAATTTTGGATTGTGTGAGTAGTGAGAAAAATCTTACTAAAATAACTTCATTACTCTAAAACTTGTACTGAATATTGCTACAAAGGTGATGTAAATCTGACCTAGACTAGCTTGGTGACGACCACGGTTCTGCACTGACTCACAACATCAAATACAGTCATCTTTTGTGTCTCTAGTGCCAGATGTACAGTAAAATCCATTATCGCCCCCTGGAACTTGACTATACACCGAGTTTCCAGTTCCTCTTGCATGTTTAAATTTTTGTATCTTAGGTTTGACTTCCCTGAGAGTGAAACTCTTGGACGTAGTTAAGAGCAACAGTAAGTAATTCCGCATCCTGTTCGTCAGCTTTGATACAACTAGTAAGTAGAAGGCAAGATGATTGAACTCGGCAGACGGGATCTTTTGAAAAATGGCCATCTTGGAATGCGAGGATTAAGATACAACCATATGTTCTACGGTCTGGATATGTATCAGGCAATACACTTGGATGAAACTCTCTTCACCGGTAGGAATTTTCTTTAAGATCTAAAGTCGGCATAATTGTGCTAACAGGAGCGCAGTTTAACTGCAATCTTGCGGGCTCGGCATGAAGAGGGCAAATCTCGCCATATGACCTCGCACCGTCTTTGACGAAAATCAAGCAGCAGACGCCTTTGGCTCAATTCAGAAGGAAGCCCACATCGGCGAGATTCTGCTTGATGGGATTCCTGTAGGTAAGGCTGAGCTGCGTACTGAGCCTTACAACCAATCGGTCGATTTTGCGAGAAGAAAATTGCGTCGTATCTCTTGGTATGAGGGCTGGGGGGCTCGGTTCGTACGACCTGGATAGTGGAGGAAGGGGCAAGATGTCTCATCTTTCTTTCTCCATCGGCGCAGTCATCCAGCAATCAAGCCTTTGCCGCGGAGCTCCAGGCTATGGGCTGTGTCGGGAAATGCGCTTCCGGCAGCGTTCTGAAACTCGATGATATCACGATGGCCGTGCGAAGTTGCCTGGTGCCCTTGAGTGGCGTGGTCCAGAGTGGCAGGGTGTCTACGGGTGTAGCACCGAAGGTCACTGGCACTTGGAATCTGCGGCAAGCAATGACAAGAGAGACCCTTGACTTCTTTATGGCTTTCGGTCCCACCGGGGGAGGTCTGCGAAAATTCTGGGCAAGCTGATCAAGCAGCAGGTATATGTTCTTTGACCGTTCACTTAATATCAACGCCGGAGGGGACTTCCGTCTTCGGTCCTAGATCTTGGCGCTGTGGGTGAAATCGGGCTCATCAATGAGACACTTATCACCATGCAAGCCATGGGCTCAGCAGGAACCTGGTTATCTGACGAGGGGCACGTACTTGAGAGTCTTCAGCAAGCCATCCTGGAATCGCATTCTCCTCCTTGATGAGCACCCACCTCCATTTTTGTGAAACGCGAACCGCCGCCCCCACGATCGCAGGTCTGGAAACAGCAGACCCATGCCAAATCCAAGCGTGCGACCGATGTGATCTCTCGAGGCCATGCTATCCATCTGCCCACACATAGAACAAAAGAGTTTGCAGCAGGGAGACAGTATAGCTGCGGGAAATGTCATCCGGGACCTGCTAATCCGGGCCGAGAAGGATCAATCGCTGCTGCATCGTGTTGAGGCTAGAGAATTGATAAATGCGAAGCTCTTCGAGTTGGCTGCTACCAACTGGGCCGAGGTTCAGGAAATGGATGTGACCGAGCGACTGGAGATGGTGATCGATTCGCTCGTCGCGATGGAAATGAGAAGCTGGATGCGGCGGAAATTGGATCTCGGACTCGCCATGCCACAAATTGCCAAGGCCAAGACTGTTCGGGGTCTAATGGTCTGGCCATGAGAAAACTTCATATGAAAAATGCGGCTGGTGCTGATGCAAAAGGAGAATGGGTAGTGGACACAACACTTTTTTAAGAATAGAAGAGACTTTGTGTGGGTAGGAGGCAAAAAACGTGGTTCAGACTGACGTGGTGGCTTATCAATAACTTCTTAGATGATGGTCGAATTGATGATGGGCATGCCGTTTTCGTTGTTTCGTTTCCTTCCTTATTGTAGCTGCCTTTCTGCTTCAGCTTTATTTTATGGAGGTTCGACAAAAATTGAAAGGGGCAAAGAAAAATAAGCACAAAAAGCAAGGCCCGAGCCGCGGATCGAACGCGGGACCTCTCGCAGATATGCTTGGGTTTGGAATCCCTAAGCGAGAATCATACCACTAGACCACCCGGGCTTGTCATGTGATTCGCAATCTTGGAAGGCAACATGATGAGAGACTCGGAAGAATGGACAGGTCACCATCTCTTCCGCTGTGCTATGCCGCAAATCGTACGATCATGATAACTATTGCTTGGATTACCGAACTGACATCTTCCTTGTGAAGGCTTGCAAGCCTCAGCACTATATTGAAATTAAAGTAGATTCTCGTGGTTACTTGAGGTTCGTATAACTCATCACATTCAACCTTGCGTCCGGCCGTCGTCCCGGTGCATAATATGTTTCCTAGAAAATGCGGCGACTGAAGTATAAGACGTCGTTGAATTGAGCAGCGTCTATGGGTCTCAAGAGAGAGACTCGATAATAAAGAAATATCATGGAGACCGGCATTATGTTGTATAACGCGCCCAGCAGCCTTCCAAATCAACCCATATATTATACATTATCTACCTACAATCTATATCTGTCTATCTAACATTCACCTTGGAGGAAGGTTTCGCCTCTGAGAGAAGAAACTCCCACATTCTTTATAGATCCCAGAGTGAACTCAATCACTTCATCATAACCTGAAATCCACCCTCCATCCCAACATCCAACCCTAGAAACTCCGCCGCCAGTCCCAGATGATCCACACCCCAGAATCCCTCCTTCTCCCCGGTCGGACTCGTGCACGCCAGCCACGGCAATCCGAAAGCCCCCTCCTCAATCGCTCGATGCGTGTTCGCCTCTAACAGGGTCTTCCCTTCGGTTTGTTTCTCCTGCGATGGTCAGAATACATCCTGCTTATTCACCCAGATTTGGGTGCTTTAAGGAGGAAAGAGACTTAAGAGAAGAACATACCTCAGCCATCAGCACCTCCACGACATCTCCACCCAACACATCTTCGAGAACCTTCGTGTACCCCTCAGACTCCGTGGCCGAAGCCGAGTCGCCGTCCGCCCAGACGGAGGTATACAGTCGCTCCACCACCTCCACCACTTTCTCCGGATGGGACACGGCGACGAGTGCAAGGAGGGACTGGATATCGGTCGTTGGGAAGGGGAAACCCGCGGGTACGGTCTGGGACATGGGTATATTGAGGCGACGGGACCAGGCGAGGCGGTGGCGGTTGATGTAGATTAGTTTGTCTGAGATCGATTGTTGTTAGCTTGTGTCGTTGTGGTGGGTGGTTGATTATCGGGTTAGGATCAAGCGGGAGATATATACTTTTGACGGCAATGGGTGGAGGGCTTCCGCAGGTAGTGAGGATGGTGCGCAGGGAGACTGGGGTGTAGATTATTTTGCAGCTTTGGAAGATTGGAGAGTTCTGGTTTGAGAGTGTTAGTGGCTTGGGTGGTGATGGGTTCAGGAGTGAGTGGTGCTGTACCTTGAGGATTTGGAATGCGATGTAGCTGAATGGGCTGACGAGGTCGAAGTAGAGGGTTATCTCGGGGGTGGGTGGGTGGGTGGCCATCGTGAAGAGTTTCTTGCTTGATAGAAGGCGTTGCTTTTAATGATCGATTATAATTGTTTGAGTAACATTGAGAGTGAAAGTAGTCCTAGAGTTTATATAGATGATGGGAGTATACCATGGATGAGCTGTGGCTGCTGTGGCTGAGTGTACCTGAGGCCTTGATGGGTGACTCAGGCACACAACTAAACTGGTTGAGACGCGGCGTGTCAACCCCAACCTAAGCCAATTTGGGATTCCCTGCCGCTCTGGGAAACATTGAGGCTGCCTCACCCATTCTGCCGCTCAACCGTGATTTTTGATTATTCTATCATTCCGGCTGGTTGGCTCAACTGTTTGCGTGTGGTTTCTCCTTGAAGTTTATGGTTTGGGTTGTTTGTCATGGATTTTTTTATCAGCTGGAGTGCTTCTGATCTCTCTATAGTTGATTGTACTGTGTAAAAACAACTGTTTACGATCACGGTGAAAGGCAGCCTCGGGCATGAATGAGGCAGCAACCCGATCCGCTGCATCGAGTCAATCCGGCTCCAGGGCGGGATATAAATTACTGTACGTGCCGCTTGGGACATCTGTTCAAAGGTACCAGCCAAGCTTCGATCTGCAATCGCACATGAAACAGATCGTACCGTAGACATTCAAGCCGACAAGTCAAACTTTTCTCGTTTACCTATTTTGACTGGACATATCGCGCATGATTGGTCGTATGTAGGTTGAGGTGCTGCGCAAGTCAACGGTACTTGAAGTGCCTTGCCTTCCGGGTTTGGAGTATGTAGATAGGGACTTCCTTTGCCGCACATGCAAGGGGATTAGCATAGGTCTCATTATAGGGAAGACTATGCTCATCACTAGAATGGGCATATGCAAGCTTTTCCTCTTGTCATTAGGTGCACGACAAACGAAAGGAGCTTCAGAGCAATCAGACCGGCTTCCAACGCACTTCTTCTCGGACTTAGAGTGGGCAATTGACTCCATCTCGCTATGAGGTCCGACTGTCCGAAGCAGTTGAGAATCTGTGCCACTTGTGTACATAGTCCACCACTGTGAAAGACTGGGTGAAGATCTCATCGTACGATGAACTTCGATTGCATCTTCTGGCGCGATTCAGGAGATACATAGTTGATGCGTTGAGCCAGATGAGCGGTCAGGGGTAAAAGATCATCAATGGCATGGTCTGCTGTTGCTGCTTTTTACCTTCGATGCTCAGGCAAGAGTCAGCTATCATAGCATTGTACATCACTATCCCCCTACCCAAGATCAGTACGAAGAAGCACTTGAGGTTCGGAGGGAAAGGGGAAAGATGGTACCGGAATGCCTGGCCGAGGCTATATCTCCTAATGTCGATTGATTCGTCCTTGGAAGGTCTGAATGATCGGGTGCGAAAGTGCTTGAGCAGTGGAGGTGTAGGATAGACATCTGGTGGGTCACGGGTCTACACTGATTTCCCTTTCCGTCACTTCCGTCAACAACTTCAACCCCTTCATCTACTGCCGCCCAACTGAGAGCGCAATCCTCTTCACCAGTCCCCACAGCTCCTCTTTTGCTCAACTCGGCGAGCTCTCATCGAGCATGATACTGTTATCACCCCACCAGGATCATATTCATCGGACGCGCCTATCCCCTTCAGCGCCACAGATTTCAACTACATGGCTCCTGACTCCCCAGACGAGCGTACTTCTCCAATCTTGATTGCTGTATCTCAGACTCAGAGATAGAGTCCTCTGCCTGTTTACCTCTTTCTTATTGAGCTCTACGCAGGTGCAATTCTTCAGGTGGACTCGTGTCGGGTCTGGGGATATGTCCACGTCAGCTTATAAACTCCGCAAATTGACTTGGCTTGGCACCTAGTATGTATGCTTCCTTGCAGAATGACAGAATCTTATCAACAAGAGACTAAAGCCTGGTTGATTTAGGTTGAGTGCCCTGATCCAATCATAGACCAAAATTTATCACCCGTCGTATTCGCTCCTCGGATCCACGTCAGCTCATATTAGACTCCGCAAATATTATCAGGGTATCGGAACAATGGCGCCGAGGAAAGCCTTTCCATCCATCCAATATCGCACGAATTAAATCAAGAGGTGAGACCGAGGATAGCTGCTCTGGATTTATTGCTCTCCTAATCAGATGACCCATAGGTGCAATATGCGTGATATGAAATGCAGAAAACTTTGCCGGACACGGTCTCAATATGCCGACGCTGCCAAGACACGTGGAAAATCCCTACTGATGCAGGATTGATTGCCAGAGGAGTAGCCTGGGGAGGTGCGTAAACGCCTGATGCTTGACCAGAACTCAAAAATCCATCGCCCAATGATTGAAACTCTCTGCCGGTGCTCCCGTGAAGATACTCGTGGAAAAAGTGTTCAAGGTGTGCCATGTTGCGGACGTGGTGTTTTGCAGCCACGGCCCATGCGCAACTTGCACGAGGTTTCCGGTGCTTGATTCCGGAATCCCGCCAATCAGGAAATCCAAGACTTTCCTTTTTGTTTCAGGGGGTGCGAACATGGACAGGGGCAGAATTGGCGCTTTGACACGGACATTGCCCGAATTCGCGATGTGCAGCAGCCTTGGACCTTGGGGGCACTGTATCAATTCAGTGTGATATCAATCACTCTGGGCATGCGTTCACGAAGGAGGTCGAGTTACGAACCTGTTTCTGTTCCAAAGAGACCCTGTTACACTGTTGAAGCCACCCCTGGATGCCCCCACAAGCCGACCGTCGGGGATCGGCGTTTGTGAGCAGCCCTAAAGCTCTCCTGTTTCGGATCTGAAGTGGGTCGGCCCTCCAATTCACCACACCTTGTATTGACCCATCGACTATTCATGCTCACGTTGTGGTTGTCATTAAGCTTAATCATTGGAGGTTAAACATTGATATTAATCAGAGACAGGGATCGCTATGATTGCACCATTTGAAATGAAGCACCCACCAGGAACGGAGAGAACTGGGCGGTGATAGGATCCACTAGTCTCGAGAAGCATTAGAAGCTTCCTCGAACGCCTCCACCGGACTCTAGCCGCCGGTCGACTTGCCTGAACCTTCTTAGTGATTTCAGATATAGTTATCTTTACTCAACTGGGGTCTGCAGATATCCCGCTGCAAACCCCACTCCAGTCTCCTGACGGATATGAGACAAATACCGACCCAAGAGGGAAATGGCGCACTCAGGCTGCAAGCATGCTGCTGAACGGAACGTATAAAAGGCCTTTCGTCTCTCTACATTGAACCTTACCTCGCCGATCCAGTCGATCATACACTCATATCAATCGCAAAAATGGTTAAATCAGTCTTGGCTTCCGCTCTCTTCGCCGTGTCCGCACTGGCTGCCAGCCGTACCACGGCTCCCTCCGGCGCGATCGTCGTCGCCAAGTCTGGTGGTGACTACACTACTGTAAGAATTTCCGCATGAGTTATGCACTAGGCACGATACTGATACTCGCTTAGATTGGTGATGCCATCGATGCTCTGAGCACCAGCACCACCGACACCCAGACCATTTTCATCGAGGAGGGTACCTACGATGAGCAGGTCTACCTTCCTGCTATGACTGGCAAGGTGATCATCTACGGCCAGACCGAGAAGTACGTTGGGGTGTTGCCTCTGATCAACATAATGCTGACAGTTGTTTTAGCACCGACTCGTACGCCGACAACTTGGTCACCATCACCCACGCCATTAGCTACGAGGCTTCGGGTGAGAACGATGATCTGACTGGTAAGCCTGATTTGATCGGATTGACAATCAGTAACTAACAAGAACAGCCACCTTCCGCAACAAGGCCGTCGGCTCTCAGGTCTACAACCTCAACATTGCCAACACCTGTGGTCAGGCTTGCCACCAGGCTCTGGCCTTGTCCGCCTGGGCTGACCAGCAGGGATACTATGGCTGCAACTTCACCGGTTACCAGGATACCCTCCTGGCTCAGACCGGTAACCAGCTCTACATCAACTCCTACATTGAGGGTGCTGTGTAAGTGATTGACAGCTTATAGACGAAGCTAGCACTAACCCGTCTAGTGACTTCATCTTCGGCCAGCACGCTCGTGCCTGGTTCCAGAACGTCGACATCCGTGTCGTTGAGGGTCCTACCTCTGCCTCCATCACCGCCAACGGCCGCTCCTCCGAGACTGACACCTCCTACTACGTGATCAACAAGTCGACCGTTGCTGCTAAGGAGGGCGACGACGTTGCCGAAGGCACCTACTACCTTGGTACGTTTACTTGCCTATCTCGCTGCGCTTCGTACCATGCGAAACAATATTAACATGATCACAGGCCGCCCCTGGTCCGAGTACGCTCGTGTTGTCTTCCAGCAGACCAGCATGACCAACGTTATCAACTCCCTCGGCTGGACTGAGTGGTCCACCTCCACCCCCAACACCGAGTACGTCACCTTCGGCGAGTACGCCAACACTGGCGCCGGTTCCGAGGGCACCCGCGCCAGCTTCGCCGAGAAGCTGGATGCCAAGCTCACCATCACGGATATCCTGGGCTCTGACTACACCAGCTGGGTTGATACCTCCTACTTCTAAGCTGGACGCTTGGGTAGTTGTTGAAGATGCGTGAGATGGCTGTCAACCAACAGCAGAGCTGACCGTATGCGGCGCATATACTTTTCTCTTCGTCAAATAGTTCCCCTTTGATAAACCAATTTAATTGGCATGCACAGCCCATGCTTGACACAATACTCTGACACGACCCTGTTGTAAACCTCCCATCAATCCAATTTCACACAGACGGCAGCATAATTCAGTACCCGGGCCCCATATCAGACAACCTTAGCTCGAGCAACTCCATAAGCGGTATCGTCTTCCCCTTCACCCCGTATAGCTCCCACAATCGCCTCATCTCATCAATGCTCACTTGGGTCCCGCGCCCTTCATTCCCAGCACGAGCCGCGAGGTATATGCGTATATGCCCGCCCCCGAGCTATCAACCCTGCAGCACGCTTCATCAAGGCTGGAAAAGGGGGGATCCCCCGCTTCCACCGCTAGGCGTGTATCCTGGACGCTGATGAAGTATCCGATCCCGTATTCGTGGCCGACGGTGATTTTGATCGGGCCTTGCTTGAACTCGTGATGCATCTTTTCGTCCTTTCTTTTCCAAGATACGTTCTCTCTTTCTCTGCTTCTGGGTCAAACCGAGGAAGTATGTTGTTAAAGTTCTGGTAAGAGATATCAACGTGCGATTCAGAGATTGGTCGTCAGCGCCGATGTTGGGAATATGGTGGATTTTTGCAGGAGAAAGACTAGCCGGTAGGCCTGTAGACGAGAGATGCTGTATCGACTGTCAGCGAGCAAGGAGAAACTCTTCAAAGTAAAGTTCCTTCACTGGGCCTGAACTGGAGGCTGGTGAGCTCCGGGTGATGATGTTCGTTGATGTCATCCGGGACTGGGTTGCGGGTGCTCCTGCGGAAGGTACAGTACAGTTGATTTCGACTAATCGAGTCACCCGGTGGTCGCGTTCTTACTCCGCCTGTTCGTTCCCCATCATGATTACATAGTACACTCCAAGGGAATTGATCCCGAGCTGGATATTGTGCAAGCCTGCGCACTTGCGAATTCGGCCTTTTCGAGTGCTAATCGACCGGGTATTGCGCAGCAATTGTGATTTCATGCGTGGAAATAAATATCCGTCCGATACTCACGCGCCACAAGCACTGCTCTTCGCAGGATAGGGAACAAGGACTCCCATGGCTCACGAGACCTGTGCCTTGTCTTTTGTCATCCCACGCGACCTCTGGTAATTAAGTTGAGGGGTGGAACAGGGCTGACAACGTCTACAGTAACTTAATGGTTATAGCATACCCCCGGCCGAATTAGTACACACGGAATTCTAAGTCCGCGCCAACTGGCGGTGCACCATACCACCCCTACAGAACTCTACATTTTGTTCATCTGCACAGCACCTATAAAGCTAAGTACTGTACACCTAAGTCAAGCCACACCACACCAGTACCTATGTAAGTATCGCAGCTACATAAGCATAACATAAGTATAACCACACCCATCCCAAAAATGCATCAGACCCCCACCCGGCCGAAGGGGTTCAACCGTTCAACCGTTCAACCTGCACGCCCATTCCTCGGAAGAGTTCACCAGCCTCTAGCAGGCACTGCAGTTATCAATCTACGCCAGATGAACCCATACAGCCAATCGAGCCAGACATCCCAATTTTGCCACAGGTCCCCAAGTCCAGGTCCCGGCCGAGAGGCTTAAGTGGCCTTATATCGCCTGATTTTGCTGTTGGTACGTGAGGGACGGGTGTCTGAATCAGGGGAAATGAGAGTCTGCCGTCGTCAGGGGTGGACCCGCTTCAATGCCCGGCCACGAATCCCGAGACAATCCCGACACAATCGAAATTTTCGACCAATGGGAGCTGGGGACACGACTCGAAGGCGTTTGTGATTGGGTGCCGTTCTGCCAAGTGTTCTGAGGAAATTCTTGGGCTAGGCTGGATTTGGATAAGCGTGCTATGGTTCGAAGGACGGTTTTTGACCGCTGCTTCGGCGGTGATGGTCGGGTTGTCCGCGGAGAGGTTGAACCTTTGTTTGCCCAGTGCCTTTGGGGACGGGATTTCCGTGGATTGGAGAGAAGGGGTTCATTATCTATTATATCGAAGAGTATGTACACTATAACTGTGTACAGTAAACACTGGTTCATGGTTTGCCATCTCTGAAATCAAACCTCACCGTAGAGATACCTCAGCATCCACTCTACCGCCTCCTTCAACTCTCCTGGTTCGTTGCAAGCTGCAAACACGAATCGGTCCGGTCGGACAATCACGTATTTTGCCTGAATGCTCTTCCCGATCAAGCACGGATCATACGACAGGGGTGCAGGGCGCCGGCTGCACAGAGGTGACCGGGAGAACTCTTCAACACTGGCTATCTGGAACACGTTCGGCATCTGAATCGAGTGCTTCGGGTCCATCTCTTCCACGAGGATCGGGACGTCGTGGCTATTGAATTCTCCGCGGGACCATTCCTCCATACCTTCCAGAGCGTGTTTTGCAGAAGCGACTTCATCATTTCTCTGTAGGTAAATGAACACGCGGAACAGGGACTTCGAGCCTGAACGGTAGATGGCGTCGTCGGTAAAAAGAACCTTGCCGGCGGGGGTGCGACAATACACCTGAGGCAAGTAGACGCCTCCGTTAAGTTCAGGTATGAATGGCATGCCTGCAGAATGTCGAAGCCGGAATGGTGCTTTGTCGCGACGGCCATGTCGTAGTTGCTCTCGATAACCCGGCAAGAGCTGCATGAGCCAAAGAGACCAGTCCCGAAAGAGGATCTTTAATGGATTTCTCTCGCACACCAATTCGCCGTTTCGGACCGTCGTGGCTAATGAGATCTCGAGCTGCTGCTTGCGTTCAATATACCACGCGGTCAGGACCTTCTCGTGGTTGCGCTTGTAGGGTTGATATCGGCAGAGCATTGCAAGCCGCCACGACAGGGAGATTGCATCGCGAAAGCCAGATACTATGCCTTGACCCCCAACTGGATAGAGCGTGTGAGTAGATAATGAAGGATAAGAACGGGGACCTTACAAGGCGGAAAGACATGCGCTGCGTCGCCACACAAAATCACCCTATCCTTAGCCCACACATTGCATGTACGAGACGAGAAGTTGAAAGGGCGGCAACGGAGGACATCAATACAGTCTTCAGGGAACTGTACATCTTGATCCAGTCTATATTCTCGTTAGTACGCGCTTTTGAGCGAGGAACCCAACTTACGCGTATTTGCTCCCTTTGTGCGTCAGGTAAGGAAGAACAATCCGCTTCATCGCATCCGGCTCCGCCATGCGATCTCCATCCTCGTTACGATAGACAAGGTACTCGAACCTCCAGAGCCTATCCTCCGGAAGGCCAAAGCGACCACAAACTGCCGGTCTCTTGCGATTGCACAGAAAGCGGAACTCCGGCGGGAAGAATAAGTCGTATACGTGCTCTGGTTTGTAGCCTAGCTCCCACAAGGGAAAGCTGGGATGAGTCTCGGGTGTTGGGAGGGTCATCTTCCAGTTCAGTGCTACCCATGTCTCCTCATAGAAAGCTCTGAATATTGTCAGCACCGGTTCTCAGCTGGGAGACAAGAGACTGACTCGTGGAATTTCTCCAACATCACCCCGCGTGGCTCCAGGTAATGTTTCCGCGTGTATCCTGTCTTGCCGTCGGCCCCAACCAGGTACCGGGCGCGCACCTTGTGGTCTTTCCCATCCACGCTGTGGTACGTGCAGTACACCCAGTCGTCATCTTCCTTGATGTCGACAATTGCGGAACCGCATCGCAGGGAACAATACACGGGAGACATGGCGCTTCTCAGCTTACTCTCGAGCGTCGGCTGCTTCTGACCAATGTACCCGACATGCCCTGTTGTGCCCGCGGTCTAGTCGTGGTGAGTGACCATCAGACCTATCAGCAAGAACGGATGACTGACCTCGTTGCAATTAATCTCGAGGATGGGAGGTTTGTATAGATCGTGACCAGTGCCACTGACGAACCTGAATTCCCCCATACCTTTCGTACACTGCATTAGCTGGAAACGTCAATTGTCAACGGTAGAGAATCACGCACTGGTTCCAATCTCTGAATAGATAGAACTGTATAGACCTAGTCCCTGGACAAAGCGGATGCCGTCGTCGTCTAGTGCGATACCTCGAGGGTCGGTCGTGATCTCGGCCTCTTTCTCGACGACGACGTTGCGGATGCCCATGCGACCGAGATAGGCGGACAACATCGCCCCCGTGGGGCCACAGCCACAGATGATCACCTCGGTGGTCTCCCAAGCTTGTCGATTCGACATTTTGAGGTAGACTAACTTGTTGAGATGCGGGAAAAGCCTAGAAGTTGAGGATGCGCGGTAGATGATAAAGAGGCCTGGGGGGGAGGTGTTGGCACTGCATGCCCGGCCTGCGGGATCCTGCGAGACAACTCATCGCGGGCCACGGAATTACGGCTCTTGGTATGCGCAATCGCTGTCCTTAATTGAGCTGTTAAAGTGTGCTTGCGAGAGACTCAGGCCCATTACTGGCTGATAAGAAAGAGTATTGGGACATTGAAGAAGAGAAGGCTGAGAGCGAGCGGACGAGAGCGGAGATGAGCGGAGATGAGCGGGAGCGGAGAAACTGGCCGGGGTGAGATTGGGGCCGAGTTTCCACTTGTTGTTTCCCTTCAGGCTTGGAGCATAGACCGGCACATCAAACAATCTGCAATTCAGCAAAAAACGTTCTTGTGCGATCTTTCTCCATGACTTGTATCAGGACTCAAGAGGACTGATGATTTGTCTAAAAGGCACAACGAACTGTGTCTTGCGAGGTGACTGAGGTATAACGATGTCTTTTACACCTACATGTATGCATACTGTTTCGGCTCTAGAGGCAGCAGTCATCATGCAGCGCACTTCTCTAGCGACGATCCCTCCGACAACTTCACTGGCTGGACGCTAGTCCAGTGTGCGCTGTGAGAACATCGAGCACTCTCCAGACACCACGTATCTCATCATGCAAAACTCTAAGACTTCAGAAGGTCTTGATTGTGGTCCAGGCACGGCTTGTTGCTAATAATAATGGTCCCCAGCTCATTGAGCAGCGGCACCCGGCCAGACAAATGCTGCTTGTCAAGGCCCTATTGGGCAAGAAACCTAGATGCTTATAACGCCCCGACAGGCGAAAAGCACGTTCAGTCCTCCTGAAGGGTCTACTAACGACTTGCAAATAAGCAAAGACATCTTCATATGATAGTAAGTTAATTGGTAGTGCCATTAGCCAGTGGCGTGACCGCTCCGCATGTGTCTAGGCCTCTTCGTCTTTCGAGATCATTCCAAAACACGACTACCTCACATCGTGCGTCAAAAATGGGTCAAGATGGATCTAAAGAAGTTCCTTTGCGTGCTATCTTGCTCCTTCCGTCGAACCACTAGCCCGTACAATTAGGTATGAAATGCATTGCAATCATGGATATCCATGACAGGGCCGACGCCGAGGATACTCATTGGTCAGATACATTGCCAACCAGCGCCAGAACAACAGCTGCATGAGGTTATCAGGAACTGAAGTGTCTAGTTGCAGTCTACTTTCTCCAGAACAACAAATACTGAAGTCACTGTCCGGAGAAAACGATCTAGGCCTCGAGGAATCATCGGGAATTGATAACACGAGAGCCAGAAATCAGTCGGCTGTAGACCATCGCGACTCTCGAACTTCAAGCCTCTCGCGCAAGTCTCCTCCACGTACACACGAAAGAGCCTTCAAAATTGAGTTGCCGGCTTCTGCGACGGGATCCGGCCGTCCCGAGTACCAACCAAAATCGCATCGCGAGCAAAATCCCCCAGATGCGAACAATAAGACGATCATCCTCCGACTAAAATGACCAGGAGTACGTCTGCACGTTTAGGCAGCGATGGCTCAGGGGCATCCGGCGTCGTTCGACCGGCTCGTTCGTTTTAGCCCCAGAATGACCTCTGCGGCGCATGCATTGTCTCGCCCGTTGCCTCCTACCGACCAATGACACCACGAGTCCAAAGAACCAATAACAAAACACATTATGCATTCCATGTGGGCCATGGTGATCTGGCCGAATCCGGGGAAAGGTGAGGGAAGTCTGTGAGTGGCGGGCGGGATTTGAGTCGATGGGATTAATTAATTTCAGGGCACGGATCGGGATCAGTTGATGTCTGCCCGGGATCCGGAGTGGTGTGTCCGATCAGACCATCCGGATACCCACCAGGGCTAGCGGTCACCACAATCCAACCGAGGACGAAGAAGTACATATACTTTTAGTCTGCTCCTTGGCCTGAAAACGAATCAGCAGCGTGACGGGATATGCGCCGAGGACACGCATCATGGACTACACCTTCAACACCACCCTCGCCGCGCCGGCGACGGGCTCCTACCACGAGCTCTACGAGATTGCCAGCCTGAACCCCAAACTCTCCTTCCTCGAGAAGCTCTGGTGGACGCACTACGCCTACTGGGACAACGACATCATCGCAACAGGTCCGTCCATCCCCTCCCACCCAAAACCCCCCTGAATCCAGCGCCACCGCTAACCCCACGACCCCAGGAATCATCACCTTCCTCGCGCACGAGATCCTCTACTTCAGCCGGTGCATCCCGTGGATTATCGCCGACGCATTCCCCAGCCTGTTCCACCGCTTCAAGATCCAAGACACGAAGGCGCCGCCCTCGGCGCGCGAGCAATGGAACTGCGTGAAATACATCCTGGCGATCCACTTCATCGTCGAGCTCCCGCTGATCGTGCTCTTCCACCCGATGATGGAATTCTTCGGGCTGCAATACACCCTCCCGTTCCCGGACCTGAAAACGCTCGCCATCCAAACCACCATCTTCTTTTTTGTGGAGGACACCTACCACTACTGGCTGCACCGCGCCTTCCACTGGGGCCCCCTGTACCGCGCCGTGCACCGCGTGCACCACCAGTACGCCACGCCCTTCGGCCTGACGGCCGAATACGCCAGCCCCTGGGAGACGATGCTCCTGGGCTTCGGCACCATCGGCCCCCCGCTCGTGCTGGGCTGGTGCACCGGCCAAGTGCACCTGATGACCGTGCTGGTCTGGGTGGCGCTGCGCCAGTTCCAGGCCATCGACGCCCACTCCGGCTACGATTTCCCCTGGAGCCTCCGCCGCGTGTTCCCGCTGTGGGGCGGCTCCGATTGGCACGATGATCATCATCGGTATTTTCGCGGGAATTATTCCAGCTCGTTTAAGCATTGGGATGGTGAGTGCCCTTCATATTACCCTATATTGATGGTGGGGATGTAAGTGCTAATGGGTTTTGCAGTGTTGATGGGGACTGTTGCGGGCCCGAGGGGGAAGAAGATGAAGAAGAGTGAGTAGATGGCGGTTTGCTTGGGTTCTTTGGGGCTACCTTGGGGTTGGGGTCTGTCCTTGTGTATGATATTGTTAATAGGTAATGTTTTTAATATGAGGATATGATATGATTGAGCTCTTACGTTTCGACTGAGGTTTGTCGGCGTGGTCTGGTGATGAGGTCTGTTAACTTGGTCTGGTAGTCGATTGGGGATATTGATTTGGTGGAAGCACAGTAGAAAGGGGATCATGTGAGTGCTGAGAAGTTTGATGAGTGTGCACAAAAGAATCGTCGTTCTTGGAAAGGTACATGTCTATGTAGTAGGCTGGTGTTGTTCCCAATAGCAGAGTAGTGCTTGTTTATACTGGACAGTGTCTGAACTAGTATTAGTTGCATCTTGAGGTAACCGCTTGCTAGTGTTTGAGTATAAGGAAAGGTTAGTTATCATGGAATTACCTTCAACAGCCAAGATAGAGGCCAAGTGCTGTAGCAAAGTGCTGTGTCCTGTTCAGCCACTTTCAACTGCTACACCAGAAACGAAGGCATAGAAATGATTCAAGGTAATGTACACGAAAGAAAGCAAATGAGTGACGGTGATGGAAAAGATATTGCAGCAAACTGAACTAATCTCCTTCTATATAGCAACACGAATCGCAGAGTACGGGTCTACCATACACATGCACCTCTCCCCTTACAACATGATCATGGCCAGACCAGCACCGATGGCAGTGACGACGTAGGCGCCGAGCTGGAGAGAGCCAACAGCCACCATGGAGGCACCGGTCATGTGGCCGGCGGAGGAGCTGGAGTCGGAGGTGGAGGTGGAGGTGCTGGAGGAAGAGCCGTCGGTGGCGGTGAGGGTGGCCGAGACGGAGCCGGTGCCGGCGGTACCGGCCTGGGAGAGGATGGAGCTGCAGGTGCTGGCGGTGCTGGCGGCGGTGGTGGTAGCGGAGCCGGCGAAGCTGCAGGCGGAGTCCTCCTTGTCCTGACTCTCCCAGTAGCGGTTCAGAGCCCAGTTGAGCTGCTGCTTGGCCTCGCACATGCTGTAGTCACCGTAGGTGCCGGTGGTGCCGTTGTGGAAGACGCCCGTGCAGGAGATGTAGCCGCAGACTTCGCTGAAGAGGGCGGCGTACTTGGTGCTGGAGAGAGAGTCCTTGACCACACATCCGGCGGCGGCGTCCATGCACGAGCAGAGTGCGCTGTTGGGGGACGGGGGCAGGGGGCTGGCCTTGGCCTCCCACGAGGTACCGATGGTCGGACAGCTCTGGAGCGCGGTGTTTGTCGGAGTGTAGGATGCCTTGTCAACACCGGAGGGCGTGGCGCTCTGGATCTCGGAAGAGTAGTACTTGAAGTCGGCCATCGTGCTGACACTTGTGCTGTCAATGGCGGAGACCAGACCTGGAGTCAATTAGTATGTAAGAATGCAGATCTTCCCCGAGCAACCTACCGTAGTCGTTGCTAGTCTGGAAATACATGTAGACAATACCACCAGACCAGACGCTGTTCATCTCGTCACCGTAGAGAGCTTTAATCTCGGTGAATTCGCGAACACCGTTGGTGTTGCAACCATACTCGGAGAAGAAGACAGGGACGGAGTAGTTCTTGAACTGCTCGGTGCGTGCCTCGTAGCCGGACTCCTCGTAAGTGGAGTTGCCGCACCAGGAGTAGATGTTGTAACCCCAGAAGTCGACACCAACGTCCTCACTCTCACAGTTGAAATAGTCGGCCAGGTTGACACGGATGTCGGCGTCGTCGTTGGTGGCGTAACCCACACCCATGGAGCGGTAGCCCTTCTCCTTGATGTAGGCCTTCGAATCGCGGACGGCGGCCTTGACGAAAGCGCTGGCATCGGTAGTGTCGATGGTGTTGGAGACCTCGTTACCAGCGAAGAAGCCGAGGGTGTTGTTGAATTGGGACATGTCATCAATCACCTCCTTGTAGCGGGCAAACAAGCTGGTCTCCCAGGTCGGGTCGTCCCGGTCGATGGACTGGCTAGGGTCCGACATATCGGTAATGACATAGATGCCGGCGTCGGCCAGCATGTTCATGCACTCGGTGTGGTTGTTGGTGGGGTCGATCGCATAAGTACGAATGACATTGGTTCTGATCTCCTGAAGGTAAGGAATGTCACGCTTGCAGGTGGTGGCATCAGCCAGAGGGTCGACATAGCTGGTGGAGCTGCTGTCGGTAGAGTTGGAGTCATAGTCGGCTTGAAGACATTAGAGAAGCTTGAAGTCGAATGTGTTCAGCAGAACATACCCTGATAGGCAACACCACGAATGTAGCTAGGCACTGTTAGCAAGATCGAGGCAGAGGGAACAGGGTCACTTACAACTGGGTGTTGTTGCTGCTGTAGAAGAATTTGGAGCCCTTGAAGCCATTAGCGGCAGTCCAGTAGGGTAGGGAACCAGCCTCCTACCTTGATGACGATGGGATCGATGTCTGCCAGAGCAGATCCCGCAAAGGCTGCCGCTCCAAGAGCGAGAGAGAGCTTCATGATGCTAGGAGGTTGTTCAAATCAAGTGCACAACAGAAAGAAACCGCAAATACAACCAGGGATATAAGGATAACGAGTGAATGAGAGGACAAAAACGAATGACGAGTATATCAAGACCTCAGTCCGCTTACAACAGGGAACTGGGAGGGGAACATATAACCATTCTTCCAAGGAAAACCTGGCACAGGCTATTTTAAAAGAACAGCGTATAATTAGCAACCCTTGGATTTCTCGCCCGATGCAAGTTGCCAGAGGTGTGGCCTCTCAAACCTCCTGGCTGGGGCCCGCTATACAGGCGAACGCGTCACCCACCATCATGCCGGATGACAGTTGTAGTGGACAGGACGGTGCTAACAAAGGACTAGTGATTAGAGTTGGTCGGGAGCGTCCACTCGCGGCGAAGCGCGAAGCCATTGGACTGAAAATTCGGTAGACGAACGATGGCGAAGTGGGACGGTGGCCGAATTGGTGGGTGGAGGATGCGTCGTCGTGGTGCCAAAGTGGATGCCTGATCTTAGAGAAGAATATTTTTCCCTCGAGTGGGGACGGCAGTCGCGCTGGCTATAAGTACCAGTAATTAGCGCATGTCGCCCGGAGGGGGGAGACGAAGAAGGGGCCAGATATATGGCATGAATTGGAAGACAACAAAGAGATCTGGTTGATTTGTAGAAACTGGAACAAGTAGATGATGTAGTTAATGTAGATGATGAAGTGTAGAAGTTGAGTTGAGGTGAGCTGTCAGCGTTGTCGATCCCGGCCTGAGGTACGCCTGAGGCAGCGAGCGGTTCGACGGAGTTCGGCAAGCCCCAGACGCTCCCGACCGAAGCTGCAGAATTACTCGTACCAACTATTCCAGAACACATCTGCTCGTGTTCCTCTCAAAACAAAACAGAGACCTGAAAATCGATCATCGCTTCCATTACATCATTTAACGCCTATTCCCTAATACAGTTCGCCGGAATTGAAACGTGCACAATAAATCGTACAACCCAGCGTTTCCGCCCTCAATCTTTCTCAGTGCCCTCCCTACAAGCCAGCATTTTCCCGTCTGCGTCGTTCAATCGCCGCCTCAAAGGACCGAATTGTATCCAAGGGCCGCTCGAATCGATAACGGGTAGGGTTGGACAAGTCAGGATCCGCTATAAAAGCAATCAGTCAGTCAGACAGTCAGACCTGCGTGGCGAGACAGAAAAAGGGGAAACGCACTGATCAGCTTGCCCTCGCGGTCGCGATGCTGCATTGAGCGTAGGGAGAAGCCATTCGAACCGACACTGTCCACTACAATCCATTCCAGTCAGTTCTGGTGTTGTGGCAATCAAACGATGCAATCTCCTTGCATCCACTAACCTGCACGCTCCCCCATTAGGGCCGAGTTCGGGTCGGCGCTGCTCGAGAGCGAAGTCTTGTGGGCGTGTTCTACCGGGCGCCCGGACTCGGGCCGGTTCTCACTAGAAGCGATCGAAGGTGCCATGTTTTCTTTCTTGTTGCCTTACGCCAAAGATCGATGTGTGCGTGTCTAGATTCGTGCGTGATCAAAACAAGGAACCACGGATGCAATGGAAAAATAAAACAGCGTTGCTGACGTTGGAGGACAGGACTGGAGGGGCGTCTTTAACCAAAGGCCAAGGGCAGTCATTACACACCTACGTATGCAGTCAGCAAGTTATGCATGGGTTTGCCAACCAATGGCGAACCCCGGTCGCTGGCGAAACACCAACACCAGCCCTCTGAGCATCGCTGTTTTTAGAAACGGCATGTGAACAAGGTGCATTGAACGCCATCTGCAACCTCAGATCACGCAACTGGCACCAATGATGACACCGGGTGCCTTGGTGCCTGCGTGTAGTGACTTGTGACGCGGCTGGTTGGGGGGTCCGTGACGTGTGCTCGCCTGTTGTTGGCTGCAGTTCTGCAACTCCCCAGGGCCAAGCTTCCACTAAAGTCCACGACCCAAGGCTTAGCACCCCCGGTGGCCAACAAGAACCGCGCCTCGGGGATCCGCCTACGTGAGGGGCCACGCAAGCATGATGGGCTGTGTGATTCTAGGCAACCACAATCTCAATTTGCAGATGTCGCCGTACCTGAACTTAGTTCCTGGTTCCTCGGACCTTGATGCTGAGGCGAGAGAGAAAAAGATCTCCGAAGTTTCACATCGACGACAACTAAGCTTCGAGGGGTCGCCTCGCACCACCTAAGTTAGAATCGCCTCAGCCCAAAAATGTGAGAGGGATGGCCAAATGCGGGATGATCGTCTCCCTTTCCGGAATGCTGGGGGGCGCATCACTTGTGCGCCGAGGCTATTCGCCACCTCGACCCAAAGGTTACGGAATAGGTATTATGAGAATAGGATTAATTTTCTTCCCTCGCGGAGTTAAGGAACCAGGAGAAGGAGAACCATCCACCTGCAATGCTAGGCTTCGCCTAGCATTCCTCCGATCTAACAGACGGCCGTCACAGTGGCATCTGAAACATGGTGCTCGCTTGTTTGATCTGCGGCACGTCCGCCAAGACTCGGTACGGTACGGTAGTATCCAGCGCAGCCTGCCGTTACGTACTCGATTACCCTTCGATCTCGCGCGCCAGTGATGCAGCGAGTCGGTTGCTTATCCTAAGGATTCAATTATCGCCCAACTCCAGATAAATCGTTCGCACCAGGTATTAGCGGAGCTGATCATCATGTACAGCCGCCTTCTCGAAGGAGTCGATCAACATCTTGACCACACAAGCGAACTGCGACTGAAGGACATGTCTCACCTGGGGGTGAATCATAAACCACCGAGGATAATATTACTTCCTCTCCTTCCTCTCACTATCCTCCATATCCTCTCTCCAGGGATAAACCATCTTCGCGACATGGTTACGGTTGTACATTGACACCGCAACCCAAACCACAGAAGCCCACCCATCGCTCAGAACGCAGACAATGTATCCGTACTTCCCCCTCCAACCCTTAAAGAAACTCTACACCCCCAATAAAACCACCATCAACCCAGAGACTAATCATCAACTCGTAACAAACCCACAAACCCCAATTCCGCGGTCCCGCGCCGCTGACTCAAGATCCAAGAATTCATCGTGGCAGCAAACACTGCAGCAGCAGCCCCCCCTCCCCCCACTAGGGACTCCACTGCCACAAATTTACCTCCGCGGCGGTCGGCCCTCGTTACCAGAACGGGTAAGGCCCAACCCCCTGAGACAATAACATCCGAGGTGAATGTCCGAGGGGAGCAGGCATCGCTACTGCTACCGTACAGACTCAACCTACGTACACGAGCGTACGTACAGGACTCAAATCCAACTAAAAGACACGACGTCCGAGTAAGGTTGTGGTGGCTGACGGAGGCGGTTTTCGCCTGCTGATCTCTCGCTCTATCTTCCAGCGGAAATCCACTTTGTTGGATGGGAAATTGGATGTATGGAGGAAGGTCATGCAACTCCGCTGAAGGGCGATCGGCTGGCCATAGAGAGAGTGAGGAATCCTGCCGCCTTGGACTCAAGTGAGACATTGTGGTTATTATCATGCACGGTCGGATAAGCTTTCTGTTGAGTCGAGCGGAGGTTAGTGCTTTCTTGGTTCGGACGGTCTATCTTCAACACTATGTAGGCTTTTCTTTGATGACTTGTTAAGGGATGCGGTACTTGGTTCCACCATTTCGATGCGTTGACAAGCAGGAGTAGGGTGTAGGCATCAATGTTTGGTGGTTAGGGGAGAGGTTTTCGCCGGGTGTGGAGCTTAGAGTGCTTTGCGGGGTGATTGGCATTTTTTTATGGACAGCTGAGGACTGGGAAGGGTGTACAGTACAGCAGGTGGATGTGGATGTGGATGTGGTTGCTTGCTAGCAGGTCGAGCGCACCTAGCAGTCATCACCTCTATGTTCATTGTAGACGATTCCAGAAATGCTATCATCCGCGTCAGCGACGGCGCACTTTCAGGAAGAACCATCACAACAACTCCCCAACCTCCCTATACACCCTCACAAACTCACCAGCTACACAATCCCCAACCCACCCCGAATGTTACAACCTCAAAGCCCCCAAAAGCCCATCCCACAACCCCCTCCACCGCACCCCCTCCCTCCGCACAACCCAACCCACAACCCCAACCAAAACAAGCCCCCTAACCACCTTCCACCCACACTCCCTCAGATTCAACCGCATGCACGCGCGATGCCTTGCGAGCATATCCGCCTTCGAATTCCCGTTCGGCACCGGCACCGCGGGGACGGGCTGCCCCAGGAACGCACACAACGGCTCCCACCCCTCCTTGACATGGTACAGCAGCAGGCGGTCCTTGGGCACCAGCGCCTGTATTCTGGATACGTGGCTGCGGTACGTCTCCCGAGCGATGGTCCGGATATCCTCACCGTACAGACAGAGCCCGGCTTTGAGGAAGGTCTCGGGCACGAGACGGAAGCGGGAGTGCAGGAGGGTGTTCGTGATGCTGATGAGGGGCACGAGGAGGTATTTGTTGAGTGGGGTGTCGATCGCCGTGACGAGGGTCATCATCGATCTGGGGGTGAATTTGGGGTGAGTTTATGTTCGATGAGCGATGAGGGAGGGGGCTGGGAAACGTACTCGTACCATTCATCAACATCGCGGACGGTGACGATGACTTTTGCTTCCGGGTAGGCTTGGATGAGGTCCTCTGCGAAGCAGATCGCTGGGATGTCGGAGACGGCCTATGGCATACCGGTTAGCGAGCAGCTGCTGGATATCCGTATCCCAGGTCAAGGACGATAGGTTCCTCCTGATCAACGACTGTTTAGCAAAACTGACCTGGCAATGCCCCAACAGTTTATCCCACTCCTCGCGCCCAAACCGCTGTCCCACCCCGTCGTACTTCGCCCGCAACGCCTTCAGCCACATCTCGCAGTCGCGCGGGTTGCTGATCATGGCCTGGTATCCGTGGTATGCTTCGTGGTAGCCGAGGATGCGCAGCGCGTCCATCAGCGCTAGGGATAGGGATATATGTCAGCGAATGGTTCAATAATGCCGGGAGCACTCATCAAGCCTGCGCAGCTGCTGGAAGTAGACACTCACACTCTGACCCCGTCCTCGTCAGACCCAGCGACAGGACCCGCATGGGCACGATGCGCGAGCACTCCTCGCGGTCGATGTCGGTGACATGGAAGACGCGGTTGCCGGCTTTGATGGTTGGCATGGTGGGTTGTAGCTATCGAGGAAGTAGGGGTATGTCTTTGACGCTGCAATTGTCGCCAGGGTGAGTTTGTTTGGTCTGCTCAATCGGGATGCTTGTGTAACGATGGCCTTCCAATCCGTGGGGTGATCGCGTGCACAGTTGCGTTATAGGTAGGGGTTCCCACCTCAGAGCCTGTTGCACTGCTTTAGGACAAGGTATGATCAACAGATATAACGGGGGATACTTGAAGACTGTGATGGCATTCAGAGCACATCACATCGGTTGTGGACGACTCTCGGACTGATCAGAAAGCTGTGCAGTGCAGATGGGCAAGCGCGTTTGTTATGATGATCGCGGGGAAGTTCCGAGAATGTGACCTGTCATCAGAGATCCAACCCCTAAAAAAAGCAATGTTGTCGGGTCGTGACGGGACATAACTTGAAGTGCGCAGTCACTAGAGTATATTGTAAAATTCCACATGGAACTAAGGATACAACTTTCCATGTTACGAAAAGGGGCAGCCAGCTTACGTTTCTGTATAGGGTGGATTTGCTACTATCTATTTGTCAATTGGCCAGACCTAGACCTATGCTACTGATCTTTTGATCAGACGCCGAGTGAGGCATCGGTCAATTCAAGGGCGTTGTTCCACCCCCGCATTCTTCAGGTCAAGAATGCATCCATGTCACGTGTCACCATAAAAGATGGAGTAAGCAACTCAAGGATCACAATTTCCTGCCAGAGAGCTCCTGTGTCACTGCCCTATCTATCATTTCTGGAGGCTCTGCTTAATCCGTGGCATACGCGCTCAGAGGCGTCAACCTTTTCTCCAAAAATCATGGCTAAGCGGCACAGATTTGAGGCCGAGATATGAGTCCACTATACCTATCCCGAGAAGTTATATGACACAGAACTACTATACAGGACCATCTCTCCAGCAGAAATTATACACGACATATACGACACGCCCATCTACCAGGGATTAAACACTACTCCACTTACCCCAGATATATCTTACTCATCTGCACATCATTCCCCTCCTCATTGAACGCCATATCCATCTGATACACCTTGCGGTTCAACAGCAACACCCGCGAGGGATGCCAGACCGCCATCACCACCATCCCCAGCAGCATGGGCAGCGCATCAAACACGTACGCAAACACCTCATGTCGTCCCAAATACCCATCGCTACCATTGGTCTCGGCACTTGCGTACTCCACCAGCCGGTACACCGAGCGCACCAGGATCATCGCGCTGGCGAAGTAGAGGGCGAGCAGGGTGGTCTCCCAGGTAGCGTGGAACCAGCCGTCGGTAGCGATGCATGAGGAGATGGATTTCGAGGACGGACTGCGGTGGATGCGATAGTGGAAGGCGGTGGCGACGAGGACAAAGACGGTAAAGAAGATCAGTTGAATGACTAGGCCGGCGATGATGACGTTTTGGCCGGTCGTGAGGGCGGAGGGGTCGGTTGTTGTGTGGGTAAGGATCGCGCCGCCTTTTGCTCGCGGTGTTAGGCTTCTTTCGGGCAGATGAGAGATAAATGCAGGAAGCAAGGGGCTTACCTGCTCCTTGAATTAGAAAGGATATGATATCCCCCGCAACAAAGATCACGGTGAGCCAGCGCGTCGGCACGGAGCTGAGCTCTTCTTTGTCGAGGTAGAAGATTAATCGGCCTAGAGTCATGTATAAAGTCGCTGCGTAGAGAGGGGGTGCGAGGAGAATGAACAGCGTCTGGATGGTGAAGATGGAGAGGTTGCTTGTATTGTTGTGTGCTCCGGCGCGCGCAATGTAGCCGATTACTTCGACTGCATGATTTACATAATTAGCGCATTTCCTCCCATGCTCTGCTGAGGACACTCACATAGTCCGCCCAGAATGAAGCAGGTGAAATACCAGGCGTGCGCCCGGGCCAATTGGTAAATATGGCAGGCGGTTACGGCAATGAAAAGGAGAACGAAAATGGCGGCGACAGCGACGGAGGGATTGTAGTTGTAGAGCTCGTAGGAGCCATCCGCGCTGGATGAACTCATGTTATCATCGATTTCTGTTTGTGTTGATCCGCTGTATAGGTGCGATGTAGGTCAATCGACCTTGAAATTCGAGTTGCGAGCGATGCGCGGGCCCGGACCCGGTGAGCGATATTTACAGGAGAAAGAGTCATGACAATGATGAAATCGAGAGCCCGACTCTGCCTTGCAGATCAACGGCATGTGTCTGTCGCATTTTGAAACTCACACTGGAGTTGCTTGGTGTTGGTCTTACTCAGATCCGCGATTCTCAGACAATTAGCCCCAAATTGACGGGCAGGCCCCATCGGAAGGATGTTGATGGGGCCAAATCAAGTATGCCATTGGTCCCTGCGTAGACTCGTGGATAGAATTAATGATCTGCTTGCGGTTCTTGAGGCTCCTCGTCAGGGACTGCGGTCGCGAACAGCGTCTAGCCCATGGACTGCCCCGTGTGGGTAGGGGTCTGATTATTATAAGGGTCATCCAGCTGGGCTGTGCACTGCATGTAGATCGGTGATACGATCACAGGTTGAATTAGTGATACTATCGAATTAGTTTGGTTGTAGGTTTGCTTCTTGAAACTGCGATTCGAGTAATAAGGCATCCTCATGTTGAATCTATGCAGCGTGGCCGACAAGAAGAATTGCGCGAGTACAGAAATCAAGTATATCCAAAGAAAGAAACTTGTAGAAAGACACTTGCCAAACACACCAAACACAAACGCTCCAATGTACTGTACGCCCAAGTAGCCCAGCCATTCACTACCTCTTCGCACGCACCTCCCCCCTCCACACATCAACCCAATCCCCAACAACCTCAAAACAACACCCCAGTTCCCCCTACTTCTACCCAAAGTCCACCCTCTATTTCCTCCTTCCATCAAAGCCTATCCTTGAATTCCTGGATTCATTCCGAAAATCTCCCCCAAAAGAACGGGAATCTTCAGACCTTCTTCCCACCGTAAGTCTTCTCCTTGCTCACGTTCGATATCTTCACAGTTATCTCACATTCCCAGGGGTGGGGCCTTCTGCGGCCCCAGGTGGGCTGTGCGCTGCTGGGCGTCTAATGATCCGTCTTATTTACAAGGTAAGTCCTGCTGGTTGCATGTTTGTGGTTTGAACTACGGTTTGTTGGGTCCACGGAGGTCTAATCGGTTCGTGTCTATGTTTGAACCAGTCTACGTCCCACGTCGCGAGCCGATGGACAACTTAGGTCTTAAATTTCCCAGCGAAAGAGAGAAGGGGCAGAGTGTGGGAACCTGATTATGCTTCAGGGCACACCAGACGGCGATACTCTACCGGTCTATTAGAAGGAGGGAGGGGGGGCGCGTGATTGGGCGTCATGCACACAAAGAAGCTCGCGTTCGACGCGTGCTGCAGCCCAGAGGTCATCTGAGTTGATGAGTTGACGCAGAGCTTGCAGGGACCTGTAAGTAACATGTGGCATCTCTGCATAGGGTTCGCTGTCTAACGTCTTTAGTGGATGGTCTACGATGATACTGCTCAGCACTCATGTTTTTCATGCCGATCTTATCAGATCTCCCTTGGTCACTGACTACACTTCAAGACACGTGTATCAGCACAGCACAGCACGACACAATACATCTCCACTCGCTGGAGCTGAAGCTCCTCCTGAGAATACAGTGGATTCATCGTGAACATCATCTTCGAAGATAATTTCAGCAGGCAGGATTATTCCAGATTCCAATCGGGTGCCTGCATGCACCAACCCAGTTGAGATAATTGTGAGGACGACGAGTTTCGTGTGTCGACTTCTCGCAGAGACGCGAAGGTCTTATGATGGTGGGATGGTTGACTCTCTACTTTGGCTTGGGTGGACTTATCGTGAATATCGACAATGTTATCCTCGATGGTGTGATCAGATACAATCAGCCTGACTATTTCCGTACATATGATATCATGTGACATCCTCTCCAGAGCAGGGGAACACAAGTCTAGATGAAGCACGAGTGGTTTGCAAGAGTGAAAGGAAAGATTATGTATATTACAACTATATCAATCGTTACTCATTAACTCCAACACATACAACCCGTCCAACCTAATTATAAATGCTCAAGGTGTCAACAGCAGACCCGTTACCACAGGCCCCTCCAAAGTCACCGTACAGCTCCTCTCTCTCCTGGATGAACTTGCTGAATCCCTCCCGGGAGCAGCTCTCACCAGGACCATCCCGACAACCAACCAGCGGCTGCGGCGCCGAGTTCACCAAGACGCGGTAGTACTCCGGGCTCTCGTAGCCGGGAACATCACACTCCAGCCGCTCGACGGCGATGTTACCCAGGAACGGAAGGATGTGGCTACTCTTCCAGGCACGGTTGTAGTTGACCTGGTCGAGGGGCATGGTGGTGTTGATGTTGTCCGCGCCGGTGAAGGCGCTGTTGTTGAACAGGCCCAGCGCGGTGACGACCGTGGGCGGGAGCTCGCGGTGGGTGAACGACACGTACAGCGTGTCGCTGGTGTTGGTGTTGCCGGAGACCATGTCCCAGCTGGCCTTGGCCCAGGGGAGGCCGATGTGCGGGCTCAGCGGGCGGCCGTACCCCGTGTTGTAGAAGTACATGATGTCGTTGGCGTACTCGAAGGACAGCCACTCGGCCGAGGTGAACAGCGACAGCGAGCAGAAGGGCGAGAAGCCCCGGATTACGGTCTCGTAGCCGCATAGCTCGAACATGGCGGTCACGTCGTCGGAGGTGAAGTTGAACTTCGGGGCGAGCGTGTCGAGGCGCGCGATGATGGGAGTGGTGTAGTGGTCGATGAATTCCTGCACAGGTGTGGTTAGTAACTCGTATGACTAGATGTGGGAGATGTGAAGGGGAATGGCGGGAACAAACCTTCGACTGGTCGCTACCGTAGCTCGAGCTGTAGGCCGGGCAAGCCTTGTATGGGGTCAAAGAGTCCGCGCCCGTCGACTTGGACTCGGCCACCTGGACGAGATCCAGAGCGGAGGACTGGTTGTTCGTGTAGCCGCTGATGAACCCCTCGGCAGACTTGATGGTGCGGTCGGCAGTCGAGGTCCACACTTTGTCCGCGCGGAGGGTCGGATAGTGCTGGTGCAGTTTCCTGCCCAGCGTAGTCGCTTCCTGCAGGCCGACGCGGGTGATCTTCTCGAGATGCTCCTCGTCGACCGGGGCAGTCCAGTTGCGGAGGAAGGAGAGCGCGCCGGTCGATTTCCAGTCCTGTGTGGTGTTCCGCAGCTTCTCGACGAAGGGCTCAAGATACGACTCATAGTCGAAGTCGTTGGCGTAGATGGCGGCATGGCGCACAAGATAGGCGGCGCGGGTCACATTGCACCCAGGGTGTGGCTTGGGATCAATGGGAGGGTCTTGAGGGGCATAGTATGGTGTGATACCAGCCAGATGGTGCAAAGGGTTAAAACCGATTCCGGCCGTGGTTGTAGCAAGGGCGCTGAGCGCGAGGACGGTGAAGGACTTCATGGTGAACGGGGTCGGATAGCCCGAGTAGGGCTGAATATTCGTTTTGCGGGATCGTTGCAGCTGCACTGCAAATTAATTGAGTGAGAGGTTAGCAACCTATATAGGTTTTCTGGCTCCAACAGTCATCACAAGAAAAATAGTAACACAGGGAGATTTACCTATTACATCATGGCCAGGCACCAAAGTCTCTCCAGATAAAAGCGACGATGCAGTCATGGGCCAGCTCCATACGTCACCGATCTGCCGGACATCCTTGGAGATGCGCCAGGGCCCAGGTGGAGCCAATCCGGCCAATCCGCGCCGCGATGCGTTTTAAGGGTCGCCCCGGCAAGAATTTAGCACCGAGTTGGGGAGAAGGTAAATCGCTGCAGGAGCTGCAGAGCGATAAATTTAGTCTACAGGCTATGTCGTGGCTGAGTGGCTTTGGCTGACAAGTCATCAACATACAAAGAGGCAGAAGCTGGGCGTCTGTGGTTTTCTTCCTTCGGTCGCTATGTCATCGGACAGGAAGCTTGTCACCGACAAATTGGTGGACCGTTCCGGCTCGCCAACTCGCCAAGTTCTGCCGGCGTCTGGGCATTCTCCGAATGGATAATGATCGCCGTCTCTTCGGGTCCATGACATAAGGTGGTCAACAATCAACATCACTTCGAGAAGACTCCTGCAGCATGCGCCGAGAACCGAGTGAGCTAACAAATAGCCGTTATCTTGGCTAGAAGATCGTTCAGAAAGCCCAGCCGATGTGCTTGGTTGTATATTTTCGGGTTCAACTCGTGCCTATCCAGCATGCGTGCAAATTGTTCCTGCGCAAGCTGCCCGGTTCGAGGGTCGCATTGTCGCACCAAAATACATCTGGTCTGTGTAGCCTACCAATGAAGTGTAGCCCGACCTGGTCTAAGACTATGCTCGTTAGCATCTTTGTCCCAGAAATAGATTGTCGCCTTACAATGACATCCGCGAGGTGTATGAGCGACTTTTCAGATCTGTGGCCTGATTTCTGCGATCAAATACAGCTTGTCATCGCGACATCATGGAAGAGACCTTGATAGTGGCGCTTCGTCCGTCTGGAAAGAGTGCCTAAAGAGATGAAAGGAGATACTGGTGGAAACAGGGAGATGGTGTGCGATCGTACTGAGCAGGGTGAGGTTGACACGACGAGGTTCGTGGGCGGAGAAGCCAGTGAACAGCACGTCTCGTGACTTCTTGTAATCTACGAGATCGGTCCAGGCTCCTCTGCATAATTTAGCAACGACAAGAATTCGAATTAATTAGCTAAAATCATCTTTATGGATCTTCAAGCTTCGAGCAAAGTAAAGAAATTCAACTCAGAGACATAGCATGTAGAATGCCAAATTGAGAGATAATGAAAAGTTCAGCCATAGTAACCTCCTCTCACCAGCCCCTACTTCCTGAATAGTGTGTATGGAATGCGCGAACATCAAGAGCACTGCATCCCGAGTTGCTTCCCTGCTTTCTCCGCGTGTATCCAGAAAACGTAGATCCTGAACTATTCTTCCCATGGATTCATAGGCACCTCTTCTGGGGATTCGATTTGCTGGGACGACAAACTCACATGTGGCAAGCACCTATCGACGTATCTTGTACTCGAATTGTTCCATCAGTGGACGCATTCCAGCAGCACTTCGATTCACATCAACATGACGCAGCAGACGGCCAAAGGCTGGAAGCATTTCCTTTGGAAAGCGTCGAGAGAATGCAATGTCTTTCAACACAGCGACCTCTACATCGCCAGACAGATCAATATCCGGCCCCATATCATCAGCGGGCTTATCCTGGGAGAATTCATCCTCCAAAGACACGTCATCAACAGTCCCAATGTGAGTATGGGCGAAGTTTCCCGTCTCCTCTTTGACCGTAAATTCTTGCAGCCGAAAGTACATCAAATGCGGTAGTCGATTCAAGAGCGACAAGAGATCGCGCCAACCACAAGAATAAGCAATGACTTGGTAAAACTCCACTCGTTTGAGGGTCTGCCTAGCTAGCGTCGTAAGGGATCTGAGGACGTGGGGCGATACTGGTATGCTTTCTAGAAAGATTGTTTCGAGGTGAAATGCGTGAGCCTCCGCGGCAGTCATCGTTCCTTGCGGTGGTGAAACAGGATCGCGGTCCATCTCATGTTGCAGAGCACGGACAAACCACGCTGTGAAGTCGTGACCGGGTGATGGGTATCCATGCCCATGTGTGAATTCATGGCCGTACTGATCAATCCACAAACAGCGAATCTGTCGCAGAAGCCGTTTGACCCGCTCTCTCGAGGCCCCGGTTAGCTCTGGGAACAACTTTGGGTAATTAGGCAATCCGAAGACTACAATATAGAGATTTTTCAGCTTGAGAAGGTCTATTCTCATGACGGGTTCGAAGAGAATGCTATGTTGATTCTCTGAATACCACGAAGAGAAACACCAGAACACCCACTCCATAGTCTCCAGGTTGGTGAGGCAAGACAAGGCAGCGGTTAGCTCCTTTTCAAATTGCTGCTTGCTTGCTTCAGAGAACCCTTCAAACTTCCTTTTGGAACCTTTCGGGCAATGGCAGATTTTGAGCTCCAACTCTCGTACATGGATTGCATGTCGGCTTCGACAAATTGCCTGGAATTTACGGAAAGCGGCTTCCTTTCCAATTCCCACGCAAAAGTACATATATCTAAACAGGAGTGGTGAAGCAAGCACGGAGAATGTTTGATTAACCAGTCGCAGATTGGCCAAGTCGGAACCATCGAGGCAACCCTGTACAGAGTAGCGCCTCAACGCAGAAGATGTTACATGAAAGTTGCCTCTCGTGATTGGGTGCGAACGTCCCACCCCAACATAGGACACAATCTAAAAGTCCGCCGTCAGTTCTGAATGATGTCTTAGGTCTAGCAAAGAGCCTACCATGGCCTTGATCTCAGCCGGAAGATCCATGAGTGTGATTGGCATTTTCCAGCGATAGGCCCAGTGTGGGCGATGAATGTCAATTTAGACCTGTTTTATGGAACGACGAGGAGAAAGAAGGTTTATAGTGTCCAACAATCGATAAAAGAAATCGCTGTTCGAGCGCCAGAAAGCCGAAGTAGATGGAAGGCAGCTTGCGTTAAAGAAAGAGATCGGTGTGCGGTGATGAGAAGAAGGGGAGTGAAAAGATGATGAAGTAAGAGTGAGGTGTGTTATGGAAGTGACAGTTTCAAATGGTAGGCCTTGCCTCAGATGGACCGGTTCTCAGGTACGCCAGTCGGCTTTGCCTTGCTGAGTGGATGTTCCTCCGCTGGAACAAAATTACGAGAAAGGCGATATAGCAACAGAAAAACATTTCATTCAGACTAGACGACATTAACAGACATATTTGAAAGCCAATTTCATCGGGTTGCACTATTTCACAGTCTTCCTAGCCCAGTTACATGATCCCAACCAAATTACGAAAGATGTAGCAAACGCTCTCAGCACCGTCCCAAGCCAGCAGTGTGCTCAAGAAAAGCATCCTAAATCTGAATCACCACAAAACAGAAGGACATGCTTTCCCAAGGCAAACTACAAAACACCCGCCAGAACAATCCGGTCCATGCCCAAGGCCAGCCGATTCGCATTGACCCGACACATCAGCGCGCGCAGCGCATACGCCGCCTCGGTCTCGCTCACCTCGGGGCCAAGCGGCGACAGCACAGGCGGATCGAGGTGCCGACTCGCGCCTTGGGCCGAGTAAGCGCAGTCGTGAATCTTGAAATTCAGCAGGCCAGGCAGCTGCACCAACGTCCACAGGACCCTCTCCCAGGTGCAGCTGTGCAGTGCGATACCCGTCAACTCGACGGTGTGCAGTGTCCCGTAGGACAGGCTGATGATCCGCCCGAACGTCGCAGCCGACATGCACACGCCTTCCAACCGGAGCACTCGCAGTTTGGTTAGGTGATCGAGGTCCGCCTGGTCGAGGTCCAGCACCGCGCCGGTGGAACGGATGGTCAGGCACTGAAGGTTCGTCGAGCAGTGAATGACCCAGAACATCCAGGCTGCGAAGCTACGGTTCAAGACCAGGGCCCCCGCTGGCATGAGAATGTCGTGGGAGTGGTAAGTGGGGATCGACATCTCCAGGTTGGTGAGACGCGGGAGGACATGCGAGACGTCTCCGTGGGCCAGGGAGAACGCGAGAGGAAAAAAGCCCGGGTTGTCATCAACGACGGGGAAACTGATGCGGAGCTCGTTCAGGTACAGAAGCGGCAGTTCGTAGAGCGTACGCATGATGATGTTGCAGACATAGATCATCTCTCCGGCGGTCAGGGACTCGCGGACTTGGTAGTCGTAGTTCAGAGCTCGGATGTTGGGCAATTTGCGCAGGCTGGGCATCACGCCGCTGGCTAGGCCGATTGTGGTTGTGATGTCAACCCGGAGAACTTGGGTGTTGTAGTCGCTGTTGGAAAGATAGACCAGCAGCGGAAATGGTCGGGACAGCCCGCTGCGTGCTGTGTTGATGTGGATGTGTCGAGCGAAAAGAGGTGAGATTCGGATATAGAAGCTTCTGTTCAGAAGTCGCAGCTCCCTCAGTTTCTGGGCGGTAGGCTTGTCGATGCCATTATCTAGGAGCAGGACTGTTGGCCCGAATAGCTCTTCCTCGAGGTCTTCGGCGAAGTACGAAGCGATCTAGAACACATGTCAGCTTAGATCGCTAGGGATTTCTGCAGGTAAATGCCTACCATGTCCCAAATCTCGTTGGGTAGCCTGGGGAATCGATCTGAGATGTTGGATATCTCATTAAGCTTGTTCGGCTCATTGGGCTTGTTCAGCTCATCGAGCTTGTTGATCTCGTCCAACTCGTCCATCTCAGTATCTTCCTCACCTGATCCTGGCCTTGTGATCCGTCCCATGTTATCACGATACAGTCCATCTATGGTCGCTGCATAGGGTGTCAACATTTTGAAGGGTTCTACTGCGCCCGGTTGTGGTGGTGAGAATATGTTCAAATCGATCGATGACTGTACAAGCAGAGAAGAACTTGTCTTAGGCCTCTGCCTTTTCCTTCACCTTATTGAACTCAGTAGCGCGCTGGAACGCGTTAGTAAATGTTTTTCATAACAAGGACACTGGAGATAATCTTCTTACAGGGTAACAAAAGTGTTTCCTTCTAGATGAAGTAGAACGGATGAACGCGTATCTGTTCAAGAGAGCAGGCCAAAACAAGTGTAAGATTGATTATCTGATCTCAGTGAAAGCCTTCAAGCATTTCAGAATCAATGATCTCAGTGATGTGTTAAGGAGGAGTCAGAATCGATGAAATCAGTCCGATCATAAGATCAGTTGAAGCTCGATAGTCTCAGTAAGACTTTGAAAGTGATGTAAGATCCATGAGCTCTGTGATGAACTTGAGACACTCCGTGATCAGAGAAGAGATGAGAATGCAGAAGAAGAAAGTAAAGGGTAGATAAGGTGAGAGAAAGGGACATGAGCTGAGGATGTGTATTCACAAGTTACTACAGTGCAGACACTCACTACACTATCTCACCAGATTTCCTCAAATATGGTAATACATATTAATCTGTTCCGGGAAGAAGAATCTCCCCCGCCGTCATCCCCCCAGCCAGAGTAATATTAGCTCTTAGCTATATTTGTACTCTAGAGAATCCTATGCGTTGCCCATCCCTCTGCTCACGAATGGTCTGCGAGGCTGGAGCGGAGTATAAATTCAAGCTTAGTACCGAAAACAAATCTTTACTGGGACTACTCTAGAAAGTAATCTGCTCAAAGTAATCAAGCCTGTCCAGAAAGCTTAGTCTAACAGCAGTGAGAAGCATCGATATTTGGTTGCACAGTCTAAAGAAACCAAATATAAAGAACTCCAACAGAACAAGCAACGTAATGAACGCCGGGCGGGAAGTACTGTACAGCGCATAACAATTTATGAAAGCTGACAAATTATCCATCCACACAATCCCGCCCCGAAGGAGAAAGAAGGCAAAGGCCCAGACTGGTCCGTCCGCTCCGGGATTAACCCTCCGATAACTTCCAGTCAAGCTGAGCTCTACTCCGTGAACACGCCCCCCAAAAACCTCACTCCGTACCAATCCACGAAATCCGGAAGAAATGACAGATCCCTTCCCCTCCTACCTCATCACACCCGCAGAATACCACAATGTAGTCACCACCACCCCGACCACCACACGACGCATAATCCCCTTGGCAGCAGGGCGGCCCGCGCTTCTTCCGGCGTTTGAAGCCCACCACCTCCCTGGCACGAAGTACGAACCCAACCCAACCCAGACACCCCGTGATGCAGCACGGCGATGAAGAGAACAAGGTGCACGTGGCGTATTTAGATACACGTCTACTCTCTATCTCTCTACCTACATGATCGGTGCTTGTGTCTTCTCGGACTTTGAGCCCATACCACTTTCACCCGCTGCCCCTACGTATCCCCGAACACATTCAGACCTAAACGAACACCGTACCAACTCGTCATGCCACAAACACAGATTCTTTGATCAGTCCGTCATCCGCGATGCTACCTCCCCCTACCCCCTCATGCTCCCCACCGCCGAAGCCTTTGCCGCCGCCATGACAGCCCTCGACATCCGGCCCTCCGACATCCTCGTCGTGTACGACGCATACGAGATCGGGACCTATAGCGCGCCGCGCGTGGCGTGGATGTGCTCGTTCTTCGGCCACGACGCGGTGCATGTTCTGAATAACTTCCGCGTGTATGTGGATTTGGGATACCCGGTGAGCTCGGGGGAGATTGAGAAAGCGGGCGGCGGTGGGGTTACGAAAGAGCCGGGGGATGCGTATTCCGTCGCAACGGTCCCGGATCCTAAGAGACTGATCTCATATGAGGAGGTTAAGGGGTTAGTCGGGGATGAAGAGGTTAAGATTGTGGATGCGAGAATCGCGGGTCGATTCAGCGGGACGCAGAGTGAAGAGGACACCAGCTTGCGGTCGGGGCATATTCCTGGCGCAGTCAATGTGCCTCTGGCGAGGTTATTGGATGAGACCTCCAAGGTGATACTGCCCGCTTGCACACTCAAGGACATCTTTGAGGAGGCAGGGGTGCCTGTCACGAACGAGGTTCCACGGTCATGGATCTTGACCTGTAACTCCGGCGTGACTGCCGCTGCACTGGATCTAGCGCTTTCGGAAATCGGCGCGAAGGGCCCTAGAAGGTTATATGATGGTAGTTGGATGGAATGGACAAGGCGAGCCGAGGAAGAGCTGGTGGTCGTTGACACAAACAGCTGAGGGTCACTATCGATCGTTAGTCAACAATATAAGATCGACCCGGCGATGGCTACTGGTTCTACTGTGCCAACGCGCAATGGGTCCTGGTACGCAGCCTGCCAAGCTATCTTGACGGCCAGATGAACCCAACGAGCTGTAGCCTGCCCGCCAATGGCATTGTGGCAGACCTCTCAAGATGCTGAAGGCGTGTATGATTTCGTGTTCTATCGATAACCGTTCTCGGCGAGTAATATGTGATGATGGCGTGAGTCGTGTATTCTCATCGCTCATTCATGATCATGCATCGTGTCTGACATGAAGCAACCAAAAACATCAACGCAAAAAAAGAAAGAAAGTAGACCACCCGTGTATCTAGTGAGGTGTATCCGAAAGTCGTGATATACTGTATCAGGTTGCGGCCCCGCTTACCTGACTATCCGTTGTGCTGAGCCGATCGAAGGCTCGGATCAGGTTTTCCAAGGTTTCTCCTTGGAAGGCGCCGCCCTGAAGTCCATCCCTCGTCGGATGGTGATGATGGACAACGTAGTTAGCAGAAACCGATTGGACTTCTTGCTGAGTCCACAGCTTTTCGTTAAATTCCCGCAAGATGGACTGCGCCTCGACGGGAATCAACGTTTCGTCGGCGCCGGTGCTCAACACCAACTGGATCGTGCGCAGAAATGGTCGACATATTCGCCACGCGAGACCCATGTGCCAAAGACCTGACACGCAGCTTACTAGCACTTCGCGCCACTTTGAAGATCGCAGATTGGATGCAGCATGCAGCCCAATAACAAAGAAGTAGTGGACCATGACCACTGGTATAGATTTCCACCCGTGGCAAACACGGTACATCAAGATGATCGTTGCCATGGCATCCATGGCGTCTTCTAAGACCTGCTGCGGGTCGAATTGTGTAATGGCAATAATGGTTTCCTTGGTCGTAGTGGCTTCTCGGGAATTGAAAAGCCCGCAGAGATTGACCACAGTCATGTGATAGTATAGACTGCAGCAGTCAGTGGTGTGCAGGCTTGGAACGATTGGTTCACATACTGGAGGCATAAATTGTGGGGGGTTTTATTTCTTCCTATCCCAAGCACGATTGGCAGTGTCCTTTCAAATGTGAGTAACTTCTCATGAATTAAAGTGCCTTGTTGCCAGCTCGGAAGATCGACGCGGTGAGGCATCTGCGCCTCGAAACTCGAAATATCGTTAACAAGGATCAGGAGGTTGCGGCGGACGAAGACCCCTGTGTTGGCGTAGGGCTTGAATGTCGGATATGTGAACGGATAAGGTGCCCATTGCTGATTTACATCTGAAAGCAAGGCTTCTTCCTGCGAGAGGTAGTTCTCGGGGGGTGCTTTCCAGGGTGATGGTTTGCGCCCCAATTGCATTGTTAATCTATCGGGTATCAGCACCTTGTAAACAGCGTCATGCTGAAGGATGAGCACTGACGATTGTACATCGTAGATCCCGCAGGCAATGAGCTTATGTGCCCAATGATTTCGCTTCGCTTCCGCCATCGAGTCGTTGTGAAAGACAGCCGAGGAAGGAAGATGCAACCCCAGCTGCAACGCCATTTGGCCACCATAGTAGATGTATTGCGTTCCGATTTTGTCCTTTCCGGACGCGTTGAAGAACAGCCCTAGAATTAAGCTGGCTTGAACAGTGGTTAGACATACATTGTCCTTGTCCCGCTGCCAGAGACGACCAATCTCTCGGAACAGTTTCTTGGCAATGGACATTTCCTCCCTCCTGTCCCATGGCTTCTCCAGGTCGTATGAATAGTGCTACTTGGGTCAGAAAAGGTTGACCGAGGGGTAGCAATACATACACACGCAAAGAAGAGGATGGCGTGCACCAGCAATGAGGAGCAAAATTGTGTCCTTCCGGATTGAAAGTCGGCGAGGAACACACTGGGCTCGATCAAATGCCAGGTAGGATTGTCCCAGACGAAGAAGAGTGAGAACAGATGTGAGGCCACTGCGCTATCGACGACAGAGGTCCACTTCTCCGCTGCCGTGACCGTATACGGGGGATGTCGACACACCAGCTCCGCTTTTCCAGAGAGTCTATTCAGCCAGGCCCGCTGCACTCTGCCAAGGGTGACTCCGGGCCGTTGCGTCGACACCTGCTGGTCGAGATGCATGGCCGCATCGTGAACGGATGCGCTCCGCCGGATGGTCTCCACCACGGAGGGCAAAACTGCCGGATCACAATCGTGAACGAGCTGGTAAATCTGATGCAGGTCCCGAAGCTGCCCCTGAAGCACTCCTAGGGCTTGGTCTAAGCTTTCAGGGTAGTGAAGCTCCACGGATCGGGGCTCCTCCTCCTGAGACGGTGGAGCCACTGGGACTATCTGTGATCACACTGATTCAGCACACCACCCCCATGGTCAGTGACGACCGAAGTCTAGCCACAGGACAATGACGACTTACTGCCATGGTTTCCCCTTGCGAGGGAATTGAGTCCGTGGGGGGGCCCGGATCTGTATCATTGTCCTGGTTTGTGGGTCGAGAGGAGATGAGCTGGATCATTCGTTCATGGCGTCGGATGGTGCTCCGCAGTAGGGTGAGCTCTTTTTGCTCGAGGGTGCGTTTCTGTTCGGAATAGGTGCATTCCAGAGCCAAGCCATCGCACTGGATACAAGCTGGCCTGCCACCATTGCACTTAGCTTTGCGTTGTCTACACGGATCGCAGGCACGTGAGGTGCGTATGCGGGAGCTAGATAGTACGATCTGGGACCGATCTCGCGGGATCAGGACTTTGGCCCGGGAAACTCGATCGGACGCCCCAGCTGGTTGGCCAGAGGGCCCAGTGAGAGCGGGGATAGGGCCCCTCTTGGTGCGCATGTCCAAGGTCTTCGAGTTCACGATAAAGTCCCGATCGACTTTAGACAGTCATGATCGGTGCGATCGGAGAAATCCAATTGGCAATCGGTGGGCTGTCAGTATGATCGTGAGGGAGCGAGGGGGTGTTGAGTGCGGCTAGAAGAGTTTTGTAAAAAGAAAGATACTTCCATGTTGGACTGAACCCGACGGAGGATGTGGGGCACACAGAATATTTATCTTATCGTTTTCGAAAGGATGGTAGTCCCATTCGGGATCTCGGGGGTATCGGAGAGAGGGGGGGGGGGGGGAGGAGGATAAAAGGGACGGGGAGAAGGTTGTTGCGGTCAAACCTCTCACATTTGTTCAAGTTTGGAAAATAAGTGGCCTCATTAGTACTAGTAAGGGTGGATAGAAAGAGGATGAGTGTGACTGTGACCGGGAGTGTTGAGAGAGATCGGTCATGGATCCTTAGGAACGACCAGGGGACGGACCTATAGATTGAACTGCCTTGTCCCAAGTCACCAGGTGAGTGGAAGAAACGGAGGAGACGGAAAAGTTTCAGAGCAGGTACGCAGGCTGATTGGTTGCCTCCCGTTCAACGCCTCGTCACGCCTTTCCATCCTGATGCAGTGCCCTGGGTGTTGCTCAGGGCTGCTGCCTGTTTCCTCAGGCATAATGCCCCTTCCCTCACAAGTCACGACGACTTGTGCGACCGGTTGTTTAGTCATCGCTCCTTCTCACCCCCGCTCGACAGGGATTCAGCTTCAATGAATGCATGAGAATGATGAGATACGGAGTATCAGATACTTCAGCTTAACTATTTGAAACAGGTTAAGCAACTACCTACCTAGTACCTAGTAGTCCCCATCCTGTACCCTAGGAGGCTGCGGCTTTTCTGCCCGTAATATCCGCTTCTTCAGCCAGGCAAGCTGGGCGATGGAAGATATCAATTACATAGTATGGAGTAAGTTGACTATGCAGTTCTCTATCATAGTCTTCCAGGTTCCCAGAGTTTCCCTCACGTCCTAAAATCTTGTGTACCTAGTACTGTACGGAGTACTCCTGGCCACGCATCCCTCTTCTCCTTGATTGGGCAGCGCTGCTATGACTCCTCAAATCTCATGATGCGCGCTTGTCGATCTTTGCAACTTGTAGTGAGAGCCTTGGTCGGTAGGAACCCCAACAGTGCGGAATATCTCTACCCCCGGACCCGGAGTCTCCAACTCATGCACACATAAAACTGCTGACGAATACCTATGATCTCGTTGTGCAGCACTTCTCCAAGACCCTGTGATCTGCAAGGGCGATCTCTCCCTTCTGATGCAATAACCGCAATCTCACCGCCACTGATTGGAACGCCCCTGTTCATTGTTCAACCACCAGCAATGCCACTCAACAAATAATTGGTGCTTGTGCAGAATCATCCGGAGCCTCAAATACCAGGAGATCCTATTGCTGGATAGGCGGTTGCAGTCGCTGGTCACTAACCGGCAACAAATGGCCGCAATGCGCTCATTGACTTCTGGCCGGCTGGTCGGCTAGAGGACTGACAACACAAACACTTCATGCCTGCTGTATAGGCCAAGCAATGTTTTGATCCGGGACTGTATGTCATGAACATGTCACCTAAGCCATGGTTAATCATGAGCTCCAAGTATGTCTACACCACAATCGCCTCCAATAGTCCAACCACTTCCTCGAATTCCGGGTCTTACTGCTCGAGGGCACGGTACTGATACCCAGCAAATAGAGGTTCTGACAGCCACCTGCGCCGCCCGCATTCCTCAGCAACCCTTGCGTAACGCTTGAGGAACGTTGCATCTCGTCAGGCAAGCAACCGCGCTGACCGCTAGGCGTTCCCCGTGAAAGCTTGGATCACCTGGGGAACACCACTCTCTTCGTGCCCACCTCTTTCGCCGTTCAGACAGAGAGTCTGCTCGTGACAATGGAACAGAAGCCCTTGAGCTTTCACGTACCAAACACCACATGTCGCGACACGAGGCAGAGAGAAGAGACAGAATGGGATCCCGTCAGCGAGCAGAGGCTTCTGCGCAAAATGGATTGGCATCTCATGCCTGTGTTGACTCTCCTCTATCTGTTTTGCTTTCTCGATCGAGGGAACATCGGCAATGCCAGGATTGAGGGCATGGAGGAGGACCTGCATCTAGTGGGTTCACAGTACAACTGGGCTCGTATGTGCCAATCCCCGATCGCTTTGGTATAATCTGACGTTCTAGTCACGGTGTTCTTCTTCACGTATACGGTCTTTGAGCTTCCGTCCAATCTGATTTTGAAGAAGATCCGCCCGTCGATATGGATTCCTACAATCATGGTAGCCTGGGGAGTGGTCATGGTCAGTCACAACATGGCCTCACAGCGTAGCTGTCTAACAGTTTGAAGACTTTGACGGGCGTTGTCTCAAGCTACTATGGGCTTCTTATTGCGCGGCTTTTTCTCGGGATCACCGGTATGGCATTGCTGAGATTGTGCGGGGTTATGATGGATGTGTCCTAATGTTTGTGTAGAAGCCGGGCTCTACCCTGGAGTAGCCTATTACATCACCATGTGGTATTCCCGCCACGAGGCACAGCTGCGTCAAGCGATATTCTTCAGCGCCGCAAGTTTTGCAGGTGCTTTCTCGGGGATTCTGGCTTTTGCGATCGGAGTATGTGCAGCAATCTCACTGCCCTTGACTGGATTCTAATGAGCTGCCAGAAAATGGATGGCGTCGGAGGCTATTCTGGCTGGCGCTGGATCTTCATCATCGAGGGTATTGCTACGGTCGTCGTTGCGGTTGGGGCCTATTTCCTTCTGTACGACTATCCAGACACTGCCTCGTTCCTTACGAACGAGGAGAGAGCCTGGGTACTGTATCGCCTGCAATTGCAATGGTCCGACAACGGAAACGTCGTGCCAGACACAATTGAGTTCAGGTGGAAGTATGTCTGGGATGCTGTGTGCGATTGGCAGGTCTACCTGGGGATTCTTAGTACGCACCATCTGTAGGCACCGTCATCGACCAAGATCATTGCTGACTGTCACAGTCTACCTCGCCATGGTGTGTCCGTTGTACGGCATCTCATTCTTCCTCCCTACGATCATCAAGGACCTGGGTTTCACCTCCTCAATGGCTCAATTGTTAACGGTATGCTTTTGCTGTCTGTCTTCAATGGGATCCCAATCTCACTATCTAGGTCCCTCCCTACGTGGCCGCCGCTGTCGCCGCGGTCGTGTCCGCCTGGTTTTCCGACCGCATGGGTCAGCGCTCCCCGCTGCTTCTGTTTCATCTCTGCTGTATCGTCTGTGGATTCCTAGTTTGCCTCGCGGGATCTTTGACATGGGTTCCGGGAGTGATCTACTTCGGGGTCTTCCTTGCAGTTCTCGGTACGAATATCGTTCCTATTTTGCCTGCCTCACAACTAATGATGCAAAGGAATCTACCCTGCTATTCCAAACCTTGTTACCTGGCTCAGTACCAATCTCGCTGCCAGTCACAAACGCGCCGCCGGAATGGCCATGTATATCGGCATTGGCAACTTCGCAGGAGGTATGCTCATACCTGTTCTGCTAGATGCAGCCCTACCGTTCTTTGAAAGTACTAACTTGTTGCAGCGATGGCCTCGCACTTCTATCGCACACAGGACGCCCCCCGATATATTCTCGGCCATTCCCTTGAGTTAAGTTTCGCTCTGATGGGCGTGATCTGCGTGATCGGGATGAGGGTGGCCTATCAGCGGATCAATGCTCGACGAGTCGATAAGTTGGTCGCGCTGAGACCAGAGTATACGGTTGACGAGTTGCGGGCCATGGGGGACAAATCGCCAACCTTTCGGTACATGTTTTAGTTTAGCTCGAGGTAGTTGCGTGATAGTCATGAGGCCAATCCCAATGTGACCTTTTATCAATTTACTCGTATAAGGATCATCCTCGCAGTACTAGTAGCGACCTCAATTTCAGTTTAATCGAACCTGGTTTGATGCAGATGTCACGTGATGCGTCCGCCGGGTCGTCTAATCATGCGGCTCTCCTTCACAACTTGTTCTTCAATGATTGAACCCAGACCAACACTGCTCTTCACGAGTCTTTGAGATTTACTCTGCTTCTGCGATTGAGACTTAATGTGATCAACACAGACCAACTGTCTTGAAGCGCACCTCCTACTAGTCAGATCCTGTGCGTCGCGCAAGATTCGAACCCAAAGAAGGACCCAATGGAGTTCAGAAGCATGTATTGAATCTCCAGAATCAACACCGATTTGTTACAAACAGGATAGGGAGAACGGGGAGCAGAAAGACGCCGAGCCCAGATCCCAGGAATAATTTGAGGATGACGTTATCCTGCCTCTCAAGGAGAGTACAATGATGACGTCTCACTCTGGTGCAATCATCAGTCTCCCATGCCTGACCATGCTGGACTCCTCATCTCAGTCATCAAAGAACATCAGAGAAATGATTTGCATTCTTCCAGATACAGATGGTAGCAAGTTTACCCCCGCACTTCGCAGATATCATACTTAGTCACGAGGCGCCTTGACAATCCTGAATCCGCTGAGTGGTGAAAGGGTTCGGAGATCAAACCATTGGTACTGCGTTCAACTTCCTCATATCGTGGAATCCCGAATTCATCCAAATACCCCAATATCTCCACAAACCAATAGATAACCAAGCCGGCGAATCCAGGCTCAATTTATCCGGATGTTGAACCGGTATAGCCACACTTGAAGAAGGCAGAGAAGGGCTCAGCATAACATAGCCCACATACAAGCCGCCCAGACTGTCAAGCATCCTCAAGCGACCACGTCCAGCAAAGCCCACCGCAGGCTCAATCCACTCAAACCACCTCACACTCAATCAAACTCTCGACCCCCCTCCTCGCAGTCCAGATCTTGACCACTCGCAGCCCGTCCACAGACTCCACCAGCGCCCGCCACTGGCTCTCCGTGCGCTCCGTCGACGCGAAGTCCGCCATCATGATGATATCCAGGCTCGTCGTCTCCCAGTACGCGTTCGTCCCGGGGATGACGTTCTCGTTGAGCAGGAGTTTACTGTGGCACTTCCGCATGGCAGGGACGACGTTCGCCAGGATGCGGCGGCAGTTGTCGTCGGTCCAGTCGTGCAGGATCGAGTGCATGTAGTATGCTCTGGCGCCTGGCCACTTATCAGCAATTGATTAAGCGAGGGGATGGAGGGAGTGGACGCACCCTTGACGATCTGCTCTTCGAAGAAGTCATGCTCCATCAGCTCGATCTTCGGGTTCAGGTTCAGCTCGCGCGCTTGGGACACGACCTCGGGCAGCTCCTGCACGATCAGTCGACCAGGCAACTCGGGCCACTTGCGGTGAAACTCGGACACGTCGTGGCCCATCCCGCCGCCGATGTCGACCAGTAAGACCTCGTCCGGGGATACGGTGGCTTCCTGGACGAGGGTGTGCACGGGATAGAACCCGAGGTCCATCCAGCTGGGCCGGCCTTGGTGGTAGGCGGACATGTGGTTGTTGAACTCGCTGGCGTGCTGAGGGTGCTGTTTCAGGAAGTCGAAGAAGTGTAGGTTGGTGTCGAAGCCGCGCTGGAAGGCGCATTTGGTGCCGTCGTTGGGGAGCATGTAGTTGGTTGCTTTGAAGTAGGCGGGGAGGGCGAGCACTCCTGCCGTGATGCATCCGGTCCTAGTTTTGGATAGTTAGAGGCTAGAGGGGTCCTGTTTCGGTCGTTGGGGTTACTTACATGCACGGGTAGGCGTCGCTGTAACGAGGCGATTGCATGGAGATGGAGAATCCGGTCCTGCGGTACTCGTCTGGCCCGGTCTCCTTGATGACGCCCATCGCGGCTAGATGCTTCAGGACCCGTGCTAAGGATACCAGGACGCTATCAGCTCGGGTTTACGTCGACTATGGAACGAAAGCGGTCCATACCCAGCATCACCTGGCTAACGCCCGTCGCAATTGCAAGTTCAGCGGCAGACTTGGGCTTGTCATCCCGCGACAGCGCCGTGAAAAGATCCAAGTCTACTCCTATCTCGATCGCCGCGTATAGCGAGCTCTAATAGGAGTCAACAAGACAAGATGCATCGAGCGCGAAGGAGGATGAGGGTGATGAAGACACAAACCTGAGACCAGCAGTGTCGGATGATTGCCTCGCGCGGCGTCTCCAACGCATACACCAGAGCTCGGGCAGAATCCAAAATCTTGGTCCTTTCGAGCTCATCATTCTCCGTGAGATAGGCCTCCCCGTGCAGCGCAATTCTTTTCAGCAGTCCAGGTACCTCCTCCGGGTCGTTGGGGGCGATTGCGACATTGTTGTCGGTGAAAGCTTCTTCGGTGGGCTTTCTGATGTGGCCGTTGTTGTGGCCATTCACTGTGCCATCATTTGAACCTGTCATGTTGGCTGGTATTTCGGGAGACAAGTTTAATGGAATGGCAGAAGATCGAGATTACAAGGGGGTCGATTGAAGCAAACCTCAACCAGCGCGATTCAGTCCTAATATAATGGGAGACCATCCTGGCTTGCGCCAGCAGCGCTCGACCCGGCAAGTCGTGGGCGCCATGCGCGAAAATGAGTTTTCGTACCCCCCGAAGTGTGCCAGCAATATCCATGAGCAACATGATGGGCTATAAAAGACGGAGCTAAGGTGTCGCACAAGTACGGGGGAGATGTGGAGATGACAGCGCCATGGTTCGGAAAGAGTAGAGAACAGGATATCCTTGACATGTGCGCTTCCGTCTTCCCGGACACCACCAACACGATTCCCAAGACTGTGGACTCGCGTTACACTTATGATCACATCATTATATCAGTCTGTGATTTTGCATACTTCGCTATAATTGACTCAGATGGGATAACTCGTGTCTTCCATCTGTCAGGACCATCCAGCAGTAAGGGATTGTTGCTTGCTCCCCAGGCTACCCAGCGAACTTGCTAATTCCCTCTCCCTCTATAGGCACCCATGAAATATCTGCCTCTAACAGGGATCGGTCGGTTTCCTGCCACCTCCTAACACATTCCACCGGCTAAATCGAGACGGTACGTTTTTCGGGTACAGCCTATCCACGCGGCAACGACACTCCATGGTGAATGCAGTAATTTCGACCAGGTTTCCGATAAAGAGGATCAAGGATAAAGCAAACAATTTCGCAACAAGTTGAATGATAGACACCACAGGAACAAAGAAACGAACCTGGGGTGGATTCCCGGCTCCGCAAGGCGAGCTGTCATTCGGCCTGTTGAGGTCGTCTGGGTACGGTCTTTCAACGGTCTTCCAGGGCAAAGCCATGGTTTGATAATCCATGCAGTGTGCTGCACATGGCCTTTTGTGGCCATTGCTACTTCGAATCTCTCAACTACCAATGCGCCATTGCAGCAACTTCCCACTATGAATCTATCTTCCACAGAAGCTGCCAGTGACGACAAAGGATCAACGATATTGATCGTGTTATGGCCCCTGACGGGTCTAACCACAGTCGTGGTGACGGAGCGCATGTACATCCGAGCAGGCCTGCTGCACAATCTGGGGGTAGACGATTGGCTGATTGTATTTTCGCTGGTAGGTCTCACAGGTCTCCGCCGAAGACGCAGCTGCTTTTTGTAAAATTTGATAACATTTTCTAAGCTGATGAGAAACTAGCTAATGGGCCTCGTGTACTGCATCCTCACGACCATAAACGTCGGACTCGGCTTCGGGAAGCACGCGTGGTTGTTGAGTGCCGCCACAGTCGAACATGCGACCTTCCTCAACTGTTTCAGTTTTCTCTTCGGCATCGTCTCATTCACCGTTCCCAAGCTGGCCGTGACCGCAATGCTGAACCGCATCCTGAATGCCAGCCACATCCAACGTGTCTGCCTCTGGACACTTAGCACACTGGCAGCGATCGTATCCGGAGTGTGCATTGTTATTCTGTTTACCATGTGCGATCCACCTCGGGCGCTGTGGCAGACCAGCCTTGTCGCGGAGGGCAAAGCTACTTGCAAGAATGTGTGGATGTTGATTGACTACGCCATATTTACTGGAGGTGTGCCACTTGCTCTAAGATCCTCAACTAGAAGACTGACTACAGTGGGTAGCTCTCTCTGGATTTGTTGATCTAGCCCTCGCGATCTATTCCAGCACAGTTCTGATGAAACTCCATATGTCGTTGCGTAAACGCCTCGCCTTATGCGCAGCATTAGGCCTCGGCTCGGTGTAGGTTCGGCAGTCGTTACTTTATACAGGAACTAACTCGATACTCAGCGCCACAGCGATGGCTATCATCAAATGCACGCAATTGAAAGGTCTGGCCGACCAAGAAGACTACACATGTGCGTTTCTTTCCTCTCTTGCAGTAGCAGTACGCGAGAACTAACGAACAACAGACGGAACCGCAGACTTAATCATTTGGACTAAGTTGTTTCCTCATGCACTTACCGCCGAAGAATCATTCCTGACCAGAGACAAAGTATGGAGTCGAACATCGTGATCATCGCGTCATGTATCCCCACCCTCCAACCATTTCTAGAACTCATGCTCGGCAACCGCACGGCGAGCTCATACAACAACAGTCGTAACCGGTACAAGAGGTCCAATCTGCCAGAATATTCCCACGGGAGCCACAGCAGGAGAAGATGGATTTTGCTGTTGACACGGTGGAAAGCCAGGAGAATATCCTCCCTGATGCGGGGGGAGGGCAGGGGGAGGGGGGTCATTCGCTGGGGATCATTCGGCGGACGGATGCCGTGACGGTTGAGTATGAGCAGGGAGGAGGGGATGCCGTGGTTGTGCGGTCGCCGACTGCGTGGTAGTTGGAGCGATTGACTTGAGCTAGTACACATCATTCCCCTATTGCGGCTCTTCCCAAGCTCAGAAAGAATTACAGCTCGCCTGCATTTATACCACCTGGAGGGCTGGAACGAGTTAAACCAGATGAACCAATCGAACAACTACCTAGGCGGATGAATCCAGGTTCCGACCAGCAGAAGAACAAGCCCTGCATTCAATCTGCTGACCACAATCCGAATAAAAGATAGTATGGCATCCCCCTTAGCACGGGTGTACACCTGAACGAATACTGGTGGGGACGTCTGCACCGCTCGGCCAAAAGGATTGTCGATCTAGACGATAGTTCGCTCCATAGGATCTCAAGTCCCGTCAAATCCCCTGAAATCGAAGTCCAGCAACCAGTGCTGTGATATCATTATTCAAGCAAACCCAAAAACTCGCCAAGCATTGAAGAGATGCACCGACACGCTAATAGACACGATATATACATATACTGTACACGATCCGCAAGCCCTGTCTCATGAATCACGACTTGGATCGGGGATCCTTCCACAGGGGATCCACGAAATACACGAACCCGTGCGCCACCGAGGCCGCCAGCGGACCGACCTAGATAGTTGTTAGCACGGTCCTTACTTACTAGGGGGTAGCTCGAGCGAGTAGCGCCACCACTCCACCAAGCCAGAAAGGGCAAAACTCACCCAATGAATCCAATGATACCCGGGAAACTCGGAAGCCACGTACGCCCCAAAACACCGGGCCGGATTAACGCCTATATTACCCCATTAGCCTCCACCATGACCCCGAAACCCTATCTGTCTCCACAAGCAAGCTCTGGGAAAGGAAAACATACTCGCCCCAATATACCCCGTGCGCGTAAACGAGGTGCCCCACGTGATGACCCCGACCACCACACCGACCAACCACGGCCCCACGGCCGGCCCAAACACCTTGGCCTGGCGGGGATCCAACGCGACCCCAAAACACAGCCAGACGATGATCAAGCAGGCGAAGAACTCAATCACCAGCCCACTGGTGACCGGCACCTGGGTCGTGTCGATGTAGCACCCGCCCACCGTGATGTGGCGGTCGCCGAAGGCGGCGTGCAGCGCGAACCCGGCCAGCGCGCCGCCCAGCGTCTGGCCGAGGATGTAGAGCACCGCGCGCGGGAAGGAGATGATGCGCGCGAAGAACGTGGCCAGCGTGATCAGGGGGTTGATGTGCCCGCCCGAGCTCGGGGAGAAGGTGTAGATCAGCAGCGGCGTGAGGAGGAGGTTGGTCAGGCCGCCGAAGGCCGGGGAGAAGAAGGTCACGGTCCCGTAGACGCCGGAGGCCGCCGTCGAGGCGGTCATGGGCGCGTACGGGTGCGTGGTCACCCAGGCCGAGATGAAGGTGTTCAGCATGCTGGCTTTTGCGGGGGGTTAGCTTCTTGTTTTCGTCGGGCGGATTTGGAGTTGGGGGTGCACGGCACGGGGCGATCGCCCCATGGCGTTAAAACTGAAGACTGGGCTGGGCTGGGCTGGGCTGGGGTTGGGCGGGCTCACCAACACACTCCAACATGGCGAACTTCCACAGATCCGGCGACAGGAAGCCGCGCAGATCGAAGATCTCCCGCGCGTTCATGCACGGCGCCGCGTCGGGCACCCGGTCCAGCTCCGCCAGGTTCTTGGGGTCGCTGCGGTCCAGCACGAAGTCCTGGTTGGCGCCGATGCGGCCCGCGAAGGGCGAGTTGGCCGGTTCTAGACCATGCTCCCGGAGATGGTGCGGCGTCGCCGGGGGGAGGTGCATCGCCGTCTCCTCCTGCTCGTACTCGGGGAGATAGGGCACCGCCATTTGACGCAGACAGACACAAGATAGCAGAGATAGCAGCGATAGGTGACTGGCACGGAATGTGTCAAGGGGCAGAGATAGAAGAGATAAGGTCTGACGGGCGGGTGGGAAACGAAAGCTTAAGCTTAAGGGGCTACCGTACGGGTGGAAACTCGCTTAGATGCGATGGAGCATCCGTAATGCTCTCATCATCGCCTTCCAACCGATCTCGGGGTGCAAGTGTATCGGGATGAAACGGAGCTGACCTGAAAAGTGGGAGTGTGGACCACGGGATCCTTCGGCTCGGCTAACCGGCCCATCAGACCCCGGATTCCGGTGGGTTTGCCGAGATAGAGAAGCTTTCTGGAATATGAATTGGTCAATTGGTGCTGTCCGGGGTTTGCAGGCCAATCAGGCACTGATCAGAGACAGATAAAGTCTGGCCGATGCTCGGTTGATGGGCGGTGGGTTGGCCACGTTGTGCAGGTGATTAGATGGTGCTTATGTGGTCTGGATCGATGCATGGCTATCTTTAGTAGAGGACTGGACTGGACGTAGTTATGCGGTGGTTATAGTGGAAAAGCACCTCTGCACCATGCAAACCTTATGTCCAAGAGTAACTGTACATTATCAATTATACAATTTATCACCATCTACCTTCCTCCTCCCAAGCCACAACTACAATACAGTACAAACTACAAAGTAAAATGACAGCGGCACGGAAGTCACGGCAGCGGCAGAGTGCAGAGTGCAGTGCGCAGTAGAGTTTTTCACCCATCGCAATAGTGGAGCCCACCCGGACAGCACCCGTGTACCTGTACCTACTCCGTAGTAAACCCGCCTTGGCGGTTGGCGCTGGCCACTTCAGGATCAACGGCAACTGTTTTTCCGCCAGTGCCCACCCACCCCCTGCCAGTAATAATCCCCAGGGCAGGTTCCTGGCTAACGGTTTCTGGGAGTGGCATGTTGCAGACCATCCCAGGACCCCTGGGTTATGCTCATACGCTCCGGTTTTTGCCTATCAAACCCCAACAAAATTGGCAGATCGAATCGCGTACTGGGTTTCGGAATCCGGCAGCCCTGCTTGCTGAGCGACATAGGCTTGCCTTACTTACCGGTCTTGGTAGGGGGTCGTATGCTCAGGCTTTCACCTTCTCATACTCCGTCCTCATGGATGGATTCAGGTGCAGGGATCTTGTGCTGTATATTGCTTGGGGATTGTGGCTGCAGGGTGTCTCTTGAGTTAGAGCTGTAGCTCAGACTCATCCTGCTGCTTGTGAAAGGTGCGCCGTGGCTTATGTTTACTAGCTGCCACACACGACCAATAGTTCCTCTGGTGATGACATCTGTTAGATATGAGGCATCATTCGAAGGAGTTATGAAATGTCCTGCTCTGGATAAATTCTCCCGCGGGATGTCAGTGGAATGGCGAAGAGGGAAAAATCCCTGCAGAAGAAGGGTTGGAAATTCAGGGTGTGCCATCAACCGGATCTCTAGTTACACTACACATGTAGGAGAGCACAGAACGATGCGAATCCAGTCCGGCGAGGGATAGCAACTTCAACGCAAGATTATACTCAAACATGCCACATAATATCCAAGTACTCCACACATAGTGAGTAGACAGCAAGCGCCGCGACCGTGCCACGCCACATCGCTTGGAACATATTTCCTCCGACCCGGAGCCTCGGCCTCGCGCTCGCCTACGCCGTCTCCGACCGACCATCCCTAAATCCGAGATACAGAAGCACTCCATTACAAGATCATATTATGAAACAACACATCGACTAACAGCAAGTGCAGTGCAGAGATACCACCAACGTCAGTCACCAACCACATAAATCAGGCTTCCCGCACGAATCTTCCTGTCATTCTTCCACGTCATCATGATGGAACGCCTTCACCCTCAGTTAGCGATCATCCATCATCTAGCGGGACACCACGAACTTACATTGCGAATAAAAGGCATTCGAGTAGGTGCACGTGTACCCGCTCACGCAGACGGTCGCTCCCGTCCAGCCGCTGCCGCCACACTGCGCGTACGCCGAGGCCGTCGCGGTGCTGCCGCTTGACGTGGTCGTGCTGGTTGTGGTAGCCTTGGTTGTGGTGGTCGAGCTGGCCTTTGAAGTCGTGCTGGACGAGCTAGTCGTGGTCTTCACGGTTGTGCTGGAAGATGTGGTCGAGGCGCTGCTGGTGGTGGTCTTTAGCGTCGTCGACACCGTCGTCGAAGTCTTGGAGGTGGTCGCTGCCGCTGTCGCTGTCGCCGTCGCCGTGGCGCCCGGCAGACTCCCGCTGGGATTGCCGTAGAAGATGCCCCGGCCGTTGGTGCCCACGAACACGCGGCCGTAGGTCTGCAGGTCGCCGTTCACCACGTTGGCGGACCCCGAGCCGAATCCGTGCGACGCATCCGAGATCACCTGCCAGTTGGTGCCTGCGTCCTCGCTCTTGAACAGCCCCGCGGCACCGTCGATGGTGAAGAACCCGTAGATCACGACGTAGCTGCCCGTGGAGGACGCCTTGCCAAACCCAAAGCTCCAGCCCGCCGTGACGCCGCTGCCGATCTGCGTGAACGTACTACCGTAATCCGTGGAATGCCAGAGGCCCTTGTCGGTCGACGCCCAGACATCGCCGGCGATGGAGGGATGCGCGCGGATGGCGTTGACGGTCGTGCTGGACCCCAGGCTTACGGTCTTGGTGAAGGAGGTCGCTGTGTTCTTCGACACGTAGATTGCGCCCGCGGATCCACCATAGAAGACCGTGTTGTCGGACTTGTCGGAGGCGATGACCGCCCCGGACGGGAGAGAGGAAACCGCAGTCAAGGTGCCCTGCGACTTCGACACCAACGCGCCCGAGGTGCTGGACATGAGAAGCACCGTGTCACCATCGGCGGAAAGAGCCACCGCTCCGGTGCCGGTGCTGGTTGACGCGGCGTAGTCTGCATACCAAGTCGATCCGAAGTTCGACGACAGAGCCAGGGTCGGATAGTCGTCGCTAGCTCCGGACCGGACGATGTTGGAAGGCTTGTTGCCGGCGTAGTCGATGCCGTTGGTCGTGCCGTAGGTCGGCGTGTGGAACGCTTGGTTTGGCGCTGCGTCCAGATCCGAGTGGTAGAACCCGCCGTCGTCGCCAACAGCGGACAGCAGCGCCGGTCCGCCGGGCGGCGTAATCAGTCCGAGCACTGCCATCTCCTCAATACCGACCGCCAGTGACTTGACCGTCACATTGTGCTTCGAGTCCCAATTGGTCAGGTCGTGTCCGCCATACACTGTCAGGCCCGTGCCGTAGAGCCAGTGGTTGGAGTCAAATGGGTCAATGGCAAGGGCTTCAACCATCCAGCCGACGCGAACCGGGAATTGGTCGGTCGAAGTCGTGTCCTGGATCCAAGGGGCGTTGCTGATATCATAGCTGTAGTAGTAATTGATGCTCGGATAACCGTTCCACTCCCAAATAGGGGACCAGGTCGCTCCAGAGTCAGTGCTACGGAAGATGAGCTCATCCGGCCACCAGCAGTTGAGTGCAGCCACCATCAAGGTGCCAGGAACTTGGAGGTCAACGGACAGACCACCGTAGCCGTAGTAGGTACTCGCAAGGGAGGTGGGACTGATATCCGTCCACACTCCGCTGGTGATGTTGTACTTGTGGACTGTTCCGTTTGTGCCATCGTAAGGACCAGCGCCATTCGCGTAGGAGATGTACAGCGTCTTCTCCTCAGGGGACAAGACCCCCTTGTGCGGCAGAAAGCCATACTGAGGCTCTCCAGACACCCAAGCCCCTGGAAAGTTAGCCCTGCGCTTAGTTGCGGGCTGTTTCACACTTACAAGTAGCACCCGCATCCTCCGACTTGAAGACCGACTTGCCAGCATCCGCGACTCCTATCGACACGTTAGAAGATGATGCCACTTTCTCAAAGAGTCACGCACCAACGAAGATCCTAGGCGTCGCAGACCCCAAGCTACCAGAGGTCGAATCAAAGGTCACCCAAGCAATACCCACAGGGTCCGAAGTGTAGGTCGAGCTCGAATCCTGGAAATACGTTCCTGCACACGCTTAGCCTGAGCCCTTTCTCGTCAAAACCAGAGAATCATACCAGTCCACGTGAAGGAGGTGACATTCGACCAGGTCGCTCCATAATCTGTGCTCTTCCACAAGCCGTGCCCACTCCGCGCTCCAAAGTAGAGAATGCTATTCTTGTTCGGGTCGACCGCCAATCTCTGCATTGATGGCATCAGCTTTGCACTCTACCCACGGGATTGTCAAGCAAGGGAAGTCAACCTACCTCACCCATTCCGCGACCGGGCATATTCCCACCAACCTTGAACGGCAGCTTCGTCTCAGTCCAGGTATCACCCTGGTCCGTCGAGCGCAGGATCGATCCCACATTGGGGTCCCATTCATTGGTATACATGCCCACCGCCACGTACACACGATCCGTGTCGACCGGATCCGTGGCAAGGGCATCGATGCCCCAGTCATGCCTGAGCGTGTCAGCCAACCTACTCGTACTGTTGCCACTGGAACAAAGCAGCGCACCAGGTATCATTGCCCACCCAGTCCATCAACGGGGTCCACGTGTCGTCCGAGTTCAGACGGTACGCGCCTCCGATATCCGTGCGCGCGTACGCCACGCCTTTGGCGGAGGGATTGAAGACGATGCCGGGGGTGAAACCTCCTCCGCCTGTTTGCTGGGCAGTCAGGAATCTTGGTTCCAACTCTAGGGGATCAGACAGACTTACCACCCGTGACGACGTTCTTCCACGTGTAGGCCTGCGACGCCGCAGCGTCTGCAAGCTTGCCCAGGAGGGCCGCGCATAGCAAGGCCAGGCTGGATCGGGCCATGGTGCTGGAGACGGTGGTTGATGGCTCAAGCTAGGTTGATCGACGGAGGGGTGGGTGCACTCCAGGTCTTATTTAAATCACCCTCCCCCCAGGACGGTACGCACCTGGTGTGTTAGACAATCCCATGATTGGGATTGTTCTTGGTTTCATCAGGTTTAATTTCCGAACATCACTCCTCGGAGTATACCCCGCCTTGCTGGTCGAGCGGATTGGTGTCTTGGCCAGAATCATGGTGATGTGATCCATCATGCAGATGCAGTGTAGGCAGCTGAGGTAGCTGCAAGGCAATATGGCTTAGATTAGTCGGTCAGCTAATCAGAGACCCGAACGATCGTGTGACACGCACCTTGGCAGCGGAAGGCGTCCGAAATGGGCCAAGAAGTGAAGAAACGGATTGTCCACGGACGTTTCTCCGTCGAAGCCTCGTCCGCACTCCCCTGTTGATCAGGGGTAATATGGATAAATCCCGGGCAGAGAGGTCAGGACGCTAAGGCAGGCTATCACTTGCAGGATGGTGTGCACTCCTTCATGCAGGGGTGGACCAGATAATAGGTTGAAGAAGGAGGGATGAGGGGAAGGTGACGAAAAGACCGTAAGTTACTCAGTGCTAGTCTCTCCACGTGCCGCTGCCGCACGGGTACCTGAACATTTTCAGTGTCACCTGCCCATGACGCCAGTTCTCTGCTCGCATCCGCCCTCCTCGATTTATCTCTATCATATCATCGGCCGTCGGTCCGAGTCGCCATATTAACGGGAGAGCTGATCGGATGGGCAGTCCGTGCTCCATAGGGCACGGAGGTATATTGGTAGGCTACTTCCATTACCACAACCCTTCTTTCTCGAAGGCCAATGCGACCCTCCCAGAGATCCTCAACGCCTCAGTTCAAACAAACTTGGTCGAATCCATATGGAAGGTACTCAGTGCCTCTGACACGCGAGTTCCCACAGCTCCAGCTTCCACCGCAGCATTCCGAATCCTCTCCTGGCTGTCCCGCAGCTCCCTCGCTACGTCCTTCCATTCCACCCTCTGTTTTGCGATCGTGACCTCAGAGAAGGAAGAGTCAATGTCCACCGGCACCAGCCGACCGCCTTGCTTGCGAATCGCGCCGTTAACGATCACCGTATCCACGTCGCGCACAGACGAATGCAACACAATCGCGGCCACCGGGTGCTCCTCCGCGGCGCAGATCATCCCCGGGCTCTCGCCGTCGAAGATCACCAGATCCGCAAGCTTCCCGACCTCGATCGACCCCAGCTGATCTGCCATGCCGATCGCGCGGGCGCCTTGGATCGTCCCCAGCCGGAAGGCATCTTGCACCGAGACATCCAACGACCGCATATACTTCCCCTGCGCGAGCAGCTTCTCGTTCCGGCGAGCGCGCTCACTCTGCAACGCCAGGCGCATCTGGGTGACGATGTCTCCGGAGTTGTTGCTGTGGCAGTCGATCCCGAGCGCGGTGATGTTCGTGCAGCCGTCCTGGAAGCAGACGGGGTTCCCGTGGCCCATCTGCAGTTCGGTGTCGGGGGTGGCGGAGATCCACGCTTTCGCTTGAGAGAGTTTCTCGATGTCGGCGGTCGAGAGATTGTTGCCGTGCGAGAGGAGAATGTCGGGGCCCAGGAGGCCGTAGTCTTCGAGGGTGTCGACCAGGGATCCGTCGTCTGTTCGTGGGATGATCAGTGCCTGTATCCGGAGCCAAATGGAAAGGTCGGGTTGAACGTACTGAAATATCCCCGCACGTAGTGAGTGGTGATCACCTTCACTCCCGCTCTACGGGCGCGATCGTACAGCGCGACGACCATCTCCTTCGGCAGCATGAACCCGTCAAAAGCCAAACCTAGCTGGACCCTCCCATCGCCGAATGGCGCCGCTGCGGCCAGCTCCTCGAGTTGTTGGAGGACCCAATCGTCGAGCAGGTTAGTGTGCATCTCAATTTCCGGCTCCCACGTCTTGACCGTCGAGGTGGGCGTGTAGCAGAAGATAGAGCGGATGCCTGATGACGCTGTTGCTGCGATTCCATTCACGGCTGTTGTGCCTGTTAGTCACCGGGCGTGGTAAGCCAGGCAGACAGCATGCCTTACAATGAGCGGGGGTGACATTCATGTGGGCATGGTCCACCACGGTGGTAGTGCCTGCATCCAAGGCCTCGAGACAGCCTCCCAGCTCGCCCCAGAAGATATCCTCTGGTGTGAAGGTGACCTGCTGCAGGTTTCCTGTCGCTACTTCAGTATACGGTTCTCTGCAGAAGAGGCATACTACCGACCCGTGGGCATATACTCAATCAACGTATGATCGGCATGGCGTCCCTTGAGCTGTGTCTGCCAGAGATGATGGTGTGTATCGATGAATCCAGGGGAGATGATCTTTCCAGTACAGTCGATGACTTGAGTGGATGCGGCAGGCGGGGCTATCTGGGGCGCGATCTGCGAGATCTTGGTTCCTTCGATGAGTAGCGAGTAGTTGCGAAGGGGAACGACGTAGTCAGTCTTGTCGCCGGAGGGAACCAGAATCGTCGCGTTTTGTAGAAGGATTGATGCCATTTCGGTATTGTTCTCGATCGGGATGATAAGCTCAGCACTTGTGGCCTGAGACGGTGCAGTGCGGCTATCCTCGGTCAACTTGTATTATGCTGGCTGGGCTCAAGCAAACGCGTGAACCCTGTTTGTTATATCGTCAGGATAAACATCTGATCGGGGGTCTAGATGGACGGGGCATTGGTAAGCCTCGGAGCCAAGATGAGCGCGAAACGCGATGCTGACTGGTGGTGCACGGTGGGTCGACGTCATGTGTGGGGGGAAGGTTTCACCTGATGCCGGATATATGAATGATAACCCGGTGTTTTATATGTGATGCATGTAAGCAAGGTGAGCATAGTAACAGCATTAATGGTGTGGATTTCACCAAGATAACCTCACTTGGGAGTGTAAGATAGTAGGGCCGGCATCGTCGATCGGCACATGATTGATTAAGGTATATATATTCTAGTCAGCTAATGAACGATCCGCTGTTTCAACAAAACAAGCCCAAGGAAACACTACGGATAAGTCAATTATAGATACACATATACATGGAATACATTTCCATAATTCAAGTGTAGCTTACAAATAATGCACACAACAAACAACCCCAAAGATACATACCCAGATCTGCAACAGCAGGTGCAAAGATGTGCCAGATCTGCCGACATTGACCCGGCGCGGAAAGAGCACTCCAATTACCCGCTTACTCAGAACGTACATAAAGTCCCGATCTGCTCATCGGACCGGATCACCTGACCCAGCACCCCCGAGCCCACCAGCCAGAAAAGCGCTAATGCAAAGGGGGCTAGCAGTGTACGCGGGGGCAAATCATGCACTGCACGGAGTGTCTTTCTTCAACCGTTCTTCACTAGATCAACTTTCACCCATAAGTATGGAATACAGTACAATTTGAAAAAGGGTAAGCTACGTGCTGAGTAATCGGCCGATTAGCTCATCTTCCACCGGTGTATAGAAATGCAGGAATTATCATGTGTGAATCGTAAATGATGGACTGCCACCCCAGCCGGAAGCAACGGAAGACCCCAAGGCGCTAACATCGGGCCGGAGAATGACAGAACGGGAGAGAGGCGGTCTGCATTCCGGATAGGGGTTTGTTGCTGTTGCGGTGGCAAAGGTTGGCCTCTCGTGTAGCCACGTGTGAATGGAATAGGGGCGAACCTGCAGAATTAGATTGAAGATATGGATGGTGATGATTTGTCTACTCCGTATGTATGTGCAGTAAGATCAGCAGTGGAAACCCTCCAGTGGACGATCTCCCGAGGCACGAAGGAAGGAATAACTCGGAGAGGGCCATCACGACCAGACCCAGACCCAGTCTAGAACTACTAGACTACAGTACCACCACTAACTAGTACCACTCGTACCAAGCCAATGAATCTAGCATCAAGACACGCACCACCTCCCACCTCCCAACTCCCAACAACCTCGACACAACCACAACCTTGGAACCCGAGGCGGTGAAGCCACCGACCTGCCAACCAGCCAACCTGCCAATCGGCAAGGCCCTCCCCGCATCTCGCCCCCTAACCGTGCAAGTGAATGTTTACAGCATCGCCCCGATCCGGCAATAAGTGGATCATCGGAGGTGGGAAATTCTAGAACTAAAATGGCCTCGAGCTGGCGGCGGCGGCGCACAAAACCTCCTTGCGACGGCCAGGGAGTTCATCGCCATTTTTTTCCCCCTCTCTCTTCTTCTCTTCTCTCACATCACATCTCGCGCAACTGAACACTCTTCCCCATGACCGCCATCCGCAGCTGAGGATTGAGTGGCACGCTGGTTCGGTCCGCAGATCCGGAGACTAAGCTCCAGCACAGGCAGACTCGTTCGTCTCCAACGACCGCACTGAATCCTCCTGCCAACCGACTCAGCGCAGCAAAATGTCGACTGGAGGCTACAGCGTCCAGGAACTCCCCCCGGACCCAAGGATCCTGTCCGGCCTGAAATACCGCGGCTATCTGTACTATGTGGCGCAAACGGCGGTCTGGACGTTCCAGGCGTATTTCGTGCTGCGGCTGGTGTCGATCTTGACCTCGCCCGTGCAGACATGGCAGATGTGGGTGACGCTGGCCATTGAGGGGATGTTCGCTCGTGAGTCAATCTTCCAGGACGACAAAACGCATAACTAACCACCCACAGTACTCTCGCGACAAGACCAGCTCCTCACCATCGCATCGGGCCGCGCGCCGCCCAACTCACCCCGCAAGCGCCTGCGCCTGCAAGGCGATGAGAACCTCCCCACCGTCGAAGTCCTGCTGCCCTGCTGCGGCGAGCCCGTCGAGGTGATCCTGGACACGATCCGCGCCGCGTGCACGCTGGACTACCCCGTGACCAAATTCCGGGTCCGCGTGCTCGACGACGGCGGCTCCGCGGCGCTCCGCGCGGCCGTCACGGAGCTGCAACCCACATGGCCGCACCTCTCCTACCACTCGCGCGGCCGGCAGACGGGGCAGGTGTTCGCGAAATCGGGCAACCTGAACTACGCGCTGCAGACGCTGCAGGAGAAGACCCAACCCGAATTCTGCGCGATCTTCGACGCCGACTCCATCGCGGCGCCGGAGTTCCTGCGCGCGACGCTGCCGCATCTCCTCGCGACGCCCGAGGCGGTCCTCGTCACCACGCGCCAGTACTTCTACAACCTGCCGCGCGGGGATCCGTTCTCGCAGTCGCGGCTGCACTTCTACACGTGCCAGAACACGGAGCTGGATCTGCAGGGGCGCGCGATCGACGCCGGGTCCGGGGCGCTGTTCCGGCGGCGCGCCATCGTCGACGCCGGCGGGTACCCGACCTACTCGTTCTCGGAGGACTGGCAGCTGTCGCTGGTGCTGCAGGGCCTGGGCCATGTGACGATCCAGGTGCAGGAGCCGCTGCAGTTCGGGCTCGTGCCGACGTCGCTGGCGGGCCACATCGCGCAGCAGAGCCGGTGGCACATCGGGCACACGCAGCAGAACCGGGTGCTGTTCGCCCCCTATAACGCGACGCTGTCGCGGCCGATGCAGTGGGGGATCGTGCTGAACGGGCTGGCCATCACGGGGCGGCTGGTCGCCTTGCTCGCGATCTTCGTGGCGGTCCCAGCTCTCCTCCTCACCGCGCAGCCCCTTATCCCAACCACCCGCTACCTCAAACCCCAGCTCATCCTGGCAACAGCCCACGTCGCACTCAGCTGGCTCTTCGCCTGCCTGCAATCCGCGCACACCGACTTCCAAAGCGCGCCGTTCGCCCATCTAGAGAATACCTGGCTCGCAGGATGTAAGGCCCCCCCAGCCCCCCAAACCAAAACCAAGACCAACTAACCCCAAAAACAGCACACCTCCTCGCCCTCCTCCGCTTCCACCTGATCTCCCCGCGCCCGAAAAAAGGCTCCTTCGTCACCGGCAGCACAACCAACACCTCGAACCGCCCTAACGCCCCTTCCTTGCTACAAAAGCTGCACCACAACCTGTGGGACAACGGCATCGGGTTCAGCGCGCTGCTGCTCGGCACCACCCTCGTCGCATTCACCCTGGCCCTGTGGCGGGGTGTCTCCGTCTCCGACCCTACCACAAATTTGGGGACAGTGAAGGCACGGTTGCTGACGGGCGCGGCCTTCCCGCCGATGCTGCATATCACCTTCCTCGTGGTGCTGAGTCTCGTCGAGCCGGTGGTGCATCTGCTCGCGCCGCCGGTGTTCCCAGACCGGAAGGCGGGGCTGGAGGTTTCGAACTTGCAGGCGGGGGTGTGGCAGCCCAAGGCGGAGGTGCGGGTGGCGTGCGTGCAACAGCGGAAGGCGGTGGGGGGGTTGGTGGGACGGATTGTGGTCGTGGTGGTGGGGTTGGGGGCGGTGGGGGTTGGGGTGTGGTGGTTGTAGACTCAGCACGACACTAAGCTGCGGGTTTTGGGGGTGGGATTGTGGAAATATGGGAGAGGGATATATGGGGGCGGTGGATTTTTTGGGGAGGCAGGCGGGTAATTTGCATAGCTTATCTTTGGAAATACATGATCCCTGGGTAATTAGAGTTTTATAGGCAATGGAATAATATTTGTTTTGTTTTTCTTTTCTTTTTTTCTTTTTTACGGGATGTTGAGATGAAGGAAACGTTCATGGAATGAGATTAGATCTTTGTGAAATGAATGGATGTTACTCGGTGACTCGGATGATTGCACTGCACTTACTAAGTACTACCTTACCCATCGTATAACCTCGCACTAGCAATTCTGCCGATCATACTCAGTCCACTAGCCACCGGCCCCAATCTCCGCTTGTATAGTACCTAGTAGTAGGTACTGTACTCCGTACAGTACCCCCAAAATGCCCCAGCGCAGAAACCGCTGTGTAACCAACCAATCATCCCGTGCAGAAGCATCAGTAATCCAACACAATTTGACGCCGGGGCACACCCACATCATCCCAAGCTAAACCCCCCTTCCTCAATCCCTCACCCACAAGACCGACTAAAGAGTCTCCCGATCCCTCCACCGCCCCATCCCCGCCCTCACCCGCCGCCCCAACACCACCATCCCCACCATCCCCACCACGCCCAACACCGACACGCCCCCGAGCACACTCGACCCCCTCCCGACCCCGAGATTCCGGTACAGCGGCACCCCGTAGTGGATGGACGCCGCCGCCAGCGCGGACCGGCAGAAGTCGTTCGCCGCGAACAGGCTCGCCGCGTACCGCGGGTACAGCTGCGGCAGGTACAGGAACAGGCTTTGGAAGATCACGAAGACGCCGCCGGTGTAGAGGACCACACCTGTTAAACTGGGGAGCCAGTGGATGGCGGGGCGGGCGGTCCAGCCGAATAGGAGGAGGCCGAGGGGGAGGAAGAGCGTGGCGGGGAGGGCGGGGAGGAGGTTGCGTTCTTGGTTCTTGTTGTTGTTGGAGGTGTTGTTGTTGGTGTGGGTGTTATCATTGCGGTGGGGGGTGGGATTCGCATGGTCGGGTTCGGCTTCATGATCGGGAGTAGATGCTCGGCCGCAGAAGATATATGGCACCAGGATCAGAAAGTACACCGCCGCCGCAACAAGGCATCCCACGAGCACGCTCAGGTAGAATAGGGCCAGCGTCCCGGTGGAGACGCCGTACCCCTCCAGATACGCGACGGGGAACGCGTCGAAGAAGATGTAGTAGCTCGAGTAGATGAAGGAGGTGTACAGGTTCACGAAGAACACCGCCGGGTCCTGCAGGGTGATCTGCACCGGCTTGACGAGATAGAATTTGAGGCGGGCCCAGGCGGACACGTCGGGCGGGCCGGTGGCGGCGAGCCCCCGCCGGAGCCGCACGGTGGGAGCGTACGTCTCGGGCAGCACGAACAGCAACACCCCCACCGGCGCGGACATGCACGCGATGAGCCAGATGGACCAGTGCCACGAGAGCTGGTGCACGAGGTGGTCCGTCAGCAACGGGCCCAGCGCCGGCCCGCAGTAGGCCGCCGCCGTCCAGAGGCCCAGTGCGTAGGGGTACTGGGTCTCGTCGAACATGTCGTACATGCTGGCCGCCCCGTTGGCCAGGCACGGGCTGCCGAAGAAGCCCTGGATTGACCGGAGGAAGACGAACGTGCTGAAACTGTCAACGCTGGCGGCGCCCACCGTGATGACGATGAAGACCATGAAGCTGCTGAAGTAGACCACGGAGCGACCGATGGATGGAATCTCGCTCATCGGACCCCACAGCAGTGGTCCTGCGCCGTCTACAGTTGTTAACCGATACCTCACGGGAGACGGGGATACGTACACCCCAGAACATAGGCCGACAGCCCGAGTAAAGCCCGCTGTTCACTCATCCCCATCTGTTTGACCAGCACCGGAACAGCCGACATGTACATCGCGGATCCCGCATAGACCACGAACCTGACTCAGTGAGAACGGCGAACATGGCCAGAGATCGTCGACAGACATACGTATAGATGTAGATTACGCTGGCGGTGAACACCTTGCGCGAAAAAGGCCAGTTCTGCGGATTGGCATTATGCGTCTCCCAGTCATGGCTGGCTGAACGGCCCTCGATGTGTGAGCCGTTCGGCTTCGTAACACTTGCAGAGGAAGGGTCATGGTCTTGCTTGTCACGCCTGTGACGTAAGGATTGAAGAACGTAGATGATCGGTAGATCGGACAACGTCTGCAACATGGTGAGTCAGTTGCAGACAAGCGGCGAGAGTATACAATTGACGCTCTCCTGAGCGGGCACAGTGAGTTTATATGTACATGCTGCATGTAATGCTGTGCTTGAGTTCCTGCAATACCCACGTAGTCGACTATATGCATACGCATCATCATCGAAGCCACCTCCATGGCGTCAACTCTTCACACCGGAATTCCCCCGCCGGCTGGAATGTGACTGAGACCCATTCGCAGATCAGCAACCCCAACAGGTATTATGCAGCACCATAGGCCTGGACGGGAATGTGACTCTACCCAAACAGGGGTTAAATGACTATTCGAGCTCGCTGAATAACCGGATCGAAGTCGAACATGACTCGGAGCGATTCTCTCTGACGTCTGACGCATTCCCGATCAACAGGATGTGGGAATTCCCGATGCAGCTGTGAGATGTGTATGCGCCCGAGAACGAGAGAGATCCCGTGTGGAATGACAGAAGCGAAATCGTCCAGAGTGCGATGATGCCGTCAGATGGGATATGTGCACTCCAGGTAAGGATGCTAGTCAGGTAGTCAAGAAAGGATGAAAAGATCACAGAAGATCACAGAAGAACTGAGGGAAGATCGTTGTTTGGGAACGGAACGCATAGACTTCGGAAATCGAGATCTTCGTCAGAGTAAGAGATGAAGGGAAGAAGGGAGAAGAAGATCAGTTCTTTAAAGGAAGGGAAGCCGAACGGTCACTCTACAGGTCAAGGCACCGCCACTGCACCACGGCAGAACCTCTCCACATCACCCTGCTCATTCATTCTTATATGCTCGATGAAGAAAGCAGACATCCCTTCCTTGCAGCCCCGCCTCATGCAGATCTAGGATTAAACGCCAATCTTTAGGCGGGTGGCAAGTTTCTCGATTGGATTGGTCCGTATGAGATACCCCAAGGCCATACGTGAGAGCTTTCATTGGCTGTATGTACTGAGCTTCGCAACCGAAACCGTCAATCCATCGCTTTGAAACTCATCTCTACAACTGCGTCAGCACCCACATTCGCAACACTTCCCTGCTTCCACCGCGCTCAACCGACAATAGCACGAGGTCACAATGGGCACGTCCGCCGCCGCCATCGCCAGATCCCGGGCCGGCTCGATCAGCCTCGCCTCGTCCAGTTTCTTCTGCTTCACCAGACACTCATGCAGCCCATGCAGCCCCCAAACGTTGTTGAGCCGGCCCTTCCGCCGCGGAAACCCCTCCGCCATGCCCAAATCCTCCCGGAACACCCGCTCCGCCTCTGCCACCCGTCCCTGCTCGAGCAGCAACCCCCCCAACGCATGTCTGACCGGCTGCATCCACGGCGGCGGATCCCCGTAGGGCAGATCGTCCTCCAGCTCAGCCGCCCTCGCCAATGTCTTGAACGCCTGATCCACCTCACCCCGGCGGTACTCCAGCTCGCCTTGCAACATCTGCGCGCCCACGGCCAGCACATCAACCTGCTTGCTCGGCAGACTCGCGATGCGGGTAATCGGCACCTTTCCCCTGGCCTCATCAAACCGCCGCTGCATCGCCTCCGCCTCCTCTACCTTCCCCAGCGCGCTCAGCGCAATTCCCTTGGCATATAGCACCGTCGCATACGTCGCGCAATACAGCTCCCGATCCTGTGGCTCCTGCAGCCCAAGAATCTCCTCCCACCGCCCAAACCGCACCAGCACATGCGCGCGGTTCCCCAGGAACGACTCCACCCAGTCCGCGACGGGGGGACTCTTGATCCGCAGCGTCTCCTCGGTCACCAACCCCTCCAACTGGCCTACCGCCTCCATACTCACGGCGAACTGCCCCGCAATCAGCGCAGAATACAGCTTCGCGCAGATGTTATGCACGCGGTACGCGACATACAGCGCCCCACCCACGCCCGCGCCCGTGCGTCCCTCCGCCACACACCCGGCGACATACGTCTCGTCCGCGCGGATCGCGTCCGAGTTCGACTCCACCGAGCGCCGGTAGTCGCCGACGGCCATGTCGATGTGCGTCGGCATGTGCAGGAGGTGGGCGGCGTCCGGCGCCGCGCGCCGCAGCCGGTCCGCCGCCGGCAGCGCGATCTCCGGGTACGGTGACATCTCCATCAGGTGGATGTACAGGTGGCACAGCGTCGGGTTGTGTTGCGCTTCGCGGCCGGTCGCGAACGCAGCCTCGACCAGCTGTCGCGCTTCCACTGTGTGTCGCCCGCTGGGTTCCCCGGTCGTCAGGTTCCATAGCCCGCGCGGGGAGATGCACATCAGTGCTTCGATCAGCAGGGCGGTGATGTCGATGTCGTTCGGGTGTTCGCGGTAGGCCGTGCGCATGGCGTCTGCGTAGGCGTGGTTCAGACGGGCGAAGTCGATGGGGAAGTTGTCGGCGAGGATGGTTTCGGAGGGGGTGTCAGTCGATGTAGACCAGCGCGGGAAGCGGGGGAAGAGGGCGGTGATGAGGGCTCTTTCGGCCGCGGTGGTTTTATTGGCTGGGTCTTTGGCGAGCTCGAGGGCGTGGGTGAGCGCGCACAGGGCCTTCGTAATGCTCGTGGCGAGGTCGGCGCGGTCGAAAAAGGCCCACGCTTTGTTGTAGTTGGGGCCGAGGCTGTAGGCGATGCCCCAGTGGGCCATAGCGCATTTGGGGTCGTGCTCGACAGCTGCCTCAAAGCAGCGCAGGGCCTCTTCGTGGTTGAAGCTGTAGGCCCATTGCCAGCCGCGGGTGAACCAGGTCTGGGCCGCAGGGGAGGTGGTCGTCACCTTGCGGGCGTAGGTGCCTAGATTATAGTAGGCGTCGCCTGGTGGGGGTCTAGAGATGTTAATGGTTAGGAGGAATTGAAGACGTCAAGAAGAGAAGGTCAGGGAGGGACTTACGCCATCTTGATGGTAGTTTGCAAGATGGGAAATGTGTTGTGAGGAGGGAGAGTTGTGTTGTGGAGGAGAGTCTGGGATGATAAGCTGTGTTGCTACTTATAAGGCGGGGAGCGGGGTAAAGCATTGCCCACCTCGGCGAGCTGCGGGGCTGCTTAGCGTTCAGTGTGGCGGACCTGTCACTTTGGCCGCTCTAGGGAATGTAGATCCCGGCACTATTGCAGACATGCATCGCAAGCGATCTGTGCACTGCATCCATCCATTCGTATTGAGACCCAGTCGGCGATGTGCAGGGGTGACTGGGAATGGACAACAGTACTTCGTAGCACTGGAGCATACTGTAATGTCTATCTGCTTTACTCTTTAGGTCTTTGTAAGATTATCGACAGTTACAGCCATTTGTCGCTATGATTATGCTATCGAGGGCACCGATTGCGCAATGCCACACTAATTTCGCCAATTTAAGTTAGCATAGATTCAAGCCAGGTAGAAAATGCTTTCCAAGGCATCTAGAGAGCAGTTGAAATATCAACAACATATGCTTGTAGATACACACTACAAATGACACTCCGATGATCGGGGAGCCTCCTTTTACGGTATCCCTGACAAGAGCAAAGACACTAAGCATACACTGCAGGTCGCCGATTATTTCACCTTTAGACCAAAAGGACTCCACTGGATTGTGTCAATCCAGTAAATATGGAGCAGAGTAGTGAATCTTAATTACTACTTGCTCAATTTCACATGATGCAACTCTATTCACAAGACATTGGCTACGATAATTCTCTACAAAAAAGGTGAATCACTCACCCTTGGTGAATGTAAGAATGGCCACGACTCTGGAGTCCAAGTTCTCTACCAATTTTCGAGATCTCTGGATCTTTTTCTCCTCTCCAGCACCTCCACTTCGATCCAAACAGCCTGCAGTTTCTTGCGATATCTAAATTTCAGCGCAGAAGTGCATCGAAACTGTCTGAATCAACTGTGATGTTTAAGATCAATGGAGGCATAGTCCCCCCACCCCGAATTTTCTCGGTACACTACTTACGCGACTGGATATAGACCCATTGTGTCAAAAGTTCCAGGTCTAAATCCACAGCAGAGATCTACAAGACTGCCGTCGCCAAGATCCATGACTCCTCGCCAACAGTTGCAGAGTATCCAACGCCATATTCAAGGTTCTCCAAGTACTTTGAATGTATCTTCTTAGTTGTTACGCCTCACCAACGAGTGCAGAAGAAGTGGATTGCAACTGTCCCAACGCACCTCGATATTCAAGGTCAGCGAACACAGGTGGCCCCGTACATCACATCAACATACCCGAGTTTCCATTTATCTCGAAACCGGCTGCCTCTGTGAACAAGACGCTCCCCGCACTTCAGAAACAATGCGTCCTGGCGGACAAGAAGCCAACATACACAGGAACATGGAAACCAGGCGAGCCCGGCCTGGTAGCCGATGCCTAGGACAACAGAAATGAAATAGAGCCAGGCTTGGTCCAAGAATCCTCTCGTCGTAGGATGCTGAAACCCAGTCGTGGTTGGCTGACCGCCTTACAATGTCCGACTGCCAGACTGGCTCGTGTCTATGATGTATAAGCTTCTGCCGGCGGAGGAACTTCGACAGATTGAATGTAGAGTGGGTCCATGTTTGCCCCGAACATGTCCTCGGTACTTCCTTTCGATGAGCTCCATATATATTCATGTTCAGGCGTTTCAAACTGTGCCGAACGCAGACAAAAAGACCCCTATCCTAGAAATGGAATCTGATAAATTGGAGGCGCAATCGCGGCACCCACAAATCGCAATTCCAGAGACATGGATGTCTGTAAACATTTAGCAAAGGGGTATGCACGACACAGACCGCATGCATAGCAACCATGCAGAATCGAGAAGGAAACCCTGTAACGCACTGTTGGGTTTCAATGCATACAAAGTCTAAAGCAAGCTCAAATCTGCCCTTGAGGTGACCGTGGATGGTGGAGTCGAGAACATTGTAGAATGGGTGATGGAGGTGATGAGTGAGGCAGAGGGGACTTTGAGGAAGGGCTTTCATTGAGGAAGATAGTTGTTGCTCCTGAACACTTTATCACAGAACAAGCTTGGCTGTCATGGTTCAGTTCTTGGAAAGCTAGGTGTGCTAGATAAGCAACCCTATTAGTATGAACCTCATCATTCGCTCGTTACCCAAGGCTATCTGTCAAGATACCACCCTTGGAAGAACTCAGAGGCAATGTCAACACCAGGGGCATTTGAGGATGTCTACGAGCTACAAGCTCTGCGTTTTTCTTATTCCAAACACCAGCCCCTCGTCTAATCAACAAGATAATAACTGCACCACCTCGTCATGCCCTTGCTCACCGCCCACCCCAATGCAATCATCCCATTCCCGTCTTCTGCCTCCGAATTCGCACCCTTCTCAAGCAGTAGCTTGACGACTCGAGTAGAGCCCCACCTCGCAGCCCATAACAACGGAGTCATGCCCGCCGTATCCGTCGACTCCATCTCCGCCCCGTGTGCAAGTAACAGTTCTGCGACTGACGCCCAACCCGACTGTGCCGCGTAGACCAACGGGGTCCTACCATTGTGGTCCCTCGCATCTACACGAGCACCCCTCCTGAGCAGGAGCTTGATGACTCGATAGGTCAACTGCCCCGGAATCCTCTGTCGGAGGCCTCGCTCCTCGTCATTCTCTAATCTCCAGTCAACTCCTCAATCACGAAGAATCTGCACCGCTGGCTCAAGCTCGTCCCGAGCTGCCACTGCCAAGATCGTGTCACCAAAATAATTCTTCTGGTCAATGCTAGCGCATAGGCATTAGGATTATTTTGGCGGTTTCGGGAGGTCGGGGTGGTTCTGAAACAACATGGCTGTTGCTGCGACCTGCTCCTCTTCCAACACAGAGACCCAGCCCACCGTGTAGTCGTGGCGGGTTCTTGTGCCATCCTTCTGATCACTCGTCTGTGTCTTGTGCGCTAACGTGGGTTGCTCTGAACGGTCTATCGATCGGGAGACCAGCGAGTCGGTCAACCAGTTCTCATCATTAGTGGAGGACATGGTGGTCGGGAAGTTGGTTTCGCTAGTGGCAGACATGATGAGAAGATGCACCGAGGAAAGAAACAGAGTCGGGGCTCAAAGTGGGTTTAAGTCGGGGGTCCGAATGAACTGCACGGCGCCTGCCAAATCATCACGGCACAACCTGCATGCTCTAGTGCTTCGCTTATGTTGATCCCTTTTGTTCTTATTTACAGATGTTATATGTCTTTCAAACTAGACAGTCAGTCTTTGAAAATAGAGCCCTCACAGACACGCATCATCGTCCGGACAGTGCACCGTCCCGCCCCCCACCTTGGTCGACAACAACCCTATACAAACCGACGCCATCAAGCCGCCTCCTCCGCCAACGCCTCCGTTCTCGACCGACTATTCGGATCCAGATACGGCGCCTCACCGATACCCACCGCGCGATGCCCAAACCGCTCCCCAAGCCCCTCATAATCAAACGTCGCGGTATGGAACACGCTCCGATTATCCCAGATAGCTGCCGACGCATTAGCCCAACCCCCACCAGCAACGCCACACCAGAAAGCCAAACTCACCAATATCATTCTTATTCCTCCACTTCAACCGCACCTGCAAATCATGATTCTCGGCGACCACGCGCTTAAACTTGTCCAACAACTCCTCCGACTCCTCGCCCGTCAACTCATTGATCACCTTCGGAAACGGGCCAATCGCAAAAACACTCTTCCATCCGGTCACCGGATTAGTGCGCACCACCGGATGCACGGCCGTCAACTCCGCCCCGACATTCAACGGACTCCCGCGGGGGTCCGTATAAATCCGGACCTCCGTGGGATTCCGCTCCGCCGCCTTGAGGAACCCGTCCCCGGAGAACGTCGCCGTCAGACCCTCCAGGAACGCGCGGTATTTCGGGGATAGCCGGTCGTAGATCTCGTATCCCGACGCCCACAGGGTATCGCCGCCGGTGCGGGGCAGCTGCGTCAGCCGCAGGGAGGTGTAGTCGGCGGGCGCGCCTTCGAACTGGATGTCCGAGTGCCATTGCGCCGAGTCGTACTTGCGGCGGTTGAGGGCGTGGCTGGGGCCGAAGAGCTTCTTGCGCGCCAGCGAGCTGATCGTGCTGATCTCCGCGTCGTTGACCCCGAATTCGTTCGTGTTGTTGAGCACCGGGTGGATGTGCAGCGTCGAGGTCGCGGGTTTGCCGCTGAGTTCGCCGAGGCGCTGGACCAGGTGTTTTTGGAGTGCGTCGGTCAGGTTATCCTGGGCGCGGAAGAAGACGACGCCGCGTTGGGAGACTGGTGTCGGGGTTAGTCGGGGTTGTTTTGGGTGGGGTGGAGCGGGAAGGCGAGGGGAGTTAGGGTTGTGAGGTGCGCTACGTACTGGTGATGGCCAGGTCGCGGACCAATTCGTCCGCGTTCGGGGCATTCAGCAGGTCATCGACAATGTTGACGGTCGGATACTCGCGTCCGATGACTGGGGTGGTTTCTTCATACTCGTACCTGTCCAAGGCGCCGCTGACCTTGAGGGGCTGGGGGTATTGACGATCCGCGTCGGGGTGCGGGTGGACGGGGATGGCCGTCTCGTTGATTCCGGGAGCCATGGTGAAGAACGAGAAAAGATTGGTACGATTGATGCAACCGGGCAGGCATTGTGAGGGGTTGTCTAAACACTCCATTTATATCGCTAGATAGCGATCTTGCCGGGCGAGTCAGTCAACGCATCCCACCTTAGACCCGACATATCACGCAATCCGCCATGCATGTTATGCAACCACCAACCAACAATGCATCAACATTTTGGTATCGAATGTACCCCGCATGTCGTCTTATGGCGCAATATGCCATCTTATCAAGTTTTGATCAGTAAACCTATCGTCTTATCGGACCTGCTGCCTCTTTATGGAATGCCGAGTTCCGTCACTCGGTACTTGGCTATCTGCCGGAAGACGGCCGGAAGGGCACTGGGGAGGTTTCCACCATGCTATACTGACAATGGCCAGATGAAATTGGGTCGAACGCAGTTTCTGAATCCGTTGTCGGGCGTATTCATCGAGAGCAAAGTCAACACAAAACAAAAGCTATAAGGCTTGCAGTGCTACAGCCAGTAAGGCAGCATCCCACCGAATTTCCATCCAACCTTCATCCCATTGAACCTATTCCCCGGCAACATATGCCCGGAATGAGGTAGCTTGTTGCAGCTCGAGTAGCACAGCCCCTAGCTCAAGCATGGATCGTCTCGGGGTGTATTTAACATTGCTGCATGCAGGGCAAGGATCTGCAGCATAATGACTGATATCTGACTGCGTGGGTGTGTTCGATAAGTCAACGCCGCGGAACGTATATACTACGGTTGGAGCGACGTAAGCGAATATCTTGACTGGATGGTTGGGACAATAGTCGTGGTGTCCGATGTATTTGTCTGGATGATGGCGCAAGGTTGAAGACAAGTGCTATTGTGATCGAGACGGCTACCTTGGACCTACTCTCTTAAAGCGATACAGATCATCTTCCAGAATCCATACTTTATTGGGGCCAGTTAACACGCAATCCTATCTGCGACTGAGGCCTTTTGAAAACAATCTATAAATAGCAATTGTGATAGACGCCATGAGAGCACGAACTGCCTTATAGAGGAAAATATTCCAATCAACGCAGAAAGAGCTGTGAAACTGATCGACTGGGGAAAGCTGACGGGGACGCTGCCGCTGGCATATAGACGATTGCCTGTTGTCTACAGAGACCCAAAGAGTAGGGCCGACATCTGCCCGGCAGTTAGCCGCATTTCGCCCGGCTATACTGGGAAATCCTATCTGGGCGCCAATACATAATGCTAGGGAACATCCTTTGCACGAGCTGCAGCCTATAGGAAGATTCACTTGCGGTTACCTCGACTGATCCCAGGATGCGCAGCTTCGCGAGGTCGATTGAGGCCATTGTCGCATATGTGATAACCGAGGGCAGGCGGGAATGAGATTGCGGACAAAAACTACGTGTTTGTCGGATTCTGGTCAAGAAGACATAGCAAGCGCTGTCCAGACTCGATTAAGCCCTGATGAGAGGCTGCAGCCTTGGCCTACGCACAATGAACCATGCTACCATCCCAGTCCGATCATGTGTATGTGTAATGGCAGTGGGAATATTCTGGACAGCATATCGGGTCCTTTTGGGTAGATGATCGCTTAGTTGAAGGATTCCATCACGACATACTCTGCCTGCCTGCAAGAAACAAGACTCGACGCTATGGCGAGGGAAGTAAAACTCGTCAGACACAAGCTGGAGATCTCCTTGATCAGCCGGACGACGGTGGTAGCAAAATCAAGCTACAGGCAGAAGGTGGCCGCTGTCTACAATGCACAAAAACTGATATACAGCCATACTCGCCGTGCAAAACGATAGTCGCAGAAAAGCAAAAGGTATCAATTCTTCCCCATCCACGTCTCCAAGAAATATGCACTTCAAGAACAGTCGCTCAAAAACTCCCCAGCACAGATGCACGTAGTGTCTCCATCGCAAGCTCTGACCCCGACAATCCTCTGATCATCTATCGATTGTGTCTCCGAAGATCTAGGCGAAGGAGGGGAAACACTCCTGGAGGGTCTTGTTGTGCTTGTTCTGGGCGTGCTCGGTGAGGGCGGGGGCCTTGGCCGTCTTGAGGAAGGTCGATCTGCAAATCTGGCAGATGATGTCCTTGGCGGCTTCGTTCTATCGCAGGGTGAGTAAGATGTCGTGCCACAAAACTTCTCCCTTGCCCGACTCTCTCCTTTCCCTCCCACCGCATCCGGAAGCAGAAGAAATACGTACGGCCTTCAACTGCGACTTGCCACCCTTGCCAGCGTCCTTGGCGTTGCGCTCACGCTTCATCTGGGCTTTGGCTCCCTGTAGAATCCGTCGTAAGTATGTGAGAATCAGCCGGCACTGCAGTCACAGTGTCGATTTGCATTTCTTGTGTGCTTGGCTTGAGCCGGAGTTCTCGAGCCACGTTCACATAAATGCGACCGAGAACCCGGCTCAAGTCATCGCATCGCATCTTGCAGCAGAGAGAAGTTCAAGTCAGTTAGTAGCTTACGTTTCCCATGGTGACGGTTGTGGTGCTTTTGGCAACGGTGTGTAGAAAGCTGGAGGGTGAAGAGATCAGGGGGTTGCTGAGTGACTGAGTGGTTGAGTGAAGTGAGATGCGGGGGAAATTTTTGTGAAAGGAGGCGGAGCGGGGAGGGGGAGTTTTTTTCTCGCGCTTATCGGCCGCCGTCGGACATTTTGGTCTTGCTGGTTTGGGCTTAGTGGAGGCAAGGACGCTAGGCTTGATAAGGATGGCCTTGTGGCCTTAGGCAGGAATAATGGTTCTAGAACCCGGCCGATCCCATGGGTGTAGCATACATCGCGATTTGGGAATTATGGATATCAACAGTTGTAAGGTAGAGACATGTGCGGAGAGTACCTTGGGATAAGTGAGTCGGTCATAAGATCTCTCGTTTAGCACTGCTCAGTTTCTCCTTTTGCCATTCATACTGACTTTGAAAAGGACGGATATGATACAAGTCCTTGACAACATGCCAGGGCAATTCATATTAAGCTACAGTTTGAACCCTTGATCTTTCTGCACTGTGGTGCCGAGTGTCAATCCCGTGTCAACTGTCAAATGCCATGCCATGCACAAGCTCTCAGCCATCTGACGGGTCACTCCCGTCATGCAATAAAGCCGATCACAGTTGACCCTGCATGAGGGACGGTGCCCCCCCCCCCCGCCCCCCCCTGCCATCAACCATTACCTCCAGACTCTCTTGTCCTTACCCATATACAGAAGTACTGTTGATTGACTGCATTTCTGCAACCGAGTTGAGCCGTCGAAGCTTGATCGACCCGACTTCTACCTCCTAGGCGACAAGAACGGCTGTATCAGCTTGACCAACGACGTAGCCCTGACATCTACCGCCAATAAACAGACACCAGAATTTTACAGGCCGATCACGATGTCCATCATCTGACATATAACCGATCTTCAGGAGACAGCCAAAGTCAATCCTCGCAAGAAACAAAATATAAGAACTTGCCATTCCCCGAGACCATCATCCTCAACCCCAAACCCAAAAATCACACACCATCTTCCACTCTCCCTGCTGCCACCATCACGAAAAGCTGCAACCCTCAAAAATGCAACTCACCAACTTCCTCCCGGTCCTCCTCTTCTTCTCGGTGACCACTCTGGCCCAAAAATGCAACCCCAACCACAACCTCAAATGCTGCAAGGTCCGAAACTCGCTGGCTGACGGTGCGGTCACCGACGCGACTGATGGAGCGGGTGTGGCGCTCGACCCGGAGTTGCTCGGGACTGTGGGCGCGGAGTGTACGCTCTCCCCTTGCGAATTGATTCCCCACAACATGAAGCTGACACACGGGCAGGTGACACGGTTGCAACCGCTACGGACTGTGACGTTGCGCGGGGGTATGCTCTGGCGTGCTGTGCAGGTGGCTCGGTATGTTTTTTCTTATGCTGTGTTCTTTATGGTTGCGTTGTCACACCTACCCAGCGATTCGGACTGAAACTTTCTGTCCGATTTGTGCGAGATTGGTGTTATTACACTTTGATGGGGCTAACGTACGTGTGTGTTTGCATAACAGGGAGACGACGCGGCTGCTTACTGTCAGAAGCCGATTCCGGGGCAGACTGCTGGCGGGGCAGTGGATGAGGCTTCAGGGAAGGCCTCGGACGTGGCTGGGGAGAAGGGAATGGAGGAGGGCAAGCGCTAACTTTACCCATGATGGGTAGATGTAATCCTGCGAGAGCAGTACAAGCATATGTTCGCATGCTGAAATACAGACCTCTCGCCTAGGTAGAAGATATTTGCTCTCTTATCCTAAGATAAACTATAATAGAGTAAACTTGCCAAGAATCCAGATTACAGTATCTCACATAGCAGGTATATATACTCCGTCTACATCCTTACTTTTCACCTCCCTACGCTATACTAAGTCGAGCATATACAGGTCTAAAAACACCCTTATCGACTCGATTAACAGCATGAAACTCTAGAGAATTTTGTTGATCCTGATATTCCTAATCCGGCCTCACCTATACTTCCAGAGGCCCCGAATTTGCTAATGTTTTACCGATATCTCCAGATCTACAGCAGCCTGTCGTAAGGCTCCGGCCATGTTGGTCTTGCTGGATTGGATTTAGTATGGAGAAGGACGCTACCTAGTACCCAGGCTTGAAGGTGAAGATGAGATGTGTTGTGTGGGGTTAGGCAGTAAGGCAGGTGGTTTCCCGGTCAAGGGGTATGCAGGTTACCTCGTCCAGTACTCCGTACTTTGGAAGAGCTAATAACCGACGACAAGTATGATCTGTGGGTAGGATTGAGCAAATGGTGAGCTAGACATTCGGGCCCGGCAACTCACCTGATGAAATCGACGAAGCAGACTCTCATCCCCGATCCCTCCGGAAACGATGCCCCGTCTCCCCAGAATTCAGTTGCACCTATTGAGGTGTGATGAGCCCGTGCCCTCCCCTTTACAGTCGACGCAAGGGTCAATGTCACCTTGATCGACGGCTTCGCTCTGGAATGTTCAAGTAGGTCAGCTCATGGAAGAGAAGGTCGATCACAATCCCGAGTCCTTGCCAAGGACCAGGGTACAAGAGCTCCGCCCTGCCCCTCTCCAGAGCACCCAAACTATCATTCAACCACCTTTCCTCCATCCCTTGATTTGGGGCCAGGTTCCAAACACTTCAAAATGCAGCTCACAGCTTTCCTCCCCGCCCTCCTCATCTCCCTCCCGGTGGCCTCTCTAGCACAAACATGCAGCGGCTTCAGCAACTACCAACTCAGTTGCTGCCAGGTTGGCCAGGTAGTCGAGGCTGGCTCTTCGGATCTCCTCAGTGTGGAGTTTCCTGCCATCGCCATCCCCTCAAGCTGTAAGAATTTCCTTTCCGATCTTCCATCTCGGCTTTCATCCTCCAACAACCGCATGGCGAAGAGAAAAGAAGAAGGAAGAGGAGGCGGAGGAGGAGAACGAGAAGGAGAAACAAAGGCTAATATAGACGGGTACTGTAGGTAAAGCGATAGCCGCTCCTACAGACTGTGTACTTGACTCGACACATAATGTGTTTTGTTGTGAAAGCAGTTCGGTGAGTTTGATTCTTCCGCGCGGTCTCATTTCTGTTTGCTGGTTGCGGTCGTGGTGAAGGGATATCTTCGCGACTAATGCTTTGACACCCCTTCCTAGAGCTGGGGCTAACGCAAGTATTAACACGTGACAGGTGAGCAGCGAGGATGCCGCTTGTCTGCCTGTCGTTCCACTCTAGTGACTGCTGGGAAGACGGGTACGAGTTCGGCTGTGGCCGAAGGAGCGGGGAGATGGTGCTGGAGGATGGGCAGGCGCGGAATTGATGGTTTTGATACCTTAGAGGGAGAAGTACAAGCGTGTGCTCGCCTGCGGCAGGAAATCCTCTACCCTGGGTAGGCGATTATCGCTATCCTCGGATAGAAAGGTATAGGGTCTCGCTTTTGAACAGTGCAGATCCTGATATGGCGGAGATACACTCCGTCCGCCTACCCTCTTCAATCGTTCTGTCCCTATACTCCAGACAGAAGATATCAAGGGCTTCTATCTGATCACGATTTAAGAATATTTCTATCAAGTCTGTTGGTAGCACTTCGAGGTCTTAAAATTGACTCGATCTCCATAATGGTCGGGAGCCTTTAGTGAGCTACTCGTGCCAATTTGCGATGATTTCGTTCTGTTGGCAGTATACCTAATCAAACACCTCGTTGCACACCGATCTAGATTAGGGAGGTTGATTGCTATGAGGTATGTTCTTCAAAGATACCGCATATGCTACTCCACTCGTACGCTAGGTCACACTGGGAGGAAAAGCTGGAAGTGTAGATATACCAGTTCGCTTGCCGTCAGATCAGATGGAAGTTAACCCGGTCAGGATGCGCCAAGAAAGGTTTAGGTGGGCAGAGAATGTTCCTTGGGGAGAGAGGAATACTGTCATGGCTACACGTCTACATATGTAGTCCTGGAGAAATGCGTACCGCACGTGGATGGCATCGGAGATCTGCGCAGTGGGGCGTGGAGGTGCCCATCGGTGAGCTGACAGCTCGCGGCTACACTGTAATAATGCTAGTCATCCCGAAAGAATCCATCCAGACGATTGTCTGCTTATCATTGCCTGATAGACCCAGTAGCTTTCCGGACTCCGGCTAGGTGTGGGGCGACGAAGCGACGAGTCCCAGATCCTCGGGGTGGACAGCCGTCCGAATTGAGAGCTATTGAAGTATTGGCATGCGATCGGCCCAGACCATCCCTTTTCCAGGCGATGCAAAGGCTCGTATCACCTCGATCGACGACATCGCTCTGGGCTGTCTTAGCCGATCATACGTCCACACCGGGCGATCAGGATCATCACGAAGAGCCCCGATTACAGTCCTCGCCAAGGAGCAGAGTATAAAAGCCCTCTTCAATCCTAGACCTAAAACGCACGCACATGCACAAACCGTCTTCAGTCCTCCACATCTCTCCTGTCTTCATTTCCACACAAGTCCTATCAGTTATGCAGCTCACCACCCTCCTCCCCGCGATCCTTCTCCTATCATTCCCCGTGACTACTCTGGCTCAATCATGCAAAGGCTCCGGGACACTCTCTTGCTGCCAGTATGAGGAGCCGTTGGGAGATGCTGGCGGCCAACGCAGTAGCTCTGGTCCTGCAGAGGCCCTCACCGATGACATGGTGGTCACAAACCTCCTAAGCTGTAAGATTGCCTTTCCCATTTGCCCACCCCGCCTATCGACCTTCGCGCTAATGGGAGACGGTGTACCCCATATAGGTGAAGAGGTAGCGTCCGCTGCAGACTGCCCAGATAAGGAGGGGTATGATACATTCTGCTGTGCGGATCCTTCGGTAGGTTCCCTTCTGCGGTTCTCTCGATCTGTTGGCGGTCTTCCATGTCTGCTTTGAGAGCGCGAGGGCTGGCTTGGCAACATATGCAAGGTCAATACTTCGACAATTCGCTGCTGGGGCTGACGCACATTTTCCCTCGGCAGGCAAGCACCAATGATCTCCTCTGCGTCCCGGAATCGTACTCGTACTAGGTAAGCAGCAACGCTGGTGGAGTTTGGGATAGAAATCCTTAAGCAAGGTAGAAGGGGTGAAGAGAGGCAAGCGCTGAGCCGATAGGTCGGTTCAGTTTGAGAGAAAAGGGGTCAAAACATCAATGTTTTTACTTGCTGATATGTCACCCTCAAATAACACAACACGGTCGACCACCTGCATACCTACCTAGTATCTATCGACTAAGGGTGTGGGGAAAAAGCCGGCGAGCCCCGGATTCTGGCAGCGTCAGAGTGTACAGTAGTGGGTAAATGTGGGCTTAGTAGCTAGTGGGTACTGTAGAACCGCCTCTGCACAGATTTGAAGGTCTCGTGAAGGCAAGCCATGATGTATGGTAAACCATGGGAAGGGGGAGGAAAGGGCGTTAGCCGGGGAGCCGGGAAGAAAGGAGTGGAGGAGGGCATGGCCTTAGAGCGATAGTCCGCAAGGATGCTCTGGACACAGATCTAATCCATCTTGATAGAAGCCCCTTCGCGTCAAGCTGGCTTGTGACGGCGGATACCCTGATTACAGTAAAACCTTCCCAGGATGATCGTGGGGTATATATGGGTCAATGAAAATGGATTGGCTCCCACGCTCGGAGCCAGTCTCTTGGTACGAGAACGAACATTCATCATATTTGAACATCACATTCAACGCCAGCAAGACTAGGATATCAATCGCACCGGACAGGTTGTGGATCTCAAACCCTCAGACGCGAAATCAGCCCGCGCAATCCAGCATTCACCCCCAACCTCCCCTCGACCCTGCCCAAAACCTCCACAATCTCCTCCATAATCTCCTCCAACACCTTGCCCGTATCCTCCAGCGTCCCAGAAGCCCTCAAAACCTCAACCACCCTCTCCTTGACTTCATCCGACACCCCCCTTCTCTCCCCCCGCACCCCGGCCTCACCAAAAAGCAAACCATAAACCTCCCTCCCGACCTCACCCCCCTGCACCTTCAACAACCAAACCAAAGGAAACGAGAACTTGCCCTCATCCAAATCCTCACACCAACCTTTCGCCACAGTATACTACACCCCCCCAAAGTCAGCAAGCACACCCAACCCAACCCCCAACCCCCCATTCCCCACCACATGCAACAGTCCAAAAGAGAAAAGGGAAACTCACCTCCCCACTCAAATTCAACAAATCATCCCTAACCTGATAATACCGCCCAAGCAACGTAGCCACCCCCAATATATCCTCATCCCCATCGACCTCCCCGGCTCCCGCTTTGGCCCCCACACTCATCCATCTAACCACCAACCGAAACAAACTCCCCGTCTTGAGATCCACCATCTCCAGGTACTCCTCCACCGTGGGACATGTTGCCGCAAAGGTCCAGTGGAGATCGAGCGCCTGCCCCATCCCCAAGTTCTGCATCTCCTCGAGAAAGGCTGCCAGGGCCTGGGGCCCGAGGTGTTGGTGGATGGATGCAGTCAGGGTCATTAAAGTGTATGTGGCTGCGTTGACGGTCTGGGCTGTTCCGAATTGCGTGTGCGCCGAGGGATGGCCCCGGCGGAGCGGGGAGGAGTCTTCTATATCATCTAGTCTTCGCTCATTAGTCTTTTTGCTGGGGAACTGCTGGGTAAGGAAGGGTAAGGGGGATACATCAGGATCGTGGTGAAGAGGGTGGCAGTTATCTCGCGCAGGGGGGCGAGGTATGCTTCCTTGACGGGAAACCATGGTGCGAGGCTGTCGATGAATCTGGTGAGGGTGTTTTTGCCGGGCAGGGATTGGGTGTATTCTATTGGGGCTGCGCAGATCTGTTGGGGTTAGTGGGGAGAAGGTGGGTGGGTTTGGGGGGGTGACCTTTTCTGCGGTTGCGTTTGCGGGGTTGAATGGGGCGAGGAGGGTTGTTTTGGGGAGCTTGGTGGGATTTGGGCGTTGTTCATGGTTGCTGCTGTTGGGTTGGGAGGGCTGTGGTTCCATGGTGGTAGTGCTGTAATTGAAGTGTAGGATATGGTAGGTGGAAGATGATCAGAGGTTCCGGTTTAAGTACAAGTTAGCCGTCGCTAGTGCCGTAGGCTACGCTACGTACCCCACTCTGCCATCAGCCTGGTGGCGTTATCTAAGCCGGTCTACTGCATATAGACACATGTGTTTCTATTGGTATTCTCCAAAATTATCTGCAGACCAGCCTGTGCACTCGCGCGCAGGCACCCGCAGCCCAACCCAGCAGCGCCCTCTCTAACATGTTCAACCACTCCCACCAAGCACGACCAAATCTAAGCAAGATCAATCTGCAATCCCAGCGTAGCATTCAACACCGAGTCTCCGTAAAAGAACTCCGTTCTATCCCAGGGTCAGCAACAGCTCAATCTACGAACAATCCTCGAGAGAAAAACTCACCCCGCATTCCCCACATTGACATACGTCTCCTCCGTGAACCGACCCAAGTTGACCATGGCCATCAACCACTCGCGCAGATCGCCCTCGAACGACCCCTCGAACTGGGTGTCCGGGAGCAGCGAGCTAACGGTAATGCCGGAGTCGTCGTTGACGCCCTCGTACAGCTTCCAGGAGGTGCCGAACAGGTCGTCGATGGTGGCGACGGCGCCATCGGTCCAGCCGATGGGGAGCTGGCCGCCCTCGTACTGCAGCCACAGCATCAGCTCGTGCGACGAGGAGGAGGTCGAGTCGCCCTTGACGTCGTTGGTCATGAAGTCGAAGCAGGTGTTGCCTTTTTTGGTTAGTCCTTGCTTCTGGAATAAAGGGCGAGCTGCAGAGGGGGGGGGGGGGGGGGCATACCCTTGAAAGCAGTGGAGTTGGTCCTGGTCCAGGTGTAGTCGGCCGGGATGGAGGAGATGGCCGAGATCTTGGTCTCGAGGTTCTCGGTGAGGCCGACGAAGGAGTAGCCCTTGGGGACGTTGTTGCTGCACTCTTGTCAGTTTTTCTTGGACGCCTGGTATGATATTGATGCCGGGGAGCATACGTAGCCTCCACATATTCGATATCCGTCACACTGCTCCAGACGACCTCCTTGGTGCCGTTCGCGGAGGTCGTCTGCGACTCGTACCCTGTGCACTGCGTGCCGACCGTCTGGGCGGCGTTGTAGAGCATGTTGTACACGATCCAGGGGGTGTCCTGCAGGATGATGTAGTCGTAGTCGCCGCAGAGGGTGGTGGCCGACTGCGCAGCCGCGCGGCGGGAGACGGCGGGCAGCGCCAGCGCTGACGAGAGGAAGAGGGGGGCGAGGGTGGCGGAGAGATGCATTGTAATGAGTGTAAAGGTAAAAAAAAGAAAGGAATGAAAGGAATGGGTGGAAACAAACGCAAGCAGTGAAGAGAATGTGTGGAAATCTGAAGGCGATGACTGTTCTTAAAGGATTAAGCTTAAATTAATGGTGTTTGGACGGGGCGGCAACAAACTGAAACCGTAGTGGGGAGAGGCAGATGAAGGGACCGGATGGGACCCATCTGAGACGACCAGCGGATGGCATTAAGAGGTGGGTATTCGGTGAGTGTTCTGATTTGCAGTCACTCTTGATCCAGCCGTGTGAGATGCTTAACACATTGCTTTTCCCTATTACTTATATTGTTGAGCTTAGCTGCTTGAGATAAAAAGCAGGAGTATAGGAGTAGTCATTCGCTCCAATGGCAGTAATCATCCCACATACTATATGGTTCTCTACTTATCCCTGAAATGGCTCAATGTCATTCTCCACAGTCCATCCTCGCTGTTGGTGGTCAATTCCACCATTCGGATCAGAACTCGTAGGGCCCATTGCAGTGGGCCGATCGCGCTGCTTCTTGGCAGGGACAGCCCTAGGTTCTGCTCATCCCCTTTCGAGTCTCCGTAAGATCTGATAACCGATCTTCCAGTCCATCTGCCTGAATTTCTCACTGAACTCTACTCTACTGTACTTTGTTCCGGTGTTCCTTGGTATTTTTTAACACTACCATCGATCCTAAAAAGCATCAGGGTGACAGTGTCTTAGGGATTGGCACCATATTCTCTGAAATTAAGGAAGCCTAGATAAAACAAGTCTTTTGAACAGGCAATGTGTATAGTCTATATTATATATTGTTCTCTGCCTACTCTCGGTTGTATCTTCATAGTATCTCGTATACCCCAAATCACCTCGCCACCAATTAACCACCAATCAACCACATTTCCAGACAATAACTCTACCCATCACATATAATCAAGAATAAGTATTCCAATACCCCTAAAGCAAAGAACAGAGCATTGCAGCATCGCCGCTTACATCCACACCCAACTCTTCACCCCACCATCCAATGCACAAAGACTGCACAAACCCGCACAACTGACTAATCCCTCACGTGCCCACCCCACCCAAACCCACCAGAACATCAAAACCACCGCCACCCCGTGACCCCCTCCCTTCCCCATCAACCACCACACCCATCCCACCAAAATGCCCCGCGTCCCCACCACCAAAGAAGTCCTCCCGGGCGCAAACGTGAACATCGTCCTGAAAGCCGACCAGCCGACCGGCCGCACCGTCTCCGGGACCATCGCCGACGTGCTGACCCGGGGCAACCACCCGCGGGGCATCAAGGTGCGGCTCACGGATGGGCGGGTGGGGAGGGTGCAGTCCATGAGCGCAGGCTCGGGGGGTCAGTCCGCAGACCCTGCTGCGCTAGAGCCAGCTGAATTCACCTCTGCAGCAGCTGAATTCTCCCGGGGAAGGGGTTCCCAGGCTAGGCGGACGGAGGCGGACGAGCCGCCGCGGAATATCGGGCTGGATGCGTATATCACGAAGCCTTCGCGGCAGAAGCGACGGGGCGGGAGGGGGGAGGGTGCTGGGGCTGGGGGGCTGGATGGTGATGCGGTTGCGGTTGCGGTTGCGGCGGCGGCGGCACCGGTGGTGACTTGTCCGGTTTGTGGGGTTTTCGAGGGGGATGAGGCGGCTGTTGCGTATCATGTTGCTTCGCATTTTGCGGATTGAGTTGGTTGTGGTGGTTGCTGAATGGAATTGGGTCTGGGATGGGGGTGGTTAGTGGGTTAGTCTGACTGGACTGAGCGGACGGTTTTGTGCCTATACTTCGCGGAAGTGGAGGTGTATGCATGCGCTCTATCGCAGGGTTAGTGTGCTCTGCTCTGGCTTCGCTTGAAGTTATTCTACGTGCTTGCACAGCAGGTCAGGGATGCGATAGCTGACTGTGGGATAGACGGGGCTGCGACACGGCTAGAAGGCGTGCAGGCAAGAGAATGAATATGATGAACACGAGAGTTCCACGCCAGAGTGACCAGAACACTTCACTCTTGACCTCATTGTGGGTTGAGTGCTGGAGCTGGCCCTTCAAGCAGTGATGCAATTTGGAAAGCTGGAGTCGAGCCGAGGACTGCCTTAGTATCCGCCCAACTATGGACTGTGCATTTTGCAAACCGATCTCAATGCTCGCCTCAGACCTGCACCCGCAACCCTGCAAATAGGCAGCAAGCATACTCGTGTGAAAGATCCACAGAACAAGGCCCGGAATCGATAGCGCATACCCGTGGAACAAATCAGGCACCAGAGGTCAGTCCAGTAGTCAAGTGCTAAGCAGACAAAAAACCCAATGCCTCTCCCATCTGAACGATGCTAGCGAGATGAATCGCATCCTACGGCACGCCGACCGCTCATCAGACAATCTTACTCCTAGACCCCAAAAATCTATCTCACTCCCAGCAGACCAGGCAGCCGGGTAAGGATAAGTAAAGAAAATCGCCCATGTGGCATTTGCTCCTCCGTGTCACTGCAGCCGGGGCGTCGCGTGGCGGAGGCTTTGCCCCCACTGCTGCTACACCAACACGAGGGTGAGGGTGAGGGTTCCGGGCTAGTCCGCCTACGCCTAGTGCTGCTGAGCGTCAGCTCCACCCATCCTTCAGCCTCAGCCTCAGCTTCAGCCTGCAGCCCAATGCAACTCCGCCTCCACTTTTTTTCCCTCTGGACAACTTATAGATCGGTCCTTGGGAGAGATCGGTCATTTGGACTATTGATATCCTGTACAGAAATGTACATGTGGATTGCGCTAGCAGCTTCACTGCGATTTAGCTTCGTCGCAATCTAGCTTGTAAGCACATCACTACGTCACTCGAGCACCCCTCCGCTGTCTGCATAGCACTCCGTGTTATAGGGACTAGACGCGTTAGTACTATACAGTCGCAATCTGCGATCATTTTACCGGGTTATACACCTAGTTTTGGGGCCTGTCCCAAAGCAGTGACGTCCACTGCGATGTCTCGAGAACCAACATGCGAATACCTAGTAACAATCCTAAACGATAGTACCCTTAGTAGTACCCCTACTTAGCTCTAGATCCTTGTACAATAGTACAGTACTTAAGCAATCTAGAGAGTCCAGACTTGATCCCTACCCAAGGCACCCACCAACCCAATCTCCCCCCCAAAACATGAAACAGTCAGTCCAGCCCTCCCGTATCCGGAACCCAATCCACCACCACCACCACCACCACCATCACACAAGGATATCCCAATCCACGAGCACGAGCCTCATACACAGTATCTCAGTACAACACCCTAAAACAACAGTTTACACGAATTCATCCCCGATCAACGACAGCATCACATCCAGTTAAAAGGTAGGTAGGTAGGTGGGTAGGAGGTAACCACCATACCAAGAGCACGAGGCCCTCACCCACCCACCCACCCAACCAAGACGAGGCGAGATCGACACCCTACTAGGTAACTAGATACCTATATGAAGATATAGTATACCTAGTACTGTCCCAACTAAGAACTAAGCTAAACTAAACTAGCGCAAAGCTGGCGCCTCCACTAGACTGGAACCTTCAAACAATCCCATTCTTCGCTCTATCACCCGACTAGATCTAACTATAGCATTGTACTGTACTTACGGAGTACTCTTCCACAGTCCCACTAGTCTCTGATCAACGGAGTAAATCCATCCATCCATCCAAGTACAGATCTTGAGCCGGAATCAGCCCCGAAAAAGCAAATACCCCTTCAAAAACCAAAGGATTGGAGGAGGGGGGGTTGTCCAGCGACCACAATTCTCCAGTCGAGCTAAGTGCGCACTAGAACATGTGGATGGATGAGTGGGGACAGGTCGATCGATCGGATCGTCTTTGCGCACCACCTTGGTCTTGACTACGGTACAGTACACTACTCCGTACAGTGGAAGGAATGGGACTATTGCTTCCGAAAAAGCAATTATGTGGCGACTCATCCACACGACCAATAGCATCCTCACGAATGCGGGATTGGAAAGCAGGATTTCGGGATTGTCAATCAAGATCTGACTCTTAGTCCGCAGATAGAGCTTCACATCACTGTTTTTCGTGTTGTATGGATACACCAAATCATACCGAATCAGAAAACCAACCCGGCTACTAGCACACCGATCCACACCATAGCATCCATCATGATTTTCCCACACCCAGATACAGTGCATAGTAACACCTCGAAAGCTGGACTAACACTCCGTCCGCGCCACCAGCCCCTCCGTCCCCGTCACCCGATCCCGATACGTCCGCTCCGCCCACCCCAAAAACCGCTCCACGTCGGCCACATTCGACACCAGCCCAAACGACACCCGCACCGCCCCGCCCGACGGCAGCCCCAGCAGCTGGATATACTCCTCCACCGTCAGCGTGTCCCTGAACCGGCGCCGCAGACTGCGGAGCAAGGGCTTCGTGATCCCAAAGGCGTGCTCCGCCGCGCCGGGGTTACAGAAACAGCCCGTACGCAGCGAAATCCCCGCGGCGGCGGACTCCCGCGCGACGATGCGCTCGTCGACGATCTTGCCGGTCTGGTCCAGGAAGTTGAAGGCGATCGTGCCGCCGCGGTCGCCGCCGGGATCGACGCCAGGGCTGTTCGGATCCGGCGCGGGCCCGTAGATCTTCACCATCGGCGATCCGTCGCTGTGTCGCAGCGCCTGCAGCCCCGCCAGACAGTACCCGGTCAGGCAGTGGACGCGCGTGCGGATGTTCTCGACCCCCAAGGACTGGATCCACTCCAGCCCGACCGAGATCTCCGGGATGGCGAGGAAGTTCACCGTGCCGTCTTCGAAAGCCCCCTCCGTCGTCGTCAGGCTGTGCCACTGCACGCCGGTCAGCACGGCTTGCACGGTCCCCCCGGCGAACCACGGGCGGGACAGGCGCGCGAGAGCGTCCTTGCGGGCGACCAGACATCCCAGGCCCGTGGGGAAGCCGAAGACCTTGTACCAGCTCATCAGAATGAAGTCTGGTTGCGGGTTGCCTGGGGAGAGATCCAATCGGTTGGTGGGGAGGTACGCTGCCGCGTCGAGGAGAACGTCGTAGCCGGCTTTTTGGGCCGTGTTCACCCACTCGAGTGGGTGGCGGACACCGCTGAAGTTGCTCTGGGCGGGGTAGGCGAAAAGACCTCTGCGTTTCTTCGGACGGTTCGGATCTGAAGACCGACGAGTCCAGGGCCATGTGGTTGGTGGTGCGAGCACAGAGGCCAAGGCGCCGGGATCGACGCGCAGCGACGGGGTCTGCAGCGGGACGTAGACCGTGCGCGCGTGTCGGCGGCGGGCATACTCCCGAATTCCATTCACCGAGTTGTGGTTGTCGGCAGTGAGGAGGAAGGTGGAGTTGCGGCCGAAAGGGTAGGACTCGCCGATCAGTCGGGCGGCCCCGGTGGCGTTGGGTGTAATGATCACGGTGTAGGTATCTGGAGACGCGTTCAGGAAGCGCAGCACATCGGCGCGGGCTTGTTCAACGAGCTTAGTCGACGCTTCGCTGGTCGGGTTGGCAGAGTGGGGGTTGCTGAACAGGTCAGCGCTGAGTCGTGCCTGATGTGCTTGGTACTGCGCTTTCGCAGCGAGTCCAGCCCCGGTGTAGTCCAGGTACACATGGTTGTTCTCGTCGAGGTAGCTGTACTCGGTTGCACGCAGACGGTCAAAGGAAGCGGTGGTCTCGTATTCAGGGAAAGACTCCAGAATATTCCGGCTGGCGCTGACAGCAACCTTGGGCTCAAGCTCGCTGGTTGGCAGACTTGAAGTAGACGAAGGAGGGGTAGGAGGCAGACGGGTGGGGGCTTTGAGGGTGTATCCCAGTGAAGGGGGGGTGGCCAGCTTCAGGTCAGCCGGGGGGAGCATCTGGGGCATGAATGACTGCATAGTGGGCAAAAAGTATGTAACGATCAATAATCAAGTATGTGGAAAATATGGTTGGACCTGAGGCAGATAACCAGCGAGGGGTGGCCTTTATAGCTTCGCAAGGGGACCCCCATGCTGTGAGATTGAGTTCCTCAGCGGGCAACACAAAGCCATTCTTCGATCGAGACCATCAGCCTCCCGCCGTCAATCTGGCCCGAGGAAATCCCATGATGCTGTCAGGCGAACCCTCCGAGCCAGCCGGGTGCGGTTCCCCCTGCGCCAGAGAATCCTGCGCCTCGGCGTCGCCCCCCTCCATGCCCCGACTCGTGTTTGCTGACCGCCGTCATTCGCAGACGGCGCAACCCGCCATGGATCAGGGATGGCACGAAGTGAGCATCCTAGCTGGATAGTGGAAATCCTCCTCATGCAGGTCCAGCTCTGTTGCGTGCTGATAACGGCAGTGCAGTCACCCTGGCTGGCGTTCGTTGCGATGCTTATGCGAGCTGGATGCGGTTGGCACGACGAGAACCCTGTTGCGGGGTGATAAGATGTGAGAAGGTCGCATGGTACCGCCAAGTAGCCAAGCGAGATTGAGGCCCAACGAGACCAAAATTCGGTGCCGTCACGGCAGTGTTCGTGTTCTGGAGATAGTAGGTAGGCCTGCATTCTTGACAGAAAAATGAGGAGAGCTGACTGTCGATCTAGAGATAATAGCCTTGTTCGCAGGATGGCCGCGACAAGACAATAGCCGGAATAAGCGACTGAGCCCAGATTTAGTCATTGCCCTTCAATTGGCCGGCGTATGGCAGCCAGACTATTGCTCCTAGTGCGATCAATGCGCTGAGTACCTAGCCTATGAGATGGCCCAGGGCGACTCGCCACTGGCACATCTCTCAGACCCTGGTACGAACATGTGTTCCTGGTCTGGAAAGAAAGATGTGGAGGTCATCTGCTGGTGGATGGATTGGGCGAATGCCAGCTTCCAGCTGCCACCCAGGTTCACTTTGCTGACATGCCTGGTGGCGTCGCAGGACTGGGCTGGCTGCTTAGTGGAGAATTCGGAATGATATCACAGTGCCAAACGTGCTGAGTGCGACGCCGTTCGCATCGTTGAAGTCGAAGACACTCAAGCAGCGTAAGCCGGAGATAAAAAAGTATCGTTGGTAAGGATCAGGGATGGATGAGGCCGAGATGCCAGCCAACCCGGACATGTCTTCACCGCCCGCTCGGACCATTTGTTCCTTTCCTTCTTTCCTTCTTCCCCTCCACCAAACTCAATTATCAATGCTTTGATCTCCCACTCACCATCCATTTGTTACATTATCTGGGGAAATCCTCCAGCACTGCTCTATCTTCAATTCAACCATTGCAGACCCGTCTGCCACCCTCAGGCACGAATTCCCCCCCTCCCCCAGTATGACGGACATACCCAACGACCAACCGCAGCCCGACAGACCGAGTATTTGGAATTGCCCATGCATCGCATCACAGCCCACCAAGTCACGGCGGCTAATTCCCCTTCCTGCGGGCATGGCATCTGATTGAAGGATTCCAGTTGCGTCCACCGATGTATCCGCGTCTTGACTGCACTGGCCATCACTCGAACCGTCGACTGGCGTTCAGGCTCGACGGTCCGACATTGTTGAGGGTGTCTACGGAGGTGTCCACTAATTAAGGCTGCAGTGGCCGCCGGGCCCGCCGCCGATCCACAGCTAAGGGTCACTCCGGCTCCACCAACACGCAGTGATGGAGACCTGGCTACTAGTATTCGCATCTACTTCCTCGAGCGAAGCAATTCGCATTGTGAAGTAGTATAGATGGATCCGGCACCGGTATCAGCCGGGTCACACAGCGGCATGGTTGGCGTCACCCCAGCGTCGTACGGCCGCGCAGGGTGACTCGTGTATGTGAGACCTGCGTGCGCCTTGGAATCCGGACGGTCGGTGATGGGGAGTCTCGTCGACGGCATTTGCTGTGGCCATCTGATCTGGATTGGGGGGTGTTGCGAGTGCGAGTAACGAGCGGGGTATGCGTGGGTTGTACGCAGGGGGGTGTGGATATCATGCACCGTCGCTCTCTAGCGTGAATTGTATAGTCCTCGGTCCAACGCCCCAAAATGTGACAGGAATGCGGTTCTCGTCCAATCACCCCTCACAGCTAGTGACCAGATCCCATGACCGGATATTTCCGCAACCCAATCTCGCATCCTCAATCGTGGAATCTCCCGCACACTATCTTTGATTGCTAGAGAGAATCGCTATCACACCGGTCGAAGTACCGCACATGCACTAATTTACACACTTTCCACCATCAAACGTCCCCTTTACCCGGCCCGCTAACCACCCATTCACTAAGCGTTGATGCTAATCTCATACGGCGCAACAGTAAACCACGCATCCGACCCGGTCATCGGCTCCGTGCCCGCCCCAAGTGTCTGGAGGTACAGACTCGAGGAGACGCCCTCGTTGTCGATCAGATAGTTGAAAAAGTCCATGATGTCCCCAGAGTAGTCCTGGACGTTCTCGCGGGCCACAAAGCTGAAGACCGTCCAGTCATTCGGGCCCTTGTACAAGTCCCACACGCGGCCGCCGATGGTCGGGCTGGCGATCGGTCCATCCGCGTTGCCGATCGGCTCGATGCCGCCGTACACGCCCAGCCAGACCATGACCTCGTACTCGTGGGTGGCGGTGGTGGAGGCGGTGGTGGAGAAGAAGGCGTCGTAGGAGACGTCGGCCTTGAGGTCGGTGCCGGTGTAGCTTCGATTGGTTAGTGGGGGTTCGTTCGCTTAAGCATGCTGCAAAGACTTACCTCCACGACCACGTAGTGGGGATACTAGTGATGGAGCTGAGTTGCTTTGCGCCGACGTTCAGCACCGCGTTGGGGTAGCTCTTGACGTAGTCGTCGCCGCCGGCCCAGGTCCAGGAGGACTGCCACGAGATGGAATTGCCGCTCACATAGTCGAGGTAGGTGCACTCCGAGCCGGAGGTGGCGTAGTCCTCGCCCCAGAGGTTGTTGTAGAGGATGAAGTCGTCGGTGGTGATGATGTTGTTCTTGGTGCAGATGGTCTCGATCGCGTCGCGGGCGGTGCGATGCGCCGCAAGCGCGGGCGCAGCGAGGAGGACAACAGCGTACGGTCTCATGATGATAGCACGACGGAGTTGGATGGATTTCGACTGACTGACATTCTGTGCGATGGATGCGAGGATTCTCGCGATTATATCCTCGGTCGCAAATTCAGGGGTTCCGCCCCCACGGATTAGTGTGAGACGGTCTCTGCTTCCATGGCAGTGTTGATCCTTTGATTGCCTGTTGCGAACGCGGTGTTGGGGCTGAGTTGGAATTAGATCGATGTCGCTTGAAGCTTGGGGTCCACTTCAGGGCAATGCCAAGTTCGATTGGATCGATCGATATCCGCAGGATCAAGTCTGCCTTGAGGCCCGGGATAAACAATCAACCCTTCTTGCACCTGCATCACATGACCGATGGTCGGGATGACTGCGGAATGGCGTGGATGACGTCAGCGGGCCGTTCCCTCCCCGCTATCACCACCAACCCATCGCAGCAACTTGAGCTTCACATCTACCCAAATCAGCACACGATGGCCTCCGACTCCCCCTCCGCCGACCAGGTACATCAGCCCGGCACCGCCGACGGCTGGCACGGCATCATCCCCAGCAATGCGTTCCCCGCCGAGCCCAACCGCTACCACCTGTACATCGGGCTGTTCTGCCCGTTCGCGCACCGCGTCAACTTCGTCCGCCACCTGAAGGGCCTCACGCACATCATCCACACCAGCGTGGTCAAGCCGTACCCCAAGGGCGACGCGAAAGGCTGGCCCGGGTGGAAGTTCCCGGCCACCGAGACGGAGTACCCCGGCGCGACGGTGGACCACCTGTTCGGGGAGGACTACCTGCACAAGGTGTACTTCCGGGCGGATGCGGAGTACAAGGGGCGATACTCGGTGCCGTTGCTGTGGGACACGAAGAGCAACACGGCGGTTGCGAATGTAGGTCTTTTGTCGTCTCATCGCAACCAGGGGGTCATTGCCCGCTCACAGCAACAACCCACAGGAAAGCATCGACATCCTCCGCTGGCTGCCGCGCGCCTTCAACGCGCACCTCCCGCCCGCCCTCGCCGCGATCGACCTGTACCCGGCCCACCTCCGCGCGAAAATCGACGCCATCAGCCCCTGGCTGCAGGCCGACCTCAACACCGGCGTGTACAAGGCCGGCTTCGCCGAGACGCAGGAGGTCTACAACGAGAAGGTGATCCCGGTGTTCGGGGCGCTGAACAAGCTCGAGCGCCTCGTCGCCGCCCACGGCGGTCCGTTCGTGCTGGGCAAGGAGATGACGGAGCTCGACGTGCTGCTGTACGCCACGCTGATTCGGTTCGACACGGTGTACGTGCAGCACTTCAAGTGCAATCTGGGCACGATCCGCCACGATTACCCCGTGTTGAACAACTGGCTGAAGGGGATGTACTGGGACGTGCCGGCGGCGCGCGCGAGTACGGACTTCCGGCATATCAAGGAGAATGTAAGTTTCTTCCTCGCAGGTTGGGTAGAGCTGATGGGGAGTAGTATACCAAGAGTCACGAGATGATCAATCCGCGGGCGATTACGCCGGTGGGGCCGTATCCGGATGTCGAGGAGGGGGTGGAGCGGGATTGGGGGGTGTTGAGGGTGGGAGGGGTGAAGCATCCGAAGGTTTTGGAGTATGAGGCCGGGATTCCGGATGTGGCGGTTTAATGCAGATGTCGGATGTCAGATGTCTCCTGGGAGGATTATGAGATTAGCAGCACTCGATGGTGAAAATCAGAGCATTGATTAGCAATAGCCTGTTGAGAGGAGAGAAACAATACCCCTAGCCAGAGCTTCTGAACCTCGGTGCAAGTGATCATGCAGATCGGGTCTTGCATACTCTACCATACTGGATACCACAAATTGAGCAATCCCAGCCGTAAAGTCACTACAGTCTCCTATCTCAAGATCCAGACTATCGACGATCATTCACGTGCCTCGGCGAACGCGAAGCAACCAGCGTCGCAGCCGAAGTATATTCCGCAACCATGGAACCCGTCGGGACGATCGCTGCTCGAGATCGCCAGGAACTGTTACACTTTCCCAGTGCATGCATCAGGGTCTGCATAAACACATGGACTGTGTACTGTGTGCTCAGTATCGCAACATGCATAAGATGCTACATGGGATAATCCAGAAACCCCGCCGTTTCACCAGCTACCCCACACCGTTCCATCTATTTCCGACCACGGAGTCCTGCAGGCGTTCATGCAGAGACTTGACCACCTGTTCCCGCTCCATCCAGCGCCGAGAACTACAACTGATACTCAAAATCAAGTCCTAGAAACAAACAAACACCTTAGACTACTTCTGAATTCAAGTTAAGTAACCTAAAAACAAGTCCCGGAAGTAAACACAACACAAAAACCCGAGTACAGTACAAAAACAGGCGACCCAAAAATCAGTCCCCGCCGGATCCCTCCCTCCCTCCCGACGACCCAAACAGAACTGAAATTTGAGCTGCCTCAACCTCCGACAATGTTTAGTCTCATTCAGGTACGAAACCCAATTCTGGGGGTAGCTCCTGACCCGACTCTGACCCGACCGTGACCGAGACCTACCCCTGTCTCCCCACCACGCACCCACAACAGTCCGCATCATCTGTATACCGTACCACAGAGAAGGAAGATATAAACCCTTCCCCTTCCCCCTCTCCCGAAGAATCCATCCAACAACATCGCAGGCTCGGTTTCCTTCTTCACCTCACGTTACTTCACTTCCTCTCAGCACCACCATATCCTCAATCTTGTTGACAAGATCAGATAAGATAATACCTAATCCTAATCGTGCGTCCCCAACCACCCCCCAAAAAACCCATGTGCCAAACGCCAAAAGCGAAAGACTAAAACCCCACAGAAAATGCAATTCACAATCCTCACCACCCTCACCACCCTCTTCCTGGCCGCCTTCGCCGCCGCAAACCCGGAGGCCAACCCTAACCCGGAACCCTTCAACATCGGCTTCGGTGTGGATGCCGCTGCCAACGCGGCTGCTGAGGTCGCTGCGCAGGCGGGGGCGGGGTTGGGTGCTGGTGTGCATATCTAAGCTTTACTCTTGACCGGGACTACTTGGTGGTGCTTTCTTGGTAAAGCTGGAGGGGTGAGCTGAGGTATGGCTTTTTTTCGGTTGGGGATGGTGTGGAGGGATGGGGTGCTGATGTTTTTTACAGGGTTGGTGAGATGGAGGTGGGGGTTTAGCTGCGCTTGGTGATGGTTGTTTTGTTATGGGGGTGGAGGTGGAAGAGAGGGAGAGAGGCTGGGTTTTGTCTGTTTTTGTCTTTAGTTGAACTTAGTTCTGGTAATGAAGATGATTCTCTTGTTGGGTGTGTTTGGTGTGAGGGTGTTACGGTTGGGGATGGAGATGTGTAGTAAGGGCGGTGATGGTGGCCATCGACTGGGACTAGGGTAGGCAAACTAGTTGATTAGACTCAAATGCTCAGTGGGATATGCACGGCTGGGACTGTCAATGTCCACAGAAGTTGTACTATGCGACGTACTCCATGTACTGTACGTGTCGGTATCTCAGCTGCGCATAGAGAGCATTTATGCTCGCCATGAATGCTGCTGACTCAGCAATGCATCTCATCAACTACCAGCACATCCTCCCAGCTCCTCACCAACAGTAGCTACTCAATGACTACCTTGTACTGTCTCCACTGTATCTCAACCACGGCATAACCTTTCTATTCTTCGAGCGTAACGTCATCAATCTGCCCAATCCACTACCATGCCACCAGGACACAAAGAAATGCATATCGATCCACAACACACATCTATATATACAGCGAAAGTAACGAGAGAACGGAACGGTAGGGAAAACCACGACCACAGCCACAGCAGCTCAACCCCACCACAGTGCCTACTACCTAGCCAGTACGCACCACACCACACCCCCAACCCATCCCACCACCCTCTAAACTAACTCCAACAACGCCGGCACCACCGAATTCATATACGTATCATACACCATATACGAGCTCGTATTGCCCAAGAAGATCTGTTCCGAAATATTCCCGACCTGGGCGAGCAGCGTCGGCAGGTGCACGGAATCCGGGACCCCGTAGACCATGGACGCCAGCTTGGTGTGGCTGGAGGCGTTGAGCTTGCCGAAGGTGCCGGCGCTGATGGCGTCCTGGAAGGAGGCGTAGGGCGACTCGAAGACCACCGTGCTGTCGGCCAGGTCGAGGTAGGCGTTGTCCGGCGGGGTGCCGGGGTTGGTGACCACCTTTTCATTACATCAGTATCCTGCGGGTGACGGGGAGAAGGGGAAGGATAAAAGGGAAGCGTACGTAGTTCTCCGGCCCAAGCCCGTCTTTACTCTTGATTAGATTCGACAGCGTCGTGTAATATGTCACCAAGTCTGCGCTGTAGGCGTTGGGCGCCTCGTCGAGGAAGATCCCGTGCACCGCGAACGAGGAATTGCCCGACGCGCTGGGCCAGTTCGCGTACGTGTTGATGTCCTTCTCGACGTCGGCGATCGCCCGCGTGCCTTTTTGGGTCGGGACGTAGCCGATCGCCAGGACGTTGGAGTTTGCTGTTAGGCTCGGCACGGCGGTCAGGAAGGCTGCGTCGGGCAGGGTGCTGGTGCCGGGTCCGCTGCTCGGGTTGATGATTACGGTGAAGTGGACGTCGGGGAAGGATGCAACCCTTTCTCTCGTTAGAATTGTGGGGATTTGAGTGCTGGGTGGGGAGGTGGGGGGGACCTACAAGTCCAACAGTGGCGTCCATTTGCCGGGGTCCGGGTACACGTAGAAGGGGATGATGACTTGGGCTTTCAGCGAGCTGATCGCTGCGGCGGCGGAAGAGGCTGCCGCTGCTGCGGAGGAGGCGGCGACGGTGGCGGAGGCGATCACGGACTCGATCACGGATTCGATCGCCGTGGTTTCTGGGATGGTCGCTGCAACGGTCGTTGCAACAGTCGTTGCCACAGTTGCTGCAACAGTTGCTGCAGTCTCGCTGTCGTGCGGCCTGGTCTGCCAGATCGGGGGCCCCACGCTGTAGCCCTGGTGATGGTGCTGGCGTCGGTGCAGGTGGTCGTGCTGGTGGTGGCCCGCGGTGGCTGGCACGGGGAGCAGGGCGATGCAGCTCAGCATCACGCCGAGCGCACGAGAGGGAGTGGTCCAGACCATACTGCCGGAAGCAAAGAGAAAAAGAACGACTTAAGGTTAAAGAAGGTGAAAGTAAGACGCTTGCCAGAAGCTCTTGAAGTCCCGCTGGGTTCCAGAAAAAACCCCCCGAGGGACCGACCATCGAGTCTTTATACTCTCCGCCATGGCGCCGATTGCGTGTGTGCCTGGCCCAATGCCGAAGCCAGTCATCAAGTCATAGAACAGGCGCTGGGATTTGGGATTGGGGATCGGACATTTAATGTGAAACAACAGGCGAGAATCCGATTAGCGGGCAAACGGGCAGATCCTGGCCCGAGTGGAGATTGCAGGGGGACTGTCATTCCACCGCACGCCCTCATTGGATCTCGCTTGGAAATTACTATGTACTGCCTGTCGATGTGCCTGGCCCTAGACTAAGGCTAGAGAACTTTTCCGACTTCGATTCTTTCTTTGTTTCTTTCAAGATATCTATCACAATTGCGGTTGCATTTCTTTGATGAGGGTTGGGGTGGTGGCCGTCTCACCACTTTCTTTGTGTTCCCGCACCAGCTCTACAGTACGGACAGTACAGTCTGTACAGTACGTACATCCTGCCGGGTCAGGTCAACTGTCTTCGCTGACCCCGACTCAATGCAGCGCAATGCAGGCCAGGTAAGATCACGACTCGTGTCGGCGCCAATACTCAGTCCACACTCCCCAAATCATCGACAAAGACAGACCTACTTCTGTCCCCCACTGGGCCAGCCCCGTCCAATTTCCCCTCGCCCATGACCTCGCATTGCCAACCGGGCCAATACCGTGGTCCGCACGGACAAGAGTCCGTTGGACCCGCCCCATCGGTGGCGTTTATCTAATCCGATCACGGCCGCCCATCTCATTTCATCTCATCTCATTTCATCTGCGCAGGGTTGACCACTCCGCCGGCGTCGTGTGTTCGAGGCTAGTTGACGGGCACACACCATCGAGGAGGAACAAAGAACTTTTGGGAGGGGATGGCTAGGATGGACGCGATGGGCGAAAGTCCGACCGTAGAAAGGTGGGTGTGCGTTTGTTTTGGTCACATTCTCAACTGCTTTGTACCGTGACCGGTCAATATACTTCAACGCTGGACTCGGTGACAATTGGATGGTTTGAACGAGAATCATGGCTCGCATTCGAGATGTCAAGGTCCAGGCAGATGACTTGGGATAAGGCCGAGTTGGAATTCTTGGGGTCGGAATTAAGCACACGGCTCGAACCGTGGCTCAGACGCCCGGTAGTGGTGACTTCGGGGGTTGTACTTTGACTTCGTGGTGACTGGGCAACCTCTCGCCAGGGATGTGGTTCGAAAGGGACATTACGATACCTTTGTGTTCACAGCGACTAAGATGTATCGCACAGATCAAGCTGCTACTGATACTTCTGCAATGTCACGGTCGACACGGCTGGCCCACAAAGACCGCACTTCAAGATTGCGATCGCTGGAGGAGTGCGGTGAGTGGGAACTATGATTGGTGGTGTACTGGGACAGGCCAGTAGGGCTCATGCTCATCGGACGACGGAGCATACTCTGTGTCTGCTCCGATGCCCGTACCTGAAATGAAGCAGATTGCTTTGGATCTGTCATGTAAGGTATCCTTGCCATACTCAAACAACGAACAAGACCTCAAACCCGGGTTTTAGCGGTGAACAGAAAGGGACGACTCCTGCCAGTTGGGCTGGTTGACACTCGCTGATGAGGGGATTCAAGTTTGCACGCTCCAGCTTAGTCAAAACCGGTCATCACGAGGCGGCGCCAATGTCAGGGGAAAAAGAACAGACGAGCACGGCGGGAATCGAACCTGCGCCCACAAACAATCTCGTATTCTGACTGCGGCAGCTGCTCAGAAATTACGCACGAACCATGCATACTGCCAGCATTGAGGATTTGCGACTCGGTGCTTGTCTTGCTTGTCTTCCTTGTCTTCCTTGTTTTCCTTGTCCAAGCAACGTTAGAAACAGGATTTCAGTGCTCATACTAGGTAGGTGGCACAGCAGCCGAAAGTTGATAGAGTTATCTATGATCCCAACGTGGCCATTGGTCGCTGTCCCCCTGCCTTATCATTCGGTTACCTCGAATTGCGAGAGCTTCAGGGCTCTAGGCGAAGTCCGCCGTCAAGTACAGTACCTGTCCTATTGATACCAAGGCAGCTATCAGCACCGATGCCAAACCCCCGCCCCAACTTGTAAGCTGACTACAATGTCTCTGTGCTCGATTGTCCTGCAGGGTCGCTGATCGAGTACTTATCTCCGTCGGTTACACGAGTCCAGCCTGGATTCTAACGTGTCTGAGCGGGCGGAGTTGGCAGGTTAACATGAACTCCGCAAGCGATGGTCACAATTGTCTTGGTCTGGGGGTGAGGAGGATTTAGAGGATACTCCCCGAGAGCAGTCCGGCACGCTTCCACCCTTCCAAGATAAGGTGGTCAGCGACTACTTCGGTCGGCGTTGGATGGCCGCGCCCAGCACGGATCTCACCATCACCCTCATTCCGCTGCAGTGCAACCCTGGGGTTAGCTAGTCACATGCCACATGTCTCAACTTATCTCCAGACTGGCAGTGTGAAGTGCCAAGATGCCGGACTAGAACTCTTAGTCGGGTTCTCGAAGAGTTAACTGACAGCCGGGGGAAACTCGTCGATCTAGCCCTGAACAAGGTGCCAAGTGTTTTCCACTGTCACCCCAGCCCCAGCAGGCTGACACATGGGGCAAACTGAAGCGAGTGCTATCGCTGTGATCCCTCCATCCACGATGTTATTGTTATTGCCATGCCCATCCTGGCCATGCCCATCCTGGCTCCCGTGGCATCAATCCCTACCGGAAAGCACTGTCAGACAACAATCAGGCTACATGACTCGGGGGAACCTCGGGGATGGCAAAGTCGGGTGGACACTGATTTCATGGAGAGTCATGGCCACTCCAGCAGCGAAGGCAGCAGAGAAACCCAGCATCAAAAACTGATCGGCTGAACGATCTTCCAGCTCCGGTGCGGAGGGTGAGGCTATCGTCGGCGAATCCGCGTGTGTGGCTGGGACTGGCTTCCACCGAGTCATGTGATTGGCAAGCGGGCAGTCCTCCCGATCCACTTTTTCCCCCTTGGCCGCACCAAAACCTTCCACGAACCGTGCCGGAAGGATCAGAAAAAAACCTTGATATCTGCTGATGTAACCTTGTTCGAGATGATATTGCTTGATACTGAGGCAGAGATACCAGGTTGGTTTATCTTCGGGGTTCTCCTCATTCCTTTGAGAGTACGCACCATCCGGTATTGTCTATCATAACTTTATTGCCACCTGTTCGGAGGCTGTCCGGGAAGCATGAAAATAGCATAGCATCGACCCATCCATCATCCACGAGCCAGACTTCACGTCGATCCGGGAGAATCAGGCTAGATTCGTGCGCGTGTGCCTTCTTATCCCTTAGGGTCTAGCGTAACACCACCGGCCACACTCATAGGCTGCACAGTAGAAATATGACTAAGAAGAACCGGCGAGGCAAATAGGGTTGCAACCTTAGGAATCCGCTCCAGCAAAGAGCTTATCACCGCACGACTCTGCTTTGGGTAATCTCCGCCACTGCACCACCGGGTCCGTCAGGGCTGCAGCCAGTCTGCGTGGCCGAAAACCCTCTTATCACACCCACCCCCCATCGGTCCACTGCGCTGGTTTCGCTGTTATCGTCTCACCCACCCAAAGTGAATTAAAGCTAGCCAGCCGCCCCACTGCCATACACCACGAACCCCACTCGAATTTTCCCTCCCCTCTCTGGGCTTGGCTGCCCTCATGCACGCCCGCCCGCTGTGAATAAAATCCTGTCCACGCCGTGACGTTTCCTCCTTCTCTCTCCTCCTCCTCTCTTCCTCCCCTCCCAAATTTTTGGGCCTGGGGGGACTGCTACCTTTGTCTTGCCCAGTATCAACCGATCCATCTCCATCATGGCCAAGGTCGGCACGAGAATCGTCTCCGCCCTCGAGCTGGACTCCAGCCGGGACTCGCGGTGGTCCAATGAAGGTTGGACCTCTTTACTTGCCCGCGCACGCGACAGCTTGGTGTTGACTTGACCTCTGCAGATCTGCTACCCACTCCCCCGGAGCAGTGCAGTAAGTTGTCCTGGTGTATTGATGGTTGATGTCGAGCCCGTGCTAATGCCCCCTAGCCTGGCGTTGGTGGAACTATGTTTCCTTCTACTGGTCCATCTCCTTCACCAACTGGACTCTGGGATCGGTAAGCTTGCCTCATCATCAGTAACGACACCCTCTGACTCTAGCAGAGTATGATTGGAATTGGCCTTAACTGGTGGCAATCCATCATCGTCATCTTCGTCTCCCAAATGATCTCCTCGATTGCGATGGCCTTCAACTCGCGCGCGGCCAGCGTGTATCACATCGGATTCCCCTGCGTGGGACGCAGCGTCTTCGGCATGTGGGGCAGCTTCTACTTCGTCGGGGCGCGTGCTGTCCTGGCGATTGTCTGGTACTCCGTGCAGTGTGCGTATACCTTGCCGCAACAAGAAAACCCCCCCTAACGCGCAGCAGTGTACTACGGCGCCGAGTACATGTTCAACATCCTCCGGGCCATCTTCGGCCACCACTTCACCGACATCCCGAACCACCTGCCGGCGAGCGCGCACATCACCACGCAGCAGATGCTGGCGCTGTTCCTGTGCTGGATGGTGCACCTCCCGTTCTGCCACTTCCGGCCCTACCAGCTGCGCGGGTTCTTCATCTTCAAGACCTTCATCTCGCTGCCGGCGATGTTCGGGCTGTTCATCTTCGCCATGGTCAACACCGGCGGGAAGATCGGGTCGGTCTACACGCAGGACAGCCAGTCGACCACGGCGATGGCGTGGTTGATCATCTCGGGGATCAACAGTGGCTTGGGGTGAGTGTCCCTTCTTGATGAGGGTACGCAGCGGGCTAACCCGACCAGTAACACCGCCACGCTGATCACCAACCAGCCGGACTACTGCCGCTGGGCGAAGACGAAGAACGCGCCGCTGTGGACGCAGCTGATCTCCAACCCGATCGCGACGACCCTCTCCGCGAGTTTGGGCATTCTGGCCACCTCCGCCATCAACAACAAATACGGCACTTCCATCTGGTACGCTTGCCCGTTCCGACCTCCGCTCCTCCGCCGCCCCCCTCACTAACGTCAGCAGGAACCAATGGGACCTGATGGAGTTCATCCTGGACCGCTACTGGTCGGGCACGACGCGGTTCGCCGTCTTCCTGGCGGCCTTCGCCTGGCTGGTGCAGATCCTGGGGACCAACGTCGCGGCCAACATGATTTCCTTTGGGGCGGACTCGTCCATGCTGTTCCCGCGGTTCATCAACATGCGGCGCGGCCAGTACATCGTGCACACGCTGGCCTGGGCGGTGTGCCCGTGGGAGATCCTGGCGTCGGCGACCAAGTTCGAGACGTTCCTGTCGGGGTACGCCTTGTTCATGGGTAGTGTGGTTGCGATTATGGTTTGCGAATGTAAGGCTCCGCCTGCTTTACTTGGAACTCCCCTCCCCAATTGCATCTCTCCCGTGTAAACGCTTACCCCCACCCCCAAAACCATGCTAATCGTCCGTCCAGATTTCTGCTTCGCCAAAGGCAACATCTTCATCCCCGCCCTGTACGACGGCACCCCGCTCAACAAGAGTTATTATTATCTGAAAGGGTGGAACATCCAAGCCGTCATCGCGTACATCATCGGCATCGCCTTCCCGTTCCCGGGGTTCGTGGGCTCGCTGGGCGCGCACGTGTCGACGACCGCGACGCGCATGGGCGACCTGGGCTGGATTCTGTCGTTCGTGACCGCCTTCGTGTGCTACTTCGCCATCTGCTGGGTGTGGCCCACCGAGAACCACACGCGCATTCGCGCGGAGAAGCTGGGGTGGGAGGCGGCGGTGGATGACGAGGAGGGCGAGGTGTATCTGAACGCTAGGGATGTGGGGGTGACGACGGAGGAGGTGGTGGTGGGCGGGAAGGAGAGGGAGGGCGAGAAACGGGGGTTGTGATATTCCGTCGTTTTTGCTGCTCTTTCTTGGTTTGGGGGATGCTTGGAGAACATGATGAGGGTTGGGACAGGAGAAAGAACGGTCTGGGCTACTGGACCCGACCGAGACCTGGACTGGGGACTTGACTTGGGTACATACGGTACATACTGCATGGCGTTGCATACATATCTTCACTCGTCTTATAGATGGGGGTGAATAATGATTGATGGTCTCCTGAGTACGGTCGCTGACTTTCGTTTTACAAGAGGTGTAGTTCTTTGGCTGGGTCGTTGTATGTTAACTTTGATATTCTTGTAAAAGCAGCGCTAACCCAGTGTCCAGTTCAACTCTAACATATAACTCCGAACACATGCATCGAGCCGTATCCCCAAATCCTCCCGCTGGTCGTATCCAATACCTCCCCCTCTCTATCCCGAATTCCTGCCGCCGGTTGTGTTTAACCCCTCCCCCTCTAACCCTAGAATCCTACCGCTAGTCATATCTAACCCCCCCCCCCTCCCTCTCCTCCGAATCAAACCCCAACATACAACTCCCCATAAGCAAGGACACATCCTCGCACAGCTCGCCATACGTCGGATCCGTCCTGGCCAACTCCCTACACCGCCTCTGCAACACCTCATCGACGGCGTGCTCCCTCCCCAACAACAGCTGCTTCATGATCCCAAACCGGCGGTACGTAAACGCGCCCTCGAGATGCGTCATCTCCGCCGACGGCCGATGGCCATACTTCCTGGTCGCCCGGAAATCCACGCCGGCCTCAGCCGGCGCCTCGAGCAGCGCGCGCACCACCTCGGCATACCCCCTCTCCACCGCCAGCGCCAACGCATCGCGGTTGAAGTTGTCCAGCCGATCCAGCGCGCACCCGGCGTCGATCAGCGCCAGCGCCGTCTCCTCGTTCCCGTCGCGCAGCGCGAAGTGCAGCGCCGACTGGCCGTGGTCGTTGACCGCGTCCAGCGCCAGCCCCTCCGTCTCGCGGAGCAGCACGCCCACCACCGCTTTCTGGCCGGTCTGCGCCGCGAGGTGCAGCGCCGTGCTGTTCGACGGCCCGCGCAGCTGCCCCACCGTGCGGGCGCTGCCGTTCGCCAGCGCGTGTTTGAGGTATTCGACGCTCTTGCGCGCGTGGATGACCGCCACGAACGCCTCCATGTTGATGAGCTGCGCCCCGGCCGCCAGGAGCCTCTCGATCATCGTTTCCGTCTCGCCGTCCGGCCCCACGAACGGGCCCGCCAGCGCCCCCCCGCTCCCGTCCGCGTCCGCCAGGTTCGGGTCCGCGTGGTCTTCCAGCAGCAGCTGCACGATTTCGAGTTGCCCGGTCGCCACCGCCCAGCGTAACGGCCGGATCCCGTAGGCGTTGAGGCGGTCGCGGTCCGCGCCTTTGAGCAGGTAGCTCCGCACGTCGTCCACCCGGCCGTGCTGCGTGGCGAGCTCCATCGGCCCCGGGTAGTACCCTGTGCTGGGGAGCCATTCCACGCTGCGTCGGCCTTCCGCGTCGGCCTGGCTCAGGCGAATTTGTCTCTGCCAGGCGCGGTCTGGGATTACGGTGGCGTGTTGCCGGAGGTGCAGCTCTTGCACTAGGTTACGGTACAGCGTTTTGCAGGTCTGTGTGAGCCGGGACAAGATGTTGGTGTTGAAGTATTTGGCTACGTTGAGCACTTGGCCTAGCGGGAGGGGCGGGATCGGGTCGTGTGCGTGGTCCGTGTCGGTGTCGGGGTCCGTTTCGGTGTTGGTTTCGGTGTCGGTGGTGGTGGTGGTGGTGGTGGTGGCTGCGCGACGTGCTGCGGTGGTTTGTGTAGTGGCGAGTTGGCGCTCGAGGACGTCGTAGGTGGTGTCGGTGACGGCTTGGGTTTGGTGCAGGAGGGCTTGTTGGAGGGGCGTGTGGAAGGGGGTTTCCTCGGGGGTGGGGGTGTGCGGTGGTTGCGAGGCTGGCTCGCGCTTTACTTGGCTTTGAGCGTGGCCTGGCTTGCGGATCTGGCTCCTATCCCGGAGGATTCTGCGCGGCTGCTCCTCCTTTTTGATGCTTGTTGCATCCTGCTGGGCAACGGTGGGTTGCTTGCGGGTCTCCCGGTCCGCCCACTCCACGCGTCGCGCCCCCCGCCGCTTCTGGGGATATTCCTTGGGTTGAACCTGCGGTGGCTGCTGGGCAGCTTGCCTGGTGTAACTTCTGGTCCTGCGAGGCGAGGTAGGCATCGAGCTCCGCGCGCGTTTGATCGGGATCGTCTCGGGCGGGTCCGCGGGCTTGCGCTTCCGCAGGTTCTTCGGGCTCTGCCTCTGTCCAGGGTCCTTCGGCGATGGTCCGGGTGAGCATAGATCGATGACTTCGGCCGTGACGCGGGCTTTGCGTTTCTTGGGGCTCGGTTTGGGCGAGCTGAGATCGATCGTCTCGGCGGGGGCGGAGGCTTTGCGCTTTGAGGTCTTTGGGGCTGGTGGCTTGTTGGTTGTGGGTTGGGTGAGGGCGGGGGGTTGCGGTGCTGGGATTCGGGGTTGCGGTGCGGGGACGGGGCGCTTTCTGCGCTTCTTCGCCAGCTGGCTTACTCGTTCGGTGGTTTCTTCGGTGTCGGTAGGCTGGGTCTCTTCCTGCTTGACGGTAACTGGAGTATCGTGGGTGGTGGTGTTCGTCTCATGTTGGGTGGTGGCCTGCGTCTCCTGTTTGATGTGCGTCGAGTCGTCCGTATCCTGGTTTGCGTGTTGTTGATGTTCGTCACCGCTGGCGGGGGTCTCGAATTGTGTACTGAGTTCGCTCACGTCCTCTGTGGTCTCCTTTGCATCGTTTGGAGGCTGTTCAATTTGCATAGGGGGGTTTGGAGCTTCATCCTCGTCTGCGGGTTTTGTATCATGCTGTGTGGAGGGCATGATCGCTCCCTCTGTGTTGTCTGCGTTGGCATCAGCCGGAAGCTGAAGCGCTTGCTTTGGAGATTCTGAAAGTTCGTTCTCGTTGGCGATATTGTTCTCTAGGGGAGCGGGCATATCGATGGGTATGTCATTCTCATCATTCGCAAGCTGCATCTTTCCCTCTGTAGAAGGCTGATTCTCAGTCTGCTGAGGCGACCGGCTCTGCCTCTGCTGCTGCTGTGCCTCGCGCCGCCTCAAGTTAGCCCGCATTTTCGCGGCTCGCTTCTGTCTCGATGGGCGGGCCATTTCGTCTCTTTTCAAGTGGTTGAGAAAGAACCCAGTTCGGGAGATGGTGGTGGGTGATATGAAGATGTGTAGAGGTGTAGACACGCTTTTTCTATTAGGTGTAACGAGAGTTGATTCTTTTTCACCGAGTTCAGGTCTCGGGGATACAGTGTGATGATCCAGCGACGCGTTCCAGGTTCGGCTGCTTAGGCGTCTGGAAGAAAGATATAATGAGAGAAATGAGATAGGTTCACAATTTGATTGTTATCGCGCGAATCACTGAGCAGTGTGTTCACCAGAGAAGTTGCAATATGTATGTTGAGTTTAGGAATTAGAGATGGGTTGTGGATGATATGGGGTGGAGGTTATGCTGGGAATGTTTTTGCGACAACGGTGTCAAGATAGTAGAAAAGTATTGAATGTTTCACTTTTGTTTGGAGGGTTTGTGGTGTTCTATGATGCTATTTTGGGTTCTTGGTACGGACACCTAGCTTTGTTGTGATAATGCGGGTGAGGGTCACAAAGGATGGTGGGTTGTCAGGTAGGTGGGTGGGATCTTTGTTCTTAAGCACGAGACAAAGGGGAGTTTTGTCGAGAGAAAGGGTGGTTAGAACGAAGAATCAAAATGGTGTTGTGGGAAAGAAGATGTACGAAGATCAAGAACTGGTTGGGTTCTTGGATCAGTGATGGTGTGGGGTTTGTGAGGTTCTTGGAGTTTGTTGATGGTTGGGTGTTTATGCTTGGTTAAGCCCCTCCCAGAAGACGTTGTAAAGTGAATGGGTACCTGACGGGGTTAACATTGATTTTAGGAAGATTACCTGTTTTGTCACATCTTCTGCTAGTAAATGTTCACTATCATGAGATTGAAATACATTTGGTAGGACCACTTTCCGACGGCTACTTGTTTTGGTGGATGCCTATATACGTAAAGAACACATCAGATCTCGAGCTACTGGTTCACACGAGGGAAGGGTATAGCTACGTTCCAATTAAGATGTGAACTCTAGGATGGGAAACCTCGTCGAAGGCAATGTATTCAGCAAAGCAACTAAATGACAAGACCTGCAGAAGTTACAAAACAAACCTCGCTCCAAGCGCATCATAATCTTCTCCACCATCCCAATAGCCTCGTCGGTTCAGCGTGAATGGGGAATATCACTGTATCTGTTTTCCTGGGTCTCGGCTAAGAGGTCGATTCTCGCGCCCAGATGGCGCAGCCGGACGATAGGGCAAGGGCGTACCAGTATCGAGAGTGTTGTTTGATGTGACATAAGCCACGAAGTGATAATTGTCCCGCAAAGGTAGCATTGTCCAGATCTCAACCGGCACTGTAATCAAAAGCTTACAAGAACCACTGAACGCGGCTTCGACTTTCACCTCCACCCCCAGAACATCCGCCGGAACGTTGGTAGTCAACCAACGCTGCCACTCTTGAATGCTCGGGACTGATACTTCTCCATTCAAGGTGATGCACAACAAGACGCGATCATGACTTCTCGCGGGTTGGATTGGGCAGGTCGATGCGGTGTGAAGTGGTCTCAACGTGATGCTCGGTCTGCCCATTTTTGGGATGTGGAGCGGGCATCTTCCGATTTGATTTTGCTGACAGAGACGGTACATTCTAGAAAATATCTCGCAGACCGGAGTCGGTTGGCCCTTGATATCTTTCAAAGTGTCGATCAGCACGCGCGTGAACGACCAATCCGGGTGGGTGGAACTCTCTTGCTCCCACCCGCAGGCAGTGAGCGCTTCAGGCCCGTCTCTCATGGCAATCGACCCCGCAGAACAGCAATCAAAAATGTATAGCACTTCACCATCAAACCTCTCGCAGGAGTAGAGCAAGGCTTTGATGTTGACTCGCGGGCCGCGGAGATTCCCATGTGCGTCAACCTGCCCACTGAACAGACAGTCAGTACAAAGAATATTCTCGGAAGAGCTGTGGTGCAACATACCCAATCCACCAGGTCATGTCGGTTGTCCCAGCCGGTGCCCCATGGCCGGAATACACGTAGATTCTTAAAGTCTCCTTCTGGGCCCGGTCCAGACTCCACTTTATCAAGTGCTGGTTTAAATGGTCTTCGGAGTGAATCACGGGGATCACAAATGAAGATGTGTTGTAATGGTAAACCGACTGAAAAACATCGAGAAGTTCGCGTTCGAGATGTTCGACCCCCATCGTATCGTTCTCAAATCTGAGTGCTAGGACCTCCACGCTTTTGAAATTCCCACCGGAAGGTTGAGCGTTATTGAGGGCCTCTTGAAGGTCATTGCTGAACATTTTCAGGTTCAAGAAATGTTGCTGACGGAACTGTGCCCGCGTCATGCGAGAGTGCGCAGGCCTCAGATTATCCATTACTGCTAGGCTGTGTGGAGATCCCACAAGTTGGGGATATGAAGGTTCAGTGAAGCTGCACTTTTCTCAAATGATAGAATTTAGGTGACGGACTCAAGGGGACAGAACCAGGCCGAACAGAATCAACAAACGGGATAAAGCTCTGAGGATAGAGTGAGTGAGATAGGCCGATGTGTGGCGTGGACTGTGTAGGTGAGTTAGAAGGAGGAAGGAATAAAAAGCAGGTTGGGAGGAGAGAAGATAGAAGGAGGGAGGGAGGAAGGAAGGAAGGAAGGAAGGAAAAAGACAGCAGCTGTAACACTAACACTTTTATCTACCTCACCTCACCATGACTGCAGATTTGAGTCAGAGTCTGACTCAAAACGCCAAAAGTTTATTCACTACTACCGTGGTAGAGAATTCGTAATGATGAGCATTTGCACCGGCTGGATAAAAACCATAAGGACTTCCTCCCCATTCAGTCGACCGACGCGCACCGACTCTTTCCTCGTGTCGCTCTCACCCTTCTCCATCTCGTTCTCCCTCATCAACCTCCCCACGTTGAGTGTGAAACAAAATGCCCCCGACGACATTCATCCTCGATCTCCCTATCGAGGTTCTGGCTCAGATTCTGGACCAAATTCTGGGCCAAATCATTTTCGAGCAGCGATTTTCCAGAGTTCCATGCACCGAAATCATTACTATTCTCCTCACCTGTCGGCAATTTTACCGCCTCACACTTGCCCGGCTCTATCGCAAATTGGAGTTTTCCTACCCCGCTAGACGAAAAACCAACCGCCTCTACCGTTCCTTACGGTCCGACTCGAGTCTTATCTTGCTTGTCAGATCTCTTCTCCTGGTTCTACAGCGGTATCGGACCGAGACCTGTATGCCAGTGGAGGACTATGCGGCTGCAGCCGATGTGCTAAGCCTCTTTCGCTGGGCCCAGGTCCACACGCCGAGGATTCAGGGCGAGGTGGTTTGGTCCCCCGAGGACCAGAAACGCTTCGAATCACAATCTGAGCCCGAACAGTCTATCAGTCTCGGCCAGTGGCAGCTCTTACATTATGCTCTCCGACAGCTTCCAGCGTTGCAGAGAGTGGAGCTGATGGGCGATGTAGATGGGCCTTGTTGTCGCTTCGGAGGGCGGTTCGACTGTCGGCTGCAGGGCTATGCGGAGCTCCGTGCGTTGCCCGGATCAGACCCGACAATTCTGTCGGCTGTCAGAGAAGAGGCTCACGAGGGGTGCGCTGGTGTTCAGGTCTGTCTCTCGCCTTACATTTGATCCGATCTGATTTTTTTCCCTTTTTTGCTTCCCTTCTCTTCTGCCTTTTGTGGTTCATTTACCTCGGTAACGGCTCTACTCTCAGAAAGCCCTTCTTCGCGAAGGTCAAAGACTATGCAGGCTAACATGTATTCCTTACCCGCAACAGGATGATGCGGCTTTGCAACAAACGACGACTGATGGCTCGGTTGAGTTCAGCCTGGCATTTGACGAGCTCCTGAAGGACGGGACCCCGGAGACACCCGCCAGCGTCAAGATCTTCTACCCGTGGCTGCAGGCCCACCCCCACCCCCTCCGCCGCATGGTCTTTGGTGCGATTCCGTTCTACTCCCTGGGCCTGGAGTTTCGGGCCTCCACTTTTCCCAACTTGCACACGGTCGTCTGCCCGCCCTTTCACGTCTTGTCCGAGACACACCCCCACGTTTACTGGCGTCCGGCCGCAGCGGTTGATCAGCTCTTGGGTCCAACGGTGCGGACGTTCGTTTAGGACCTGATCAGCTACGAAAGATTCTGAAGGCCAGGCTTGTTGGGGTTCGACAAGCCACAGGCGCGTTGGCTGCTGGCGTTTGCCCAGGGCGCCGTCGCGGACGAAGGCAAGGCGCTGCGGACGATTCGGATCGAGTTTGTTCCGTATATTGATTGGCTAGGCTATGTAGACCCGGACGACTATCCTTGGGACCGCATGGAGCAGTTAAAGCCAAAGATGCGCGTATTAGGGATTGCGTTGGAGTACGACACTCCGCCTTACACGCGTGAAGAATATTCACGGACTTGTAAGGAAGTTCGGCAGATGGTGGAAAGTGGCCAGTTGCCACCATTGTGGGATAGGGTGTGAGTGCGTGAATCGGCAGACGGGGGACTGTTGTGAATACACAATCCTGCAAGTATGATGCAATTACATGTCTCGACATAGACACCACCCTACAGTGGGCCAAGATGAGCACAATGCAGTTTATATCAGCTCCATCTCGAGCACATAGGCACCCTTCAGTATCCAGGCCACGCAGTATACGCAGACGGAAGATAGGGGCATCAATGCTAGGAGTCCTATCTACGGACGAGTATCGGTTCTGATGCAGGTGAGTCCATTAGTGACCTCGTCTTAGGGTATACTTGCTCTAGTCTCCCCCTCCCTTTTGCCGCTAGCGTGGCAGAGCATACATTCCGGTGACTAACACCAATTAGCGCCTACCCACTGCATGCACAGATATTGTACCACAACTCTGACCAGTGAGAACAAGCTTAAATCGGCGAAATAGTGGAGCATGACCGAAAGGCTGCTTACCCATCACAGTCCACCAGGTCCCGTTCCATTTCTAGGGCTTGCCGGGGATGCCCCACTCCTCCAACCAATTCCTCACCATACCATCGGGTCTATCTGGAATCGCCAGTATAACAACTAAACTGGATAAAACCCGTGGCAAGATTCACAGAGATACTCCGATGAGTTGCCATTATCTAAGCTACATTTTTCCTTGCAAGGAATTCTTAGAGTCTACACGGTTCCTTGACCAGCCATCAGTCGATCGAAGATAGTCCATGCAACGGAGGCCCAGGTAAGCGGCATAACTGTCGACAAATTGCCGGGGAAGCTCCTCCGCAATCTTCTCTTCGGAGGATCAAAAGGCAACCGGCGAGTTGTATCGTGTCATGACTGAACATGCTCTAGAGAAAAGCCTGCTGGGTCTCCCATCACTGCGGGATCCCACGGAGCGAGACCCACCGTGCGCTGATTATTAGATAAGCTCATCAGTTTTGATGCCGGGTCCTGCAGCTCAGCTGTGGACTTTGGTTGGGCCCTTGGGCGAATGGCAACAAGTTCGCTGGCCGGTCTTGTTGTGCTGAACATCGTCCAGCATATAGAATTAGGGCGTTGCACCCGGCAAACCCAACGGAAATGATGAACCTCTACAACGGAGTCCGGGAGGGTTGAGCTCGCCATACCCTGCATCTACTCGATTTCGGTCCCGTGAGGTTTGATGGCAGCCCAGAAGATGATTTGCACAGCGGATGCACCCACGAGTTCCATTCATATGGCTGGTTTGCGTCGGGCCTCCTGTCCCCGTGATGCCTCCGGCCCTAGCAACAGCAGCAGCCCCCGTACCAATGGAAGCCAGTTCAAAACTCATCCTCGTCAGACCCATGCTCGACACCGCTGCTCCAAGCTCAGCCTACGCACACTGGCTGCAGCGTACATCATGTGAGAACCCCCCCGCCCCCTCGGGTTAGCCGTTCCTGGAAGCGCACGCTAACCAACCAAACCAGGATCTGGATGCTCAACTTCGTGCTATCGTTCGCCAGCGGGATCATCCAAACCCTCATGCCATACGTGACCAGCTCCTTCGCGGCGCATTCCCTGACGGCGACCACGACCATCCTCTCCAGCCTGCTGGGCGGGTTGATGAAGCTGCCCTATGCCAAATTGCTCGAACTCTGGGGGCGGCCGCCCGCCTTCGCGCTCAGCGTCCTGTGCACCACGGTGGGGATAGTCCTGATGGCGGCGTGCACCACGGTCGAGATGTACAGCGCCGCCCAGATCTTCTACATGGTGGGCTCCAGCGGCATCACATTCAGCGTGACCATCTTCATCGCCGACACCGCGGCGTTGGCGAGCCGCGCGTGGTGGATCGCCTTCACCTCCTCCCCGAACATCCTCACCGTCTGGGCGTACGGCCCGGCCGCGCAGGCGGTGCTCGACACCGTTGGGTGGCGCTGGGGGCTCGGGGTCTTCGCCGTTGCGGTCCCGGTCGTCGCAGGCCCCTTCGTCTGGCTTCTCTTCCACATCAACCCTCATCAGAACGATCGAGGGGAGAAGACGCCGGCACCGTGTTCCAATCGCCAGAAGCTAGCACACTATATCCGGGAGGTCGATCTGGTGGGGCTGCTGCTGCTCTGCACGGGGCTAGCCCTGCTGCTGCTGGGGATGAGTCTGGCCGCCGACCAGCCCGGGCAGTGGCGCGCGCCGCTGGTCGTCTGCTTTCTGGTGGTCGGGGGCCTGCTCGTTGTGGTCTTTGGCTTCTACGAGCGGCACTGGGCAGCCGTCGGCTTCCTCCCGTGGCGGCTCCTCGGCAACCGCAACATCGTCGTCACCTACGCCGCCGTGCTCGCCATGTTCACCGCCTCGTACGTGTGGGACAGCTACTTCTACTCGATGCTGGTGGTGGTGTGGGACCTGAGCGTGCTGGCCGCGGCGTACGTGACCAACGGCTGGGCCGTCAGCGCCTCGCTGTGGGCGCTGCTGGTCGGCCTGCTCCTCCGCCGGTACGGCCGCGTCCGCCCGCAGGCGATCTACTTCGGGGCGCCCGTCATCGTGCTGGGCGTCGCGCTGATGATCCGCTTCCGCCGGCCCAGCGCGAGCATCGCGTCCGTGGTCCTGTGTCAGATCCTGGTCTCCCTCGGTTTCGGCACCATGGCCATTCTGTTCCCGGTCGTGCTGATGGCGACCGTCGCCTCCTCCTCCTTCTCCTCCTCCTCGTCGTCGTCTTCCCCCTCATCGCCGCCCCATCTCCCCGCTGTTCTCGCCGTGGAGAACATGTTATCCGACCTGGGTCGCGCCATCGGCTCGACCATCGGCTCGGCCATGTGGCAGGCGATCTTTCCCGGTATGCTGCGGAGTCGTCTTCCCGCAAATGAGGCACCGAGCCCCGTCCTCGACGAGATATACGAGGATCTGAACGTGCAGACGGCGTACCCCGTCGGCAGTGCCGTGCGCGACGCCGTCAACGCCGCGTACAGCGAGACGTACAAGCTCATGCTGATCGTGGCGGTTTGTCTCTCCGCCCTGGTCTGGGCGTTCGCGTGGCTGTGGATGGAGGTCCCTTTGGCAGACGCAGATAAGTGCCGTGCACAGGCCAGGGCGCAGCTCGACGGTGAGGAAGAGGTGACCTCGCCAGCTCCGTGAGGGTTATGCGTAAATGAGGTAAGGGCCATGGGTGTTGGGGTCGGTGGGATTGGTGATCGCAGAAACAACACCCATTGCCTAAGGGTTGTTGATGGTTATAAGTTAGCTCGGGCTTCAGGACAGTGAAAACTCGAGAACCCGGGTATACACTGTAAATGAGACGAAGGTTACTAACCGAAGAGTGTCCACACTCGCATTTGACTTCTCTGAGCAAGGATGCCGATAATAATAGAGTGTCAAATTGGAACATATCCAATCTCAAATATTGCTGATTTACCTACTATATGGAGGGAAGTGCGGAAATGCCGGCAGGATTCCGAGGTGCTTACTGCGCTAAGCTGGAAACAGAATAGTCTCGGATCGGATGAATGGACAGGACTCTTCAAGCTGGCTTCCGTTCCAAGAGAGATGAGCAGGGTGGGAGTTGATGGTGGTGGTAAGTGTTCTTGCGGGTCGGAGAATGGCATAGATGCTATAGATGCTATACGGTGGGGGAACGTTCTTGTTTCTCGGATGTGGGGTGGTGATCTCCATGCGTTAAGAGGCGCTTTATACCTATACCAGGTTCTACCGGTATCCCACATGCTGGAGGCTGAGCTCAATTCCTAAGAACGCCGCATGAATTAAGCAGCCTTAACGTTGCAGATGCGTAAGTGCAGATGAGTAAGTGGCCAACTCGAGGATGCTAACGGCGCACGTAGTGACTTGCACGGTTGGTTCCGGACACGGGCATCCCGGAGTGAGCCGAATATCCGCGCTAGGCTTGGCACGGTAGATCCACCTCGGATCGGATGCTAGGGATCTGCCCCCTCGCGCTCCGAGGTTCAATCTCCTGGGCGGGCTGTTGGTCACAACTTGGAAATAACTTAGCCCTTCTCTTCCCGGCTCATCATTTATCCAGAGCTAATAGCTGTTTTGGGAATGTCTAGAATTGTCCGCCGCCGTTATAAATCGAGGTACCCAGGCCCTCTTTGGAATGGGGTGTGGTTCTACAGCCGAGAGCCGAAACAGAGTTTACTAACTCTTTTGATAGTGCCCGCCTGGACCTACACGACTACTTATCAATGGTAAGTGGCAACAGGGAGTTGAGCCATTGAGGTGGGAGCTTAGATCTAGATGCTCGATCAAACTATCGAGGTACAGCCTCCCAACGGTAATTCAAGGGCATATTTATCATGACGCTCTAGACAACGCCAGCTCATCTCGATGTACGTATGTTTTTCTCTTGCTCGTAGACTGTACACCGCCGAGGTGCCTGGCCCAACGTTGGCCTCGGGAGTTTTCAAGCAGCAAAATGACTTGCAGGCAATTGGTTGATAGGTACCTGCGACTCAACCACGGTGTACCGCGCACTTATTGGCGTTCTATTCCTTCGCTTGTATCCGCCTAGGACATCTTACTCGAGACGACTAGAACAGCGAACTCGGGATGTTCTCCGGGGAAAACCCCGCTTCCAGCCAGTAGGACATGTAATTCGGCATCGTGGCTGGAATGTGCAGCGCGGGGTCCTGCGGTGGGGCGGTGTCCGGGGCGGAGGACAAGATGCCCTGACCCTGGGTGGAGACAGGTATGGCTCCGGGGTCGGAGCGTGGCGCCTCATATGGCAGGGCGGCGCTGTTCGGTGGAACCAGCAGATTGTACCTGCAAGAACATATAGTAAGTATCTTTGAATGACCCAAGCGGACAGGGAAATAAGCCACGAGAACGCACTGTAACCACGGAAACGTCCCAATGAAATCCTGGTTGACCTCGACATCCGTCGTCGTCATTCGCAACGCCTCCTTCGCGATGCGCATCACATCCAGACTCACGGCTTTACCCGAGGTGGGACCAACATGCTCGATCTGATCTAGGCACTCCACGGCGCGCTCCACCGTAGCGAATACCTCGCGCGCGTGCTCCGCGCCCGTCGTCGGATCCAGCACGTCATACAGTAAGGTGACGGCGGCAGCGACCATGATAGTAGCCGAAGACCCGTCGAAGCGTGCGCGGGGGCACCGCCGGAAATAGACGTCATGAGTCAAATTGATGATGTTCGTTGCGGCGGCCAAGGCCTCCTGAATAGAGTGCTCCAGCTCCAAAGTGTGGCCTGTACGCCGCTGGGCCTCGTCGAGTGAGGGGAAGAAGGCCCTGAAGAGCAGGGCCGGACGATGCGTCAACATTTGGGTCTGATAATAATTACTGCCCAGTGTCAGGCGTTGCACTTCCTGCCAACCGGAGCCGATTGGTAAGGCTGCGTCGAAGAACTGGAGGTACAGAGGCAGGTCGCGCGTTACAGCGCCTAGCAGCCCATCAATCTCGGCTACCGCTGCCGGCAGAAGTGCGATTTGTGCCATGCTGGCGACGCTGGCAGGGGAGTAGATTTTGACGAACATCAGGTCAGCAACGCGGGCGACGCCGGCCATGGCGCGGATAAAGCCACAAAGGCGAATTGGGTCGTATTGGTCATCGCTGCTGTCTGTCGATGTGTCGGTCATGGCGGGTAAGGGGAGGTCTTCCGGATATGGAGCATCGATCATCTCGTCACGAAAGGCAGATGGACGACCGGCATAGAGAGCGTTCATGCGTTCGTGGGCGTAGACAGTCCAGAAGGTGCGCTTAAGCGCATGGACAGTCACATTGGTCCCGTCCATGACCTGGAATCGATTGAATCCCAGCACCATGGCATTGCGAGCGGCGTGGCCGAGGTACAAATAGGCATCATTCGGCCGCATAACCTGGTAGGCATACATTGCTTTCAGAAGCAACAATTGCGTGGAGGATAGACTGGGGTCCTCCAAGACGGCAGTGCTCCGATTGGCCTGCGCGGCGAAATGGTCCGCCCAACCTTCCAGCAACGAGGTCTCCTGTTGGCCCGCCGCTATGGTAACGCGGGCGCCAATGGCGAGAACAATGAAAAGAACCTCGTTCCTCTTGTCGGGTTTCTGTTGCGCTGGGGGCTTCCATAGGGATTTCCATTGGTCAACGATCTCCGAGTAGTTGAGTACGGGGATCTGAGGGTGGAGGATTTCGAAGTACGAATCTATCAGGCCCATTCCTACCTCCTGAGAGATGTAAGCAGCATGTGGTCCGGTTGAGTCTTGACACCCGTTCACGCAGAACATAAAGCGCTCCAGGTTCCACTTGCGGACGCCGTCCGGCACGGTATCGCTCGGGGTAAGGATGGTTTCATTGGGGGACCGCGCGATGCGCTGGCACATCCGCTGGATGAAACAGAAATGCGAGGATGGGCCGTAGAATTGGAAAGAACCGGTGTCGACATTAGAGACGCCAATTCCAGCCCGTAATTCGCGATGTCGTTTGAATTGAACAGGATCATTGGAAAATCGCTGGGGCGTGTTGGTGGTGTTGGGTTGGGCGGCGGCGGAAATCGCAGCGGTAGAGGTGGAGGTGGAGGTGGAGGTGGGCACGATCAAATGGGTTTGCGAGTGATCTCCCACCAAGGAGATGGCGGATCGACCATCCAACAACTTCCTCCTCCGACTCGGTCTTGTGGCTGATCGATAGATACAGGGGAAGTTTCGCGGTCGGCAGCCGGCGCAAGGAGTCTGGCCATCGCAGCGGACCTTTCGGGAGCGGCAGCGCTCGCAGGCCCGGGTGATCCGAGCACGCTCATGGAGGGTTGGGGGTGGCGGTGGCAATGGCGGCGAGGATGGGCTTGATGAGATTGCGTTGCGAGATAATGACATCCTTTGCAAGAATAGGGTACAGTAGGCAATATCATAGAGTGAGGATTACGATCGGAACTCGGAGGGTTAGGAGTAGAGAATGAGAGAGTGTGAAACTGGAGGAGGTCCTCGGCTGCTGGTTTTGCCCGAGTTCCGCGGCACGTGACCCTCCCTCCTTGTTTTCTTGGTAGGAAGTCAGTAGATACTTTACGTCGAAGTACTACTGCCTGTAGTAGCATGCTTTGTGGAATGGGCTTTACCGTCTTATCTAGGAAAAGTATCATTGTCGGTAACTGCGTTCTTTTGTTATATACCCCTTGCGTGGTGAGCAAGCCAGAAGGTGGGTCCTTTGGTGCTCGATAGTGTGCAACTATACAATTGATCTTCGACATGTAACAGTTTAGGTGGGACAGAAGTAATCACTCACTAACTCCGCTCAACTAACTTACTAGGTAACTATTTATTTTGCTGAATGAGGTCGGGAGTTACGGCAATTGACTGGACGATAATCGGATACTAGCAGGCAGGGTCCGCATCAATATGAAATATAACATATACAATGTGAGAAGCTTGCCTACATACTCAACTCATACTATCTCACACGCCACCTCCTAGATTTCTAGCTTGAAGTATACAATCTAAAAGTAAGTACGTATAGATACAGGCGCCCAAGGGACGATGAAGCAATTCCCGCTTCAGGATCGCAGCCACCCCGGCGTTCAAATCATCCTTGGCGTTCGCCTGGACTGTTGGCTGGGAAGAAGGCCCCGCTCATGATCGCCGATTGACTGGCCCTGGCGCTGAAGTGAAGTCAAGAGATGTGGCTCGACAAGAGCCACCCGGGTTGCAAGAGCACGCGCATTTAACCACATCTTCAGCGTCGTGGACTGCAGCTGGCCACGGATGGTGGATTAGACCCTCAATGGTCAGTGGTGATTGGTAATAGGTACTGTACATTGTTATCGAGCCGGGGGGTGTCGTGACTAGTAGGCATTAGGCTTTCACGAACCTGGAATCTGGAAATCATGAGTGGATGAAGTGTAGCATTGTGGCATGAGTTCATACCTGACGTGAACTACGGGGGAAGAATGGGAATCAAACAATGCAAACCACGGAGCGGATCAGGTCTCAACATCCGAGCATCCGATCCGAATGGTCATCCCCACCAAACAAACCACTTCTCCATTCCATGCTGCCTACACACAACACGCAGTGCAGCGCTGGGATACCTGGCCGTTATTATAAACCGCTCTAGAAGGTAGCTGGCTGAAAATCATGAATCCTTATCCTCTTTTACCCCCGGCTAATCTGACTTCTAAACATGTCGTCAACAGACTCTCCCGATATCGAACAGAAAGCCGACTCGTGCGATCAGCTCCCAATCTATCGCTACGACGGACGTGCCTTAGGTGTGGCCCTCGAGAATGTGACCGCTCAGGGTCCTTACGGTGGTCAACGGACCGTGCCTGATCTCCCGCAACTTCTTCTTGACATTCTTCGTTCACCGTGGCACCTCCTTCGATCTACTTTCACCCGACAAACACCCGCTCGTCGCAATATCGTGCAGGACGTTTCCGGGGTGCTGTTCCCGGGCGAGACCATGCTAGTCCTTGGCCGCCCTGGAGCGGGTTGTACCACCGTGCTCAAGATAATTGCCAACACTCGCGAGTCATTTGATGCTGTCCAGGGGGAGGTGCACTATGGAGCACTGAGGGCGGAGCAAATGACCAACGAGCTGAAGTCAGAAGTGGTCTACTCCTCGGAAGATGATATTCATTTTCCGACGCTGACCGTGGCAGACACACTGGACTTTGCTCTCAAGCTACGGAAGCCGGCCAGTCACCCCGGTCGCAACGCATCGTTCTCCGCTGAGTATACGCAGCGGTTGGTTAATGCTCTTGGAATCGGGCATACAAAGAACACCATAGTGGGCGATGCATTCATCCGAGGTGTCTCTGGGGGTGAACGCCGCCGGGTCTCCCTCGCCGAAGCTATGGCAATCAACTCCACCCTGGTGAGCTGGGATAACCCGATCCGTGGGCTGGACAGCTCCTCAGCTCTGGAGTTTCTTCGTTTACTCAAGCGCATGTCGCGAGCGACGGGAATGACAAATATCGCTACGCTCTACCAGGTATCTGAGAACATGTATCAAGAGTGCTTCGACCGCACTCTGGTGATGTATGATGGGAGGATGATCTTCTGCGGCAGTATCCACGTGGCCAAGCAATATTTCCAAGAACTGGGCTTCTACTGCCCGGAACGCCAAACGACCCCTGACTTCCTCACCTCTGTGACCTCCCCGGTTGACCGTACGATTCGTTCAGATTATGCGGGTCCTCTCTATTTGGACCCCGATAGTCTTGCCGATGTTTTCAAGCGCAGCACCCACTACGCGCAACTCCAGAAAGAGCTGCTGCAATATCGTACTGCTGCGCAGAAGGATCCGGCCGCCTTGACAGCCCTGCGACATGATGTCGGTAATGTACGGTCGAAACTGGCATACAAACACGCGGTTGAGCCTGCGACAATCTGGAAGCAGATCGCCGTGGGCACCGAACGTACCTACCGCTTGCTCTGGGGCGATTGGAAGACCCTACTTACCGTTGTGATTCTGTGTGCTGTAAATGCAGTCATCACCGGGTCGGGGTTCTATGCAGCTCCGCGCACCGCCGCGGGCTCGTTTGAACGGAGCGGTGCCCTCTTCTTCGCGGCGACCTACTTCTGCCTCAATGCCTTGACTGAGGTGGGCAAAACCGTCAATGCCCGGGCCATCCTACTGAAGCAGCATAATATGGGCCTTCTTCACCCGGCCGCCTATGCAGTCATCCAGACCGTCACTGATATTCCGTCTGCTCTGATCCAAACCACAGTGTTCGCCTGCTGCTACTACTTCCTAATCGGGCTCAGCGAGACTGCCTCGCAATTCTTCATCTTCCTCCTCATTGTCTTTGCACATTACTCTGCTATTGCGACTATGTTTCGCATGTTGGGCGCCTGGGCCCCAGGCCTCAATATTGCTCATCTCTTGGCGGGCTGTGCTCTGCCAGTTGCCTGTCTGTATTCCGGATATGCTCCACCTGTGCCCACCATGCATCGCTGGGGCTCCTGGATCCGCCGCGTGGCTCCCACTCCTTACGCCGTGGAGGCTATGATTGGAAACGAGTTCTGGCACATGCAGCTCCATTGCACCGAGTCACAACTGATTCCTCACGGACCGGGTTACGATGATATCCGCTACCAGGCATGTCCCATGGCAGGAGCCCAGGAAGGTTCAGCCTCCGTGGACGCCGCCGTCTATGCGGAGAGCATGTACGGCTATACCCGCGCCCACCTATGGCGGAACTTCGGGATTATCCTGGCCTTCTGGTTTCTATACATGGTTCTTGGTGCTGTGGGTCTGACCTTCATGACCCGGGATAGTGGCAATGCAACCGGTCCGGTGTTCAAGCGTGGTGCCGTCATCCTGCAACGAGCCGAGAGCTCGATGGCAAGCAATGGAGCCCGTGACGATAGCGCAGCGGAGAAGGGTTCTGTCTCTGGGCAGTCAGAAACCGACGTAGACGAGGTCGGGGCCAGCCCCCGGCCGGGCCATACTCAGCCATCGGTGAACCGTGCCTCCTTCACGTTTGAGGACCTTTGCTACACGGTCACAGTCGGAGGCGGCGAAAAGCAGCTCCTGGATCATGTCTCCGGATACGTCAAGCCTGGCCAGCTGACTGCACTGATGGGGGCTTCCGGGGCGGGTAAAACCACCCTGCTCGATAACCTCGCCCAGCGGAAGTCCGAGGGCCGTACAACGGGCAGTATTCGTCTGGGAGGCGAACCGCCGCACCCGCTGTCGTTCGCGCGATCCTGCGGCTTCTGCATGCAACAGAATGTCCACGATCCCACTACCACGGTGCGAGAGGCGCTGCAATTCAGTGCTCTGCTTCGCCGGCCCGCTGAGGTGCCCCGCGAGGAGAAGCTTGCCTATGTGGAGCAGGTGATTTCCCTGTTGGAATTGGAGAGGATTGCCGATGCCCTGGTGGGGAGCACTGGGGATGGCCAGTTGAGTGTTGAAGAGCGCAAGCGGGTGACCATCGGGGTTGAACTGGTGGCGAAACCGTCGGCACTTTTGTTTCTCGACGAGGTATATTCATTCCTGAAAGTGCGGAACAAGAATCAGAGACTGACAGAACCCACTCTTTACAGCCAACATCCGGCCTGGATAGTCAAGCCGCGTATTCCATTGTGGCTTTCTTGCAGAAGATCGCCCTCCATGAGGGCGTCCCGATTGTGTGTACTATTTACCAGCCCTCGGGCGTGCTGTTTGAGATGTTCGAACATATCATGTTGCTCGCGCCTGGCGGACGAACGGTCTACTTTGGCGAAACCGGGGCGCATGCCTCGACCGTTGCGAGCTATTTCGCGCGATACGGTGCGGTGATGGGCCCCGCTGACAACCCGGCCGAGTTCATCATCTCCACCGTGGCGGGCGACAAGGCCAAGCAGGACTGGCCGCTCATCTGGAACGAGTCGCCGGAGCGCCAGGCGCTCCGCGAGAAGATCCGCGCCATCAATGCGGCCCCCTTCACCCCTGCGAATGCTGATAGGCTTGGGGGCCAAGCTAGTGGCCGGTACGCTATGCCGCTGGGGCAGCAGATTCTGATCCTCACGCAGCGCCACTGGAAGGCCGTGTGGCGCAACGGGCAATACAACTTCAGTCGCCTGGCCAAGTCCATCTTCTTCGAGCTGTTTGTCTCGTTCACCTTTTTCCACGTCACTCGCAGCACCTCCGGCCTGCAGAACCACATGCTGGGCATCCTGCTGTCGATCTGGATCGTTCCCAGCGTGGCCGCCGACGTGCAGGCCGTCTGGTACGAAAAGTGGGCGATCTTCGAGGCGCGCGAGCGCAATGGCGTGTACGACTACAAAGCCTTGCTGGCGGCGCTGATCCTGGTCGAGATCCCCTGGTTCCTGGGCCTGTTCACCCTCATCTTCCTCATGACATACTGGACCTTCGGCTTCGCCGGCACCGCCAGCATCGCCGGCGTCGTGTACGGCATGTACCTGCTCTTCGCGCTCTTCGGCCTGGGCGTGATCTACCTCATGGCGGCGTTGTTCCCCAACGCCACGATGGCCGGCTACGCCATGTCGCTGTTCTGGGTGTTGGTGCTCATGTTCTCTGGCACCGCCAACCCTTATACCGGCCTCAACGACTTCTACCGGCCCTGGCTCTGGTGGGCCGACCCGCTCACCTACTTCTTCGAGGCCACCGTCTCCACCGTCCTGCACGACGTCCAGGTGCAGTGCGCCTCGGGCGATTTGGCGGTCTTCGACATCCCCCACGGCACCTGCCGCGAGTATCTGGGGCCCTACCTCGAGAGCAATCCGGGCTACCTGCTCAACCCCTCGGCCACCCAGGCGTGCGAGTTCTGTCCGTACTCGGTTGGGGATGAGTACGCCCGCTCGCTGCACTTTTTCTTTCAGGACCGCGGCCGCGACGCGGGCGTGTTTCTGGCGTTCTGCGTGACGAACTTTGTCTTGTTGTTTGGGGTGACTTGGTTGACGCGCGTGCAGATGCGGAGGTGGAGGAAGTGAAGGCGCGGTTGGATGGGGGGGTGGGTTGAAGCTAGAGGCTAGAGCAATTGACTAAGAAGGTATATGGAGAGATGTGGAGATAGAGATAGAAACAAGGTTCGCTTGAAAATAAATCTGGCTTATATCATGTCATATTAGTGGCCCAATAAGGCAAAAACTGTTGCCTGAACTGACTTACCACTTGTCGACGATCTATTAAAGCTCAGGGGTGAGCAATATAGAATAACTTCTTGAAACCTGGGTGGTTGGTTGGGTGATGAACTAGCTAAGATATCGACATCGGCACGCAGCCTGGTGAACCGCCTGGTGATCACGTGCCCGGGTTACCAGGAACGCCGGCCGCCGCCCCTCCCTTTTGCGTGCAGTTCAGTTGATCGAGACTTCTATATCTTCCAGCTTGTCATCTATATTGATCGTTCATATGCTTGTCTCAAAGATTAGGCCATATATGTCTAAGTAGAAGCAATTTGAGCAACAATAAACGAAAGGAGAAGAAAATCGGAAAGAAAACCGAAAAAAAAAACAAAAAAAATAATTAAAAATCAAAAATTAGAAAGATAAAAGGATTAGACAGGAAGCGAAAAGGCCATTACGCCAGCCATGCCCTCGTGCTGCAATTCCTCCCACCTCAATGCTTGGCGAGGTAGAGAGGGTCTGGCTGAGGAAGGGGTATAGATCAAACATCACAAGCAGCGGGTCTCTGGGGGGGGGAAGACAAAATGAAAAATGAAACATCGATCGAGACACGGAACCCAGCTCCCACGATAAACAGCCTCATCGACTCTCACATCTATCGTAGACACCTGCAAAAGGCTCCTCCCTGTGCGGGACCACGTCGATGATCTGTTCATTGGTGCCAGAGAATCAGCACTAAGGTAACGCATGATATCCACGCTTTGAGTTGACCGAAAACGAACGTACTGCTTGATAGTACATGAAAGTCGCTTCTAATTGCTGAGGCGTGGACCCTGTTCGGACGGGAATACTTCCGTAGAGCATGGGATCGTAGGATTGGAAGAATGGCAAGGTGGTTTGATGATTTTGGGTCGATCGAGAGTGGGGGATCCGGCGGGACGAGCCGAGATTGTAGAAATGATCCGAGTCTCTGTCATGGTACCGGGGAGTCTGGGAAGCAGTGGGTCGGAGACGTTGTCCTATGATTCCGCCAACTGGTAAGTGTTATGGAACGGTAGAATCGAAGCCAAATGATAGAGAAATTCGAAACTGAGGAGTTTTTCATGTGGGCGTGGTACATACCCTGATTACTGCTCCACCATCGGCGGATGCTAGCGTTGTGTTTGACGATGAACCATAAACCAGGCACGCAAGCAATCAGCAAGGCTAACAGAGCGATGATGGTCTCTGCTGACAGGCTCATAGGGGAAGACGATAAGACCGGTGACTCGTGGGTGAATGATTTCGTGTCCGGTGTACTACTGTACCTCTGTTCAAAAAGGGCAGTGCTCTGAGAGATGCAACAGGATCAGAGGTTATTTATACTTTTGCGTGGCTCAATAGAAGACGTGGAGGGCAAAATGAGTCTCCACAGTAGGACGGAATGTGTTGAAACCAGAGCACAGCGACGAGATGAAGCGGCAGGAGACAATTGATGATGAACTCCAAGAATGAGACCAAACATGAAGGCGAACCCAAAGCGCAGGATGTCCGACACTCAGCTCTAGCCTCAGCGGCGCACCTTCGGCCCCAGCCAATACAAACCAGTGTACTCCGGGCTGCATTAACTCGGATGCATAGGCGGTGTGATAAGGCCATTCTTTGGACAGTTCCAGAAGTTGAATCCTGCAACTTAACTTACGGAGTAGGTAGTGAGATGGATGGAGTTAAGTAGGTGTCCACCCAGTAGATTCATTGATTGTCGATTGGACGGTGCCAAACGGTGCATCCCCACCAGATGACGGTTGGATTGATTGGACGGTTCCATAAGGCGCAGTCCATTCCAACTCCACAGTACACCGCCGTCTAGCGTGGTTTAGCGTGGTTTGCGGTTGCCTGAGTTCACCTTCAGGTGCCCTGTCTAGGTAGGTATATAAGAACGTCATATCGACGGCGATTCCTGACTATTCTTGAACATGGGATCACAGAGAAATATGGCTTTAGCGGCCCATCAGAGCATCATACGGAAGTTGTATTGCGATGAGAATATGACGTTAGGGGATTTGAGAGAATACATGGAAAGAGAGATCGGGATAAGAGCCAGGTTTGCCACTCACCTTGGTCGAGCATCACGGGTTCACTAATATCAGCCTCAGCAAGGATACCTATAAACGATGGTTTAGAAAATGGGGTCTGTGTAAGAACAGAAGAGGTGACATTTGGACCTGGGCCAGCCATCGCATCGAGAAGCGTAAAGCCGGGCAGGGTAATAAGGAAACCGAGGTTCACTTTAACGGCACGGTCATAGACCACAAACGAGTCCAGAAGGAGATCGCGCGACATGTTTCCACCATGGACCGGATCGAGGCAAGAGGTATTGATTTCTCTTAGACATAGAAGTGAACATCTTGCTCACAGGTTGCAGCTCCTGCCCTCTTACCCCACAGGGCTATAGCATCGCTACGCCCTTGGGATCAACTCCTGATCTGCCGGATACCTCCAACTCAGCTACCAAGCATGGACATAAAATTTTGGCGGCGCCCAGATCGAACAACCAGCAACCGCGCAGTCTGAATGCCCCATTGATGATGCCGTCTGAATTTCATCGTACAGATTTGGCGCATTCATCAAACCACTCTTGGTCCATAAATCCTGCTGTCTACCTGCCCTATAGCAGCTCTTCTACGGTGATAGGTTTACCACCTGTCGGATCTCATTTTCCCCCCTATTCCAACGACTTGGATGCATCATGGAACGACTTAGGAGTTCCTCCCGAGACCGTCAACCCCAAAACCCTTCCTCCAATCTTCAGCCACCACCCAGATTATCACTATTGACAATGATGACCAACTTGCGCCATATATTGCACGTTCAACGTTCTTCTGTGAGTCTTACATGGCTATTCCTCTCGATTGAGACATCTCTGTCGTAGGATGTGGTTGGAAGCGCAATGATCTATTGTGATAGCCTTGGTTGGGAGATATTCTGTACATATCAAACTCAGGGATAGCGGTTTCAGGCACACTTTCATTCACTCTACATTGCACCGAAGTCAATACCCCCTTCCGTCCCTCTCATCCCTCCTCAAACCACGATACAGAACATCAAGATACATCAGCCGACTGATATCCGCCCATCTGCGAAGTAACTACGGCACAGATGCAAGCGGGCATGGGCCTATGTTTGCGCAAATAGATGTTAGGTAAATACCCCCAGGCCTTTCATGAGATATTCGATGTTCGGTTTTGAAGGCCATGCTCTAATATCAAATCACGTAATACGAAAAGCCTTCCAGCCAGTACACTTCACACACAGCTTCATACTCCACCCCCAAGCCCATCACGCAAGAACCCCCAACGGATCCCACCGCGGCAACACCTTTGGACTCTGGTCGAGAATCTCGCGGACCTCGCGCGAGACAAACTCCGCGTCCACCACCGCCTGGAAGGTATACTCGTCCATCCAGCGATCGGTCATGACGAACCAGCCCTTCTGGCCGGCGGCCTCGCCCCAGGAGTTCTCGACGCGCCAGCGCACGGGCGTGCCGTCATCTTCGAGATGCGCCCCCGTGATGACCATGGCGTGCGTCATGGCCGACTCGCCGCTGGCCAGACGCTCGGCCTTGCTCATGCCGAGGGAGATGTTGAACGCGAGGGCGAGGTCGGTCAGGTCCGCGTCCATGACGCCCAGGCTCGTGTCGGAGGATTTGCCGACGTCGCAGCCGAAGAAGACGGGGTGGCCTGCCTTGAGCATGGCGATGACTGCGTTCTTCAGGATCTGGGGGTTGTCAGTAGCTCCTAGAAAGAAACAAAGAAGAGATAAGGGAGACGGGGAACCACCTTCATCTCAACATTGACATACGTCAACGGCCTTCCCTCAAGCACATTCCCCAACCGCTCGACCGTCAACAGCCGATTATACTCATTCCGGGGATCGTTGACCAAACTAAACAGCCTGGCCGGCGCCACAGACACCCTCCCGCCGACCTTCCGCACCGCCGTCTCGGTACTGACGCGCCCCGCAAACTCCCTCGGCGACACCTTCACCGTCCTCGCTTTCCCATCGGCATCATAAAACTGCCACACGAACCGCTCCTCCGGACTGGGCGCGGGGCCCAGCAGAATCGTGACCAACGAGTGAATCTCCTTCAGGAACCGCGTCTTCGCCTCCGCCACCCCCTTCCCACCTTCGCGCTTCAACTTTCTTAGAATAAGCCCCTGCTCCCGCAGCTTGGCGGTCACCAACCAATTCATCCGACTGCTGTTCATGGCATTGTAATTATCCGGATATACCGTCGACGGCACAAGCCCGTACTTCCGGACGAGGTTGACGACCATATCCCACTGGCCGCCGTCGGTGACGGGGTCCTCGAGCAGCTTCTGCACGAGTCTTCCGGACAGCTCCTCGGTGGTGGCCGTGGCCAGGATCTGCTCGAAGAACCAGTTGGCCTTCTCGAGCTTGTCCCAGTAGAACAGGTAGGCCTGCGAGAGCTCGAATTCCCCCAGGTTGTATGCCTGCATGATCGGCAGCCGGAAGATGTTGGTCGACGCGAAGAGCCAGCACCGGCCGGAGGAGCGTTGGTTCGTGATTGGCGCGCCTTCGTTCGGGATCTGCAGGTTGAAGATGTGCTGCGAGGTGGTGTGGAGGGTTGTGCGGTTGGTGAGCAGTTGCGGGTACGGTTGGCTGGCGAGAGTGGTTATTGCCAGGCGGTTCTGCGGGGTGTCAGTGGGGTGGGTGGGGGAGAGGGGAGGCAGGACGCACCTTGGGATCGCGCAGGAGCGACTCGTTCCAGGATTTCAGGTGCGAGAGGGAGAGCGTCGGGATGCGCTCTGCCTCGGGTTCGAGGTCTTCTTCGAGGAATTGGTAGGGTGGTGCTGGTGTTGGTACTGTTAACGAATGATCTGTATGTAGGGTGAACTTGGGGAAAAGCGTACGAGATTGCGGGGACTCGTCATCGTAGACTGGTGCAAAGGATGTGGTCGTTTTCTCGCTGGGAGGAGCTGTGGGCTTGGAGTAGGTGGTTCCCATGGTGAGGTACTGGCTTGTCGAGTATGTTGCTTCGGTTAATCTGTTCATGAAGTTGTCTCTCGGGTGTGAGGGTTGATGCTCGCCACATAAATACCAACAACCCGGGGATGGGAGATAAGCCCACTCCACAAGGACCCGGGGAGCAATCGAGCGGGGAAACTCCGTTCAGTGGGATAGCACCCGCCCATTCCATTGGTCTGTGGACAGCGACTTATCAGCTGCAGCGGCACCTGCAGGGCCGGCGACGAGTCAGATGGCGGCACGCTGGGCTGATCCGGTCGCGTGAAGGTGTGATGATTACTTATCGCCGGTTACTCCGGCGGTGCGGTGGGCTAGGGGACTGGGTCATCCCTCCTAGGGATTGTGCTGGTAAGTCATGCCTCTTGAGGCTTTGTTTTCTATAGAAAGAGTTATATCAGTCTCACTTATAGGAATAATGCAGTATTATTGCGTTGGGAAGGATCGGCTTGTTGTTGACGGCGCCTAGACCCTCCCAGCACAAATGCCCCCTCTTTGCGGGGAAATCCAGGTATAATAACTCGCGGCTCCATATTCTAGATTTAGTACGCATAAGGGAAGTTGTGTCCTGGAATTAAGAAGAATACCAAGGTTACTACTACTCGACAAGCTCATTTGGTTCGATCGGCAACGTGCCATGATTTGGCATCTGGCGTGCCTCAAGCGCTTGTAGGGTTGTTCCGACTGGCGGCACACGAACAGCCCACTATTCAGCGCGGTTAGCAGGACGAGCCACTGTACAAAATCGCAACCTGCGCCTGCTACAAATATGTTAAACAAACACACAATTAAATGATGGCTGCTGCTGCTAGCCCACATTGTCACCTCTGGCTCCACCCTCTTCGTCCTGGGCAGCATCAATGCAATGACCGCTCCCCGCCGGGCTATCCTCGCCTCCCTCCTCTTCATCCTCAACATCTGCTACATCTGGCACAAACTGCCCACCAAGCCCAACCACACACTTGAACATCGACAATCGCAGCTCTGGCATCAGCTCTCTCCTCTCATGACCCAACATGCCCCCAACTGCCCACCACCCATCCTCCACGGCACCGCCGGCACCCACCGATTCGACGCCGCCAACCCCATCCCTCGCGAGAACTTCATTATCAACAGGGAAGCGATTCTGCGCCCAATGCAGACTGCACACGACGGCTTCGTCCACGCCATCCACCACACCAAGTTCGAATCCGCATACAACCCCGCGACAAGAGGCATCGTTACCGCAGCCGGAGGCACTTACCTCCCCACCTTCATGGTGACGCTCAAGCTCCTCCGCCGCACCGGCTCCACTCTCCCCATCGAGGTCTTCATGAAGGATCCTACGGAGTACGAGGCTACCGTGTGCGAGACCATCCTGCCTTCGCTGGGAGCGAAATGCCTTCTCCTCTCCGACCTCGCACCAGGTCTGGACTTCGAGCGCATCGCCGGCTTCCAACTCAAGGCTCTGGCTATACTCTTCTCCTCGTTCGAGGATGTGCTCTGGCTGGACGCGGATTGCGTCCCGCTGCATGATCCCACTCCGCTGCTTAGTTCTGAGCCTTTCACGACCAAAGGGCTTGTGAGCTGGCCCGATTTCTGGGCTGATACCGCTAGTCCGCTGTATTTTGATGTCTCTCGGCAGGAGGAATCAGACGTGACGGCAAGAGCAGCCAGCGAGGCGGGTATGCTCCTCCTTTCGAAGAGGTCGCACCTCGGCATGCTGCTGCTGGCTGTGTACTATAACGTTTACGGGCCGGAGTTCTACTACCCCCTCCTCAGCCAGGGTGCCCCAGGCGCGGGGGATAAGGATACCTTCCTCCGTGCTGCGGCCGCCATAGATGCGGACTTCTACGCGGTGGGTGCGCCCCCGGTGGACCTGGGCCGGATGAATACGGGTGGGAAGTCGACGGTGGCCCTCAATTCGGGGTTCATTCAGGCAGACCCCATACAGGATTATGCGAGGGTCCGTTCGGGCGCAGAGAATGGTACTGCTCCGCGGGCGTTTTTCATTCACGCGGGCAATCCTGAGTTCAACCCGGGAAAGGAGCTGCTGGGGAGAAAGCTGAAGGGGTTAGATGGACGGCCGGCCAGGTTGTGGACGTATCCGCCTGAGGCGTTGGCTCGAGTGGGCTTTGATGCGGAGAGGGTTTTCTGGAAGGAGACGGTTGCCGTGGCTTGCGAGATGGAGGAGGTATTCGGGTCGTGGGAGGGAAAACAGGGGTTGTGCGAGAAGGTACGGGCGCATGTCACGGATGTTTTCGCAGATAAGGCGGGTGATTCGGGATCTTGATTGGTTTAGCCTTTTCGATCATTTGGTATTTTTGATTTTGGGTTGGCTTTTTGCATGGAAACAGTCGGCGGCGTCTCAAGCATTGGTTTCACGAATCCTAGGCCATCCACATGTATTTCGGTGAACTAGTGAGAAAGAAGCAAGGCTAGTTCACCACAAGGCCTAATTATATCAACGCCTGTTTGCTAGCGGCGCTTATTGGCTCGTGGAACGCTTGTTGAGACCCTATGCCATGTATATTAGTCCTTCTCGTGGCATTGGCAGAGAACAGCAGGGGTAGGTCTAGCGTCAGTACTGCGGGCGGCAAGTAGAGCATTCGACACAACGAACATAGAGGGGGTGAGTAGTATTACTCTTGAGTCAATTCCCTGTCAGGATTCCCAACCCCTTTCGATTTCTTCTTGCTGCCGTTCTAGATGTTGCTTGCTGTTTTTTCCCGTCTGAGGCTCTCCAGAGAGGCTGCGGACAGTAGGCGACAAACAACACATCAGACTGGAGTCGATCTCCCAGACCTCTCACCATGTCAATCACATCTTACCCAGCCGAGACTAACAGTGGCACCGTCACATCTTACCTCCCACTCACTACAGCCTGGCCTTCCTCGTCCGGTTGCGCAAGCATCTACCGCCTCAATGGGCCCAGTCTTGTCGCCTGGGATCCGGGGTACGGGCTGGATGTGAACTCTGACGTTGTCTGCGATGCCCCAGAGGTAACCACATGGTGGGAGCAAGGGCTTCTAGAGAACGGAGGCACACTGCCCACGCGGGTCAGTCTCGGCCCTTTCACCTGTCCTGAAGCGTTCTCAACAATGAAATCATCCGTCAAAGATGCTTCCAGCACGTTGGTAATGTGCTGTCCCTCGTGAGTTTTCATCTCGTGTTATTTCACTACCTGAGTATAGCGTGCTAATTGTCCTTAGACAATATTACATCGGCGACGGGAACACTGCCTTGATCGACGGGAATTGTGAGTCGGACGTCTCGTCCGGTATGGTCTTGACGTACGCTTCGACCCCGTCCGGCGAAGCCACCTCATGGAGAATCGCGACGACTACATTAACGCGGAGCTGGACTGTCGGTGCGATTGCTGTGGTCGGATGGAACATTCGCTATGATGCCGTAACTCTTACAGCCACTGCCACCACCACGGTAGCTTCGATAACCACTGCACCGGAGCTTCCATCGAGTATCACTTCCTCTGGAACACCATTAGCAGCCAGTAACAGCACGTCAACGTCCACGACAGGCTCACCCACGGACACCCGCACCCTCCCCACGGGCATCAAGGTCGGAATTGGGGTCGGAGCAGGATTGGGTGTGTTGGGTATACTCGCTCTTCTGGCTGCTTTGTGCATCTTTCGTCGTCGCAAAAGGCAGAAAGCGACCACCAAGACTGTTTCGGTGTTGTATCATGAGCAGAGACCGGGTTCTGGAAGAGATTGGCGGCGGACTCAGTGGCCTGTTGAGCTTGATGGAACTAGGGGCGCAGCTGGAAAAGGATATAGGTATCCCGCCGAGCTCGATGGGTCGAAACAACTGCCTCAGAAAGGGAACATGTCGCCGGTGGAGTTGATGGGGTAATGTTTGCCGACCTTATGTGAACCGTGAATACGTTGAACGAGTCGCCTGTTTGGTCCTTTGAAACTCTCGTAACTCTGTATGGCTCAAGCCACGGTAGCATTGTACGACGACGCGGAAGCATCCCCTTCGGCCAGCCAACGCAATGAAAGATTTAAGCGGCAGTATCACCACCTGATACAATAGATGAACTTGTTCATCCTGAAGATGATCTGCGACGCGGTTGTGGGCTGTCGAGTTGAATTTTGTGGGGAAGGCTGAAGCATTGCGGGTCGCGCTCCACATCTTTGATCTTTGGGATCCCGCGCGTTGCTGTTCCTGACACGTGATGCGGTGGAAGGCGATGGAAAGGCCGTAAGGCGGTAAGGCTGTAGAACGGTAAGGCGGTAAGGCATTGTCCGGCAGATTGGCTGAAGTGGGGAAACACCAACAGCGGTGAGCGGGTTTGATGCCGCGGAACAACAAGCAAAGAACCTTCACGCGCCGACCAAAATGTCAACAACCTCCTCAGCAGCACATGTCTCTCCTTGGTCACTCTATCACACTATCAGTTGTACTGAAACCACCATGCCATCTACTCCTCTCCAAATCCTTCTAAGCTCGTGATCTTGTTCTGCCAGGGAGATTGACTAGCTCCTTGACTATTGCTATGACACACCCCGCCGATCGTGGGATCCGGATGCCATGATCGAGCAACAACCATGAGACATGTCAGGTTGATGGAGTTGCAGCGTGAGCTGGGTTATCGGTTTCGAAATACTCGCAATCTCACTGATGCCCTCCGGGCACTCGGAGAGCGAGCGGATGACCCTCGGTTCTCATACAGTGACAGCGCGGTACTGCTAAATGTCGCATCCTCCGTGCTGACGATGATGCGCACAGCCGCAGCCCGACCTGGCACAAGCAGCCACAGCTGGAGCCAAAGCCACTCATACGCCGGTCCACCTACTCCATCCCCCATCGCAATTCTGAGAAGTCCCGACTTTGAGCTGAATCAGAGCATATCTGAGGCTATCTTGTCAGCCTCCGTTTTCAGGAGGCCCATAGCGCGGCGCAGTGTCGATCCGATGCAGATCAAGCTCACTGCAGGCACCATCATCGGAGCAGCCTTTATCGACAGCGACGGGAGTCTCCAGTCTATGTACAACATCGTCCATGCTCTCGGGTTGGAAAAGTCTCTCGAGCCCAGCCCGGAGCCTATGCCTGTGGACAGGCAAGATCATGATGAAGCAAGTCCAAGCTCCAGCGTGACAGAACCTGATGGACTTCGGGCGCCTGTGGCGGAAGGTCAAGAGAGCGCTGGGCAGGATGTTGACTTGACGTCTGATCCCGTGCCTACCACCCCTGCTCTCAGGGTCCCCGATCATGAATTGAACACCCACGAATCTACGTCCATCGACACGACCACTCAGCAATCTATCATGGCGCATGAGGACTTGCCTTCTGCCATTTCATACTATGACTGGGACCAGGAGGCCTGGGAAACCAGCGGAGGCTGTGCCATCAGGCTTTCACTTGGTGCCAAACATGGTTATGTCACAATAACAGGGAGCCCCAAGCGTCCTGGAACGATACAAAATGCCGACTTGATATCCACGTCTCAGCTCCCCACCTTGATCCACGAGTTGGACTGGCAGGCGGATTTCCCAACCACCTCCAGCCTTCCAGATGAATCGTTGCCACCGCCAGAGCGGAGATACATCCTACCACGAATCCTCGACTGGGAGGCTGATCCACGGTGGCTCCCTCCTGGTTTCCTACGAAGTGTCGATGTAGCCAAAGCCCGGGCCTTGCTTCTGGAACAGAAAGTCGCTGCACTTTCCCAAGAGAAACAGGCCCCCAAGGGCGAAGGCTACATCGGGACGCTGACATCGCAACTCTTACACCAAGTCGCGTGGTACTTGGCATACGCGAATCCACAGCTGCATCCGTGCCTCCAAAGACATATGAGGAAAGAACACCGGCATCACATTCCGTTGTACCCTCCACTAATTAATGAGTACCTATTCAACACCGTTGCCGAACCCCACAACATGCGTCCACTTTCGCATGTCGAATTGGCCCAGATAGATGAGTTGGCTCGGTATTTGGTACGATTTGCACATTCCAAGGAGCCCGTCTTACCGGAGCTCGCGAAAAGTCTTGTACGAAACCCTGGGGAGAAGCCACGTATGGGTGTCTCTGCGGGGGAGCTGGAGTTGGTAGCGCAGCTTGCTGAGGACTGGAAGGAGATGGAGACACCGAGGGCTCCACCCCTGAGAACATATGAGCCACGAGAGTGGGTGAAGGTGTCAGAGATTCCGGTGCATGCTGCGACAGACCAGATATCAGCGAACTGGGATCCCACGGATGTCGAGACGAGACAGGACGTGATCAGTGAAGCGGCCGAAGTGGCCACTGATGCTCCTCCCGAGAATTCTCCAGATGTCATTCCAGAGGCCACCTCACCGCAACCCTGGCCCCTTAAACCTTGTTCTAAGATTCGCCGTGTCCAGCTCTCCGAAAACAACTCAGAGCAGAAAGATGACCTCACCACGCCGGAGCTGGACGACACTACCAGGCCGCAACCTAAGGCCAAACAACTTTCAAGCACTTTCTTCACGCCCCGTGGGTTCTCCAAGACAGGAAAGATGTTGAACACGCCGAAAGGGAAAATGGCCAAGCCAGTGAACCAGCAACCGAAACCCCGCAAGCCAGTCTCTCGATACCTATTCTTCAAGCCGGGCGCAAGTCACAAACCAGGGAAAAATCCTGAAGCGCAAGCGCCGCAGGAAGAGCGCGAGCCCCGGGCGAAACCCCTACGACCGCAGCATACCTTTTTTCGTGGCAACGGTTCGCCCAGCAAGAGCAAAGGCCCTTGGGACAGAGCGTCGTGAGATGATGATTCGATTGGGCCGGCAAGGTTGCCGTATGTTTGGTGGTGCTGAATCGGCCTTCACTACTGCTGAAGAGTGCTGAATGTCGTGCACCAATACCTGCCGGGGGTTATCTAATCAAGCCCGCAGACTGGGCAAATGTGAGCGCCAGTGGCACAAGTGGTTGATCATCATCTATCTTTGCCAGAAATGAGGTCATGTGTGGATGGGCATAGCAGGTACGAGTGGCTGTGCTGTGTAGCGGCCAGCTCAGTGGCTGGGTTGCTCTCGCTCCTCCGCGTTTCAATATATCCAAGGCCACATGCACATGTCTTTTGTGCCGGCAGTGGTAGATGCCTTGCCGCGACCGGGATGGAAAAGTCACAGACAGTTGTCGTCACGTGATCACGTTTCTGGAAACCGTGCCGCGCCGCAGAAGACTGACTGAACTGGGCCTTAGGAAGGGCCACAAGAGGATCGACTGGAAAGTTCGGACATCTTTATTGACACCTGCTGTTGAAAGACCAACTTATAGTGTTGTAGATCGTGATAGAACCTTCACTAAGATTTGTAAACATAACGGAATACATAAAGGTGTATGTAGCGAATAGCTGTTCACACCCGTACCCATCTGTTTTCTGGTGCATCAAATATTAGAGATATAGGCTACAATTCTCATCAAGACAGTACAGTGGTTCTCGTAAATGGCTGCGAGTAGAGGGAGGGCGATGTCTGATCGTGTGTCACGTGGTCTGGCAGGCCATCTGCATGGTTTCATCAGCAACAAAACATCAGTACCCATTCTCCTCGTCACCTTCTTAGTGCCTCGAAGCTATTTTCTTCATATCTGCCTAATAAGCATAGTTGAATGCATCTATCATAAGTGGAGTTCGTGCTGTGCACTCTTTATGTATTCAGCCATCAACTCTTGTTAAATGCTCTAATATGCAGCCAATGGCGACAATCCTCACCTCAGCGATAAAAGAGTGTATGCATTGAGCGCGAGCGATATGCCCAGCATACCGATGAGGCACGTCAGTACCCACAGCCTGAGGCCTACCACATCCCGAGCCACAACCCCGTCCGCAAGCTTGCTTGGCTCCCGAGTAGCATCAACCTTAGCATCTCTCATCTCTACCGACTTCGTGTCAGGGACCGGAATCATAGACACCAACTCCTTCATATATGCCGCTGCTGCGGCAGCTGCATAAGGCTGCCACCGCTTGTTCTTGTGCGAGTCCGCATAGTCACACACACCGTGGATCACAAGACAGGAGACTGTGCCCGCCACCCCGGCAGCCTCGATATTGACGCCCAGTATTCCCAGCTTATCCCGCAACTGATCCCTCAATTGACCATTCTCGACCGCAACATCCGCCGAGCCGATCGTCCCGTAGTGCACCACTGGGCCGGAATCCTCCCGGCTTCTTTGTAATACGATTCCCGCTGGATCACAATCTCCACAGCCGCTTCCAGAAGCATGATTCACCTCGGCCCTAAAAAGCTGGTCATCGTCCGCTCCCGGATAGAGGTACTTCGCACGATGTTCCTCAGGAAGCCTGTGCAGCATTCCCTCGAGGTACCACGACATCTTGCTATCCACGCGCCGATGCCGTGCCTCCAGTCTTGCCACGGTGGCCAGCAGCCCGTTCGGGGGAAGATGCAACGCCCCCGTCCGCTCAAAGCGGCCCCCGGAGAGGACCTTGCCTCGGTCGAACTGGACCACTCCTGGAAACACCCCTGTGGGTTTGCTGACCACCACGTCGCCCAGTCGGATGTCCACGTGCCTGTCCAGATCGGGGATTCCGCTTCCGATCCCTATCAGCATGATCGATTGAAGACGTGGGAAGTCGTTGAGGAGTTGCACGGCGCCTGACGCTGCGCTATTGTTTCCCGCTTGCGAGAGGTGGGCGACGACCACTTTGTGCTGGCCCATGCGGCCCATTGCGTAGTTGCCAAGGTTATGTGGCATAGGTAGATTGTAGTGAAAATCGTCGAGCATGGCTTCGATAAGTGCTTGCTCGACGCCCATCGGGCAGATGCAGGCGATTTTGTAGTCTTCATGGCGGAGGGAGGTGTGTTCAGAACCCATGGTCATCCCCGGGTTGCTGCTGGATACGCCCTTCTTTCCGAGAACAGGATTGGTACCTTTATATGATATGAGTTTCCGGGACAGCAAGGCTGGTGAGCTCTATGTTTCTACACGGCGTCTAACAGTCTGACGTGGCGGACTCGGCGCTTAGCCTTCACGCCGGGCGCTTATGAAACTATCGGGCCTGAAGTTGTGGTTGATGAACTACATTTTAGAGCGCTGGGCTGTGTTTCACAGACCACAAGAGGGCAGCGGAAGAGGGTTCTTTGTCGAGTGTTTGGGTAGATAATGGTGGTAAGTCCCCTCTCCGGAGTAACCCTGGCCAATTGCGCACCATCGCATCCCACCTGGTATTACCATCCAATCATGACTGTTCATGACCAGGCACTTGACTGCTGCCTGGAAGATTGACACTTACCAAAGAAATTGTAGTTCAGGGAAATACCCCGAGTAGCCAGTCAGTGTAGGTATTACGAGGTGCATACGCACGTGGACAAGCATGCACCCGGCATAAATCAACCAGCGTGGCTACACCCAATCAATGCGGGCAAACGTCTAAGCTTTCGGCAGCTGAACTCAATCCAATCCATACCAAGAGAAACCGAGTCCTTGATATGCTCGGATGAACCGAGTGCGGAGAAATTGGACTGCGCTTATCTCATCGTTGTACGTCCGGAATGGACGATCCCGCTCGAACTGAAGGAGCGGTGGCGTTGGTTGCTCGCTTTCCGGTATATCGAGCCCCGAGGGGATGTCGACTACAGCTGAATGATTCAATTCATTCTGTTGCAGGGATACCTACCTTGACTTGATAACGTTTTGTTAGTTGCACTGCACCCAGCGTTCTGGCACTGGGTGTATCATATGCAATATACCTTGTTTGTGCTCGTCTGAGGAAAAGTCCTCGGTGATTGGATTAGACCGAGAGGCAGGTATTATGGAGTACCCACATGGACGACCGTGCGGAGAAGAGCTCGCTTAGGTGGAGCGGCGATTCAGGACAGCTGCTGATGAGAATGCCTACCTAGACTTATCGACAAGGGGTTGGCAAATCGCAACGTGCAGAGTCATGGAGTTCCACTGAGAAGGATTAAGGCTCAGGAATCTCTAGCACAACACTCCTTAAGCACTTGCTTTTATATGTAAATCCCACTCGGAATCAACATCATGACTCTGCCGCCGTGAGGCCAGCCGCAGCCCCGGGTTTGCCGACCAGGATTACGTGTCTGCATGGCCATCCCCACATGGTCCGGGCGTCGGCAATTCCGGTACCCCGTGGGGTATCGAACCCTGCCTTATCCCCTGCTGTTGCCCTGCTGCTGCTATAATGCGAACTATTCCTTGCCCAACGTTCTTGATCTGTACCTTTCCCATCAGCCCACACTTGCATTGTCTTCTCTGCGGGTCTCGTCTGATACATCCATCACACAATGACAGCCGACCAGAAGGCCGAAACGAACCACCTCGAGAATGTCAATTCGAACGAAGCCGAAGCCCAACACCAAGACATCACCCACAATGACAGTCTGCCTTCCACATGGACGGCACTACGCCAGAACCCGTTGATTATCTTGTTCTGTTTGTATGCCAATGTGGGGGCCCTGATGTATGGGTTCGACAATCTGATTTTGTCGTTGTCGTTGTCCATGCCGGCCTTTGAGTGAGTCACATTGCACCTTGATGTGAAGTGTGGAGTTGACAACCAGATAGACAAAAATTCGGATCTTTGGTCAATGGCACATACACCATCCCCGCCTACTGGCAATCTCTGTGGAATGCTCTCTCGCAGGTCGCCACCATGATCGGCTCCACCGTCGGGGGATTCATCTCCGACCGGCTGGGTCGGCGTGTTGCATTCCTGGTCGCTGCCTGTTTGTCGTCTGCGGGATTCGCCGTGGTGTACACCGCCAACACGCCGGGGGTCTTTCTCGCGGGCAAGATCATCAACGGTCTGGCTCTGGGGATTGCGTTGACTACGGGACAAACCTACGTCTCTGAGATCACCCCCCTTCCCCTCCGTGGTATCGCTCTGTCGGCATATACCTTCTGCATGGTAACTCACCTGACTCTGCCGAGAAATCCAGTTACTAACTCATACAGAACCTGGGCTACATGATCGCCGCATCCGTGGCCCTGCCCCGATTGACCATGACCACCGACGCAGCCTACAAGGTCCGTCCCTTTCCCCCCTCCCCCGAAACACCCCCACTAACTCAGCAACAAACAGGTCCTCTTCGCCTGCGGCTGGGTCTGGCCAGGCCTCCTCTTCCTCTTCTTAATCCTCATCCCCGAATCGCCCTACTTCCTCGTGGCGAACAACAAACCCTCGCACGCCACCCGCGCCCTAACCCGCCTCGGGACCACCCCCGCCCTCATCCCCGGGATCCTGGACGAAATCATCCGCACGACGGAGGAGGAGCGCCTCCGCGCCGCGCAGGCCGAGGGCGCCAGCTTTATGGAGTGCTTCCGCGGCACGCACTGGCGCCGCACGCGGATCATCCTGTACTGCAATGCGCTGCCGCAGGTGATCGGGTCGAGCTTCATGACCAACGGGCCGTACTTCCTGGTGCAGGCGGGCATGTCGGCGGGCAAGATCGGGATGATGACGGAGATCGGGATCGCGTTTGGCATTGCTAGCTCGCTGGTGACCGGGTGGGCGATGACGGTGTTCGGGCGGCGGACGCTGGTGCTGTTCGGGATGGGGCTGTCGACGGGCTTGTTTACGGTGATGGGCGTGGCGGGGTGTTTTCCGCAGAGTAGTGCGGCGTTGTGGTATGTTCTCCTTCCTGGTGATCCTCTGATCGAATAGATGGTGGCTGACATGTGGTGGTGGACGACAGGGTGGTGGGCATCTTCCTGCAGCTGTCGTGGTGGGTGTACGGGCCCGGCATCGGCCCCGCCATGGCCATCGCCGGCGAGGTCTCGGCCGTGCGCCTGCGCGCCAAGTCGCTGGCGGTCGGCTTCACCTTCAACTATTTCTTTTCGACGGTGTGGAACGTCGTCATGCCGTATCTGTATAATTCGGATGAGGCGGATCTGGGGGGGTTGATCGGGTGGATCTTTGCGGGGATGGGGGCGGTCATGTTTGTGGTGCTGTTCTTGGAGTTGCCCGAGACCAAGGGACGGTCATTTGAGGAGTTGGATGAGTTGTTTAGGGAGAGAGTTGCGGCCAGAAAGTTTGCGGGGTTTCAGTGCGAGAGGACGGTGGGGTTGGCGGTGCGGAAGGGGGTGGATGAGTAGACTCAGTAGGTAGATTTGTTGTTTTGTGGATTGTGGATTGTGGATTGTGGATGGGTTGTATATAGGTTTGACAGTCGGGGTGGATCTGCCTGACCTCAGCTGGATATACTGCTAGAGAGCATGCATTGCATAAAGCATTAGCTGAGTCAGCTGCATAACGTCCGCTGTCACCTTCCCTTTAAGCTTCCATCCCAATCATCATACGTACCATCCACCATCCACCATCCACCATCTCATCCCCTCCCCTCCCCTCTCCATGTCTCTTGCTCTCCTCCCCCCTGAGCTTCTCCTCCTCATTGTCCCCAAGCTCAGGCAACGCGACATCAACGCCCTAGTCCGCACCTGTCGCAAATTCCACGCCATCCTAAATCCGCATCTCTACCGCCAGCTCCTCCTCCCCGGCACCAAGAGCAATCGCCGCGCACACGCCAAGCAAGCCGTACGCCCACCCGACCCCCATGCAATCAGAGCCTGGCTCCGCAAATCAAACCTTAAGCGAGCTGCTGAGAAGGGCCACGGTCACATCGCCCTCATTTACGCCGCGCAAACCAACCAGTCCAAGCCCATTGACAATGTCGTCGCCGCTGCCAAGCGTTTCAACCTCGCCCTTGATCCCAACCGAACGGATCCACAATTTAACCTCACGGCGCTAGATTGGGCTGCCGTTTTTGGCCATGTGCACATCGCGGAGACTCTATTGGAGCTCAACGCAAGTGGCCGTTGCGGGGATATATCCTCGAGTCTGGCACATGCCGTGAAAAATGGCCATGACGCAATGGTCGAGTTGCTACTCCGCCATGGGGCGCCTCCGGGCTCAAGAGATAAACTGAAAGGCACGAAGACCCCGTTGATGCACGCCGGACAGCCTTCTTGTCGCTGGCAGGCGGTTCCGCTCAAGCTGAACGGGAAATTAGATGCGAGCCAATGGCCACGCCAAAACAGTCAGCCCGATCAGGCGGATCCGCCTCAGCCCCAGGGGTCGGATAAAAAGCTCCGCCGGCGCAAAAAGATGAAGGGCAAGCGTCTCATCGCGGTTCAATTCGGCGGCCCTAAAGGATCGCGGGACCCCACCGACGGCCCGGATGTACCGCCCGGCCTGCCATGGTGCGCGGGAACGGCGTATGAAACGATTCTCGACCTTCTGCTTCAATATGGGGCTGATCTCGAGGAGCAAGGCGCACTGGGCAGGACGGCGCTAGCGCAAGCGGCCGAGCAGGGATTTACTCCCATTGTGAAGGCGCTCCTGGATCGAGGAGCATCCCCACATCCGGTCTACGACGTCCGTGATCCGCAGCGGCCGCGCAACCTTCGACGGTGGTCGCTCTGCTGTGCTGTGCAAGGTGGACATCTGGAGATCGTCCAGCTGCTGCTGGATCGGGGAGCGGACCGGGAGCTCGGCGATCTTGATTGCATCGTTTCCAGGCTTTCCCCGCTGGCATGCGCTGCGTATTATGGGAGGGAAGCCATTCTAAGGGCGCTGCTCGCCGCGCTCGATAAGAAGTCGGAGCTGCCACGCCCAACAGGGGATTGGCCGCCCCTGCGAGGGGCAGCAATGGGCGGCAAAGCCTCCGTGATCAAGCTTCTTTTAGATGCGGAGGCGAGGTATTGGCCCAACGCCCGCCCATCGCATGCGACTGCCCTCTGGAATGCGGCTCTGCATGGGAGAGAGGAAGTGGTTGCCCTCTTACTCGACGCGGGCGTGAATTTCACAGAGGTACACAGGCGAGCACCTGACGACCCGCAAGGCACGCTCTCGTGTCTTCATGCGGCGGTTATCTCGAAGCATCACGGGACCGTCGCGCGCATGCTGGCTTGGCCGGGGCTGGAGGTCAATCAGCACAATAATAATGGGGTGACGGCCTTGACGGTAGCGGCGCGGCAGAAGGACGAGGCACTGGTCCAGCTGATGCTGGAGCACGGGGCCGATCCTGCGTTTCAGCATGTCTCAGGACCCGTTCCAGCCCGCGCGAATCGACCGACTTTTACGACGGAGTTTGGGTCGTGCTTTCCTGCTCCTTATGCCGCCTCTCTGCGGCCTCTTAACCACCAGCCTTGAGTTGCCTTCATGAGGTGATTAGACCAATGCATTGTCTTGGTGATGATGCAGGTTGATAGAGCCAGGAAGGGCTAGACTATTGGTTCGGTGTGGGTAGTTTATGTCTGGTATGCTTGTCCTTGACCTACAGGGCCGAGGATGAACATTTCCGGGTTTTATGAATAGATGTAGAGTGTATATAAGGAGCATGTTAATGCTAGAGTCTTCCGCATACAGCGCTGTCACTGGCTGGACAGTCCATGCTGTCATGTACCTCGATCGTCAAAAATGTGGTCTCACTGTGTCGGTAAGGTTGTAAGTTCATTGGACGAAACTCGCCGAACACGGCCTCGCTAACCCTACGCAGCGTCCTATCACGTGACATCTTTCAATCAGGACCGGACGTCACACGATCAAACATGACTCTACTGCTGTAGTTAGAACTCAGATATGTCCACATATAAGACAGAGCTAGTCTAGTAAATAGCGAGTCTAAGAAATCGGACTCAAATACTGCTGGGGAACCCCCAACTTATACCGGGTGTAGATGCTGCCTCGGCGACCGACAGCATCGGCGACAAACGGACGGCCCGGGGGCCACGGGGTCTAACCGTTCCGGGCTGTTTACTCCAAGTGCCAGGTGCCCGTGCAGGTGCTCTGACGTCGACGAAACACAAACCCCGCAGGCGGAAAAGTGGCCGTTCTTACTTAACCACTGACCTTACCGTCCCTCCTAGTTCATGTAACCTCACTCACTCACTGTCTCTGTTCTATTAATTACTTCCGTGCTGCCATCGCTCTCACTACCGTCACTCCAATTAATTCCTAATTTCTAAGGAGCAGATACACCGACACAATGACCACCCCAGCCGTCCCCAGCCGCACCCTGCAAGCCTCTGCGCTGTCTTTTATTGCGCTGTCGATCGGTCATACGGTGCGCTTACCTCCTTCTTTACCTAGGCTGTGGTCTAGAGCCAATTGCTCTGCTCTGCTCTGCTCTACTATCCTCAGCTCTGCACTGCACAGCCATGCTCCGCTATCCCTGCAATACTAACAATATTCCCGATAAAGCTAGGAGGCAAACAATGGACCGCCGACCCGGCCTACACGATCATCAGCAACACCAAGCCCTGGGCGCTAGGCATCGTGGGCTGGTATCAGGTACGTGGCCTGACCTACCCATCCCCGTCGTCTACATCTACAAACCCATCAGTCCACCCCTCACCCTAACGTTACCCAACCCATATCAACGTGTGCTAATGAACGGAATGGAATGTAATAGGGAAGCGCCTTCTTCTTCACGACCGGTTCGTTACCTTCCTTCCTTCCTTTTCTTCCCCGGGAAGACACACCTCATCTCAACCCATACCCCTACGCGACAAACGCCCAACACGAGATAATCCCCGTCCATATTGACGTGTGATGTGATGTGTGCCGTGCCATGCTGATATGTGATATGCGATATGTGATGTGTAACAGGCTTACTCCACTACCAATGGTCCCGCAACCCGCTCGCCCTCCGCGACCCGACTAACAAGGCCATCGCCGTCATCACTAACGCCATGCTGTGGGCTAGCTCGGCGTGGTATCTGCGCCATGGCATCCGGGAGAATGCGGTTGTTGTGGGGCTGGGGGCTGTGTTGCAGGGGGTTGCGGTTTTGAGGAGTTGGTTCTGAAGGTAGGGTTTTGCTGGGTGTTTGTGGGGTGTTTGTTGGGAGGTGGATTGGGTTTTGCACTGGGGCTGGGGTTAGGGTTGGTGCAGTGGTGGATGCTATGTCCGGGGTTTAGGTTTTGGATCGATTGTCGGGGGTCTTGTATGATGCTGTGGGTTAAATCTAGGAGGCTGGAAGGTCAATTGAAGAACTTCGTCAGTGCGACTTGATTTGATTAGCTGTGTACTTAGTCTGGGAGGGGAGCACGGTGCTGGGTGGAGAATGCCGGTGGGTTCAGTACGGGCTTGCTATTCAGATCTAGAGACGAAGGCTGAGTCGAATGGCTACATATGCTGCATGCTGCCCTATTCTCCCGAACCAAACACCCCCGCATACCACCATCTATCAGTCCTAAACCACGTCTACAACCCCCACCGTCGCCGCAACTCGGTTTTCCACACCTCCCCCTCCACCCACTCCCCCCGCACCCACACCATCCCGCGCTGCTCCTCCCCCCGTCGCCGCACCGCCTCCGGCCGCCGCGCCACAAACGCCCACGCATGCTGCGCACTGCACACCCTCACGGCCAGCGTCCCCGCCTCGAGCTGCTGCATACACCCCGGGCAGAACAGCACGTCGTGACAGTACCGGCAGATATAGTTGCCGTCGATCTCCACGGAGAGGCTGCAGCCGTTGCACGTGAAGAAGGTGGGTTTTTTCGAGTCGTCGTCAGCAGCTTCACCATCAGCTTCGTCCTCCGCCTCCCCCATCAACTCATACATCAAATGATCCTGATACCACATCGCCAGCGCCTCCTCGTCCTCCCCCAGCGCCGCGAACACGCTGCCCAACCGCGTATACCCCACCATCGCCATCCCCGGACTCTCGTCCTCCACCAGCCGCAGCGCCGCCCGCACCTGCGCCTGATAGCACGCCATCGCATCGGCCTCCCGCCCAGACAGCCGATAATAGCTGCCCAGGATCAACCCCACCGGGGACGTGGTCACGAAGACCTTGTTCGTGCGCGGCCCACCCACATTCAAGACATCCAGCATATCCGCATGCGAGGCAGCCGCATTCGACCCAACCGCCTGCCCCCGCGCCAACACCTCCAGCAACACCCCGTACCGCCTCCCCGCCTCCGAGTCGAACCCCACCTCCATCGCTTTGGTCAGGTAGTGCGTCGCCAGCGACCCCGCCGCCATCTCCAGCACCGACACCATCTCCCCCTCCGACCGGCTGCCGCGGTACGTGTGGATCAGCCGCTCCCACATCGCCGCCGCGCGATCCCCGTCGTGCCCGTGCGTCTGCCACAGCATCCCCAGGCAGAACTCCAGGTTCGCTTTCGCCACCGCCTTGCGCTCCCTGTGGGCGGTCGCCACTGCTGTCGTGTACGCGTCGATCAGGAAGGGGATTTGCTGCGTCGCGGCCGCCGCGGCCGTGACCCGGTCGATGAAGTCGTCGTACCAGTCGGGATTGGTGAGGATGCTTTGCGTGAGAATTGTGGTGGGGGTGGAGGTGGCGGACGGGGAGGTGGCGTCTCGGTTCTGGGCAGGGGCAGGCCGGTCGAGGCTTTTGAGCAGGGAGATGATCTCCTCGTGGCGGCTCTGCGCGCTAAGCTGTTCCAGCATCGCGCAGAGACACGTGTTACAGAACCCGGCCGTCTCCAGACCAGCCCGGTACATGGCCACGGCGGACTCGACGTCGTCGAGCGCGGTGTAGCTCTGGCCGAGCCGCTCGTACGACGCGTGGGCTTGCAGGTCGAGTGTGTCCGGTTCGCGTTGCGGTTGCAGCTCCGCCACGCACACGCGGTCCTGCTCGATCGCTTGCGCGAATTCCCCCCGTTCGAGGTACGCTTTCGCCATCCCGGCTCGCGCGAGTAGGGTTTGTGGGTTTGGGGATGGGTCGAGGTCCACGGCGCGCTGGAAGTGGGGGATGGATTCGTCGAGGAACCCGAGATCGCGCAGCGCGATCCCCAGTCGGCGGTGCCAGAGCTGGTTCTGGGTGAATCCGCACCACTCCGCGGCGGAGAGAACGGCCTCGACTGAGATGGCTGGTGAGGGCGGTGTGCCCTGGCTGAGCCGGATGTATTCGATGATATACCGGCAGCAGGGCCCCGCCAGCCAGAACCCCTTCTGTAACCATTGCTCCGCGATGAACTTCGCGGTCAGAAGGTAGATCCCCACGTCGCCCGAGGCGGTGGATTCCTCGAACCAGGCTTTTTCGGTCCGAGGCAGCGAGGCTTGGACGCCCGGGTCTTTGAGCCACTCCATGAAGAGTGCTAGGTGCTCGCCTGGGTACGACAGGTCGCTTCTGTGTTTGACGTATGCTTCGAGAATTGGGGGGACGGACAAAAGGCGCGCGATGCTCAGACCGATCGCACCCTTATCTTCTGCGCTGCATTTGTCGATTTCAATGTCCTGCAAGGCGGACACGATCGAGCCGGCCGCGTACACCCGGAGCACCTGCGCGATCTCTTGCTTGGGAGAGCCCTCTTCGCAGGCGACGATCTCGAAGTACCGTTTGAACACCAGTACTTTCGCCGCATGGTAAGAAATCCCCACGAGGGGCCCGTCTTCAGCCGAAACAGGCCCCTCGGCCTCGTTGCGGAAGAAATCTCCCAGCGAGGCGTGGTTGAAGGTCACCTCCGTGGTCGCCGGGTCCGAGTCAAAGTCCGACGGGTTGTCTGTATCGTCGAAGCCATCATCCACCAGCGTGTCGACCTCCCACTCGGCTCGTCCGATGTTCGCCCGCTGTAAATCAGCCGTGCTAAGTCCATCTTCTCGGATCAAGAGAAACAAGGAGGCGTACTCCCGTCGGAGATAGCCCTCCAGCCAGATCCACCCCTCGCCCTCGGGCGACCGCCACTGGATGATGCTTTCCAGCTGTTGCAGCTTCAGCGGCCAATGGGCGCACACGACCCAGGCCAACATCTCGTTCAGGTCTTCGGCGTATTGCGGTGCATCCCGTAGGCTCTCGGAGTAGCTCTTCAGCACGTGACGGATCATCTCGGACAATCCGCGCGGCGCCTCTTCCAGCGCCTTGCGCATTCGTGCCTCGTCGCGTTTTTTGAGCAGCTCTTTGAGCATGAAGTCGACCCAGAGGAACTATACCAGATTAGCCTAGCATCAAGCATTTGGGTCTGCACCTACCATGCCCTGGGCGCCGCTGGACACCCGACGCACGATCTCGGCCTGCAGCGCCTTGGACGCGCGTCGCAGGTAGACCGACTTGGCGATGCTGCTCTGGATGTATCGAACGATGTCGTCCGAGTTGTTCACGTCCGAGATGTAGATGGTCGACACGGCCAGCTGTTCCATCAGCTCGTCCATCTCCTGGGCAATGTGCGGCCTCCCCAGTAGAAGCAGCTGCAACCGTCCCCCCGGCTGGATATCGCCCGCCAGCTGGAACAGTTCCTGTCGCTCCTCCGCGAACGCCTCGTCCAGCGCGTCCAGCACGATGTACGCCTGGCTGTCGCCGGTCTCGTGCGCGATGAAGTACTCCACAAACAGCTGCTGCCACAAACTCGACAGGCTTCGAATCTCCTCCGGCGAGTCCACCCGACCCGCGATGAAATTCGCATAGGCGGGGTCATTCTGGGCGATCTTGAAGGCGATGTCCCGCAGAGCCTGGTGACACGAGCGCGTTTTCAAATTGTCGTCCTTGAAGAAGTAATACGCAACCGAGACATGCGAGGGATGCTGGACGTTCTGCGGATACAGCTCGCGCAGATGGGCGATGATGTTGGCCGCCAGGTACGACTTGCCTGCGCCCGGGGTCCCCGTCACCCACAGGAGGGGCTTGTCGCGGCGCAGCCACTCGCGGAACTCGGGCTCCTCGCGCACCCAGTCGCCCGTCTGCGGGACCCGCGCCCGCGCGATCAGGCTGTACCGGTCGTCGGCGCTGGTGCCGGGCTGCAGCACGCGCTTAACCTTGTCCCGGGGGCCCTTTTCTTGAGCTGCGTCGGCGTCGGCGGCCGCGTGCGCGTGCGCCTGCACCCGGTTGAGGGCGTCGATGCGCCGCGTGAGCTCGAGCACGTTGAGGTCGACGCGGTCGATGACGCCCTTCGCCCCCTTGACCGCGGTCAGCGTCTCCGCGCCCACCAGGTTCCGCTCGCTGTCGACCAGCTGCGCCAGCTTGGCGATCGCCGCCTTTCCGTCGTCGTTGCCCAGCAGCACGTTCTTGCCGAAACTCCGCAGTCGCCCCAGGCTGATCTGGTGTCGCGAGATCGCGAACACTTCTAACAGCGTGGTCAGGATGTGGGTGATTTTCTCCTGCAGCGGCCCCGAGATCTGCTGCTGCGCGTAGACCGCCAGGCGGGTGGTGAAGTCCTGCACAAGATATAGTTAGTCAGTATCCCCATAGCCAGAGGCGCGCGCACCAACGCAAAGCAGAGCAAAGCATTGAAGACTCACCTGCAAGGTCATCATCAGCTCCACGATCGCGTCATATTTGGCCGACACCCCCTTCGCGGCGTCGATCAGGTACCGCACGGCGCCGAAGACCAACGAGCTGGGCGCGAAGAACAACCCGGCTGCGGTGGCCGCCAGATCGCCGACCAGCTCGATGGGCCGCAGCGCCTGGCTCAGGGCCGTGCACAGCCCCGCGCGCTTGAGTCGGAAATCCTGGAAGGCCTGGTTCTCAGTCTCGATGGCGCCCCACAGCCCGTCGACGGTGGTCACGTCCCGCCAGGCGTGGATGTCCAGCGGGCGGTGCGTGATCTTCTCGTAACGCGCGAGGGCGGTGGCCCAGAGCTGGGGGATCTGGGCTGTTGCCATTGTTTGGGTGGTCATGGGTGGAGGAGATAAAATGTTGCATTTTCGGTGAAGGTGAAGGATACGAGGTGGAGGTATAGAAGATAAAATATACGGAGTAGAAAGAAAGAAAATCAGGGACTGCGGGGTCGATCGTGGGATCGGTTAGTGACAGCCAGGCAGACTAACCCGGTTGGTCCAGCCTCCTCATTTCCATTTCGGGCTGCTGCAGGTGGAGTGACCTGCGGCATTACTGCAGTTAGTACATCCTGCCTTCTCTGCGCCATTGTATCTGTCTCTGGGCTGTCTCTGGGCTGTATCCGGGCATCGTGTCGCGCCAGGCCAAGTGAAAGAGAAGTTCGTTCCATTCGCCTAGCATTCGATATATAGACGTCTATAATGCGGTATACCCCAATCCCGTCGTCGCCAGTACCTTGAAGGCAGGAAGCCTACTCCTGCCCCCAATCCAACGCCATGCGATCGCTACTGATGCGATACTCGCGCAACATGCGCAGCACGTCCTCCGGCCGGTCCGCCTCGGCGAGAATGGTGGCATTCTCGCGACTGACGAACCCCTGCTGCACGGCGGACTGCACCCACTGCAGCACGCCGTCCCAGTACCCATTGATATTCAACAGCACCACCCCGGCCTTATGGATCCCCAGCTGATTCCACGTCGTCACCTCCATCAGCTCCTCCATCGTCCCGAACCCGCCCGCCAGCGCCACGAACCCGGACCCCGGGCCCCCCTCCAGCACCTTCTGCGCCATCAGCCGCTTGCGCGTGTGCATGTCCGGCACCACCGTCACCTGCCCGTACTCCGTTTCCTCGAGGGTGTCTCCGCCCAGCCGTTCGGGGGCTTTGCCTGCGCCTGGTGCTCCTGCTCCAGCCGCTCCATTCCCAGCATCATTGGCAGATCCGGTAGATGGAGTCTTATATCCCTCCTCGACCTCGACGAGCGCCCGCGGAATGATCCCGTGCACGGCCTTCGGGCCCGAGAGCGCCACCAGGGTCCGGGACAGTTCGCCCATGATCCCCACCGTGCCGCCGCCGTAGACGAGCTGGACGTTGTGTTCGTGGAATTGGCGGGCCAGGGCGCGGGCGGCGTCGAGGTGCGCGGGGGAGGTGCCGGAGCGGGAGCCGCAGCTTTTTTGGGAGGGTTAGTGGGTTGTTGTTGTGGATTGGGGGGTTGGATAGGTGGTGATTGTGGTGGTGGTGGATGGGGTCGGGATGGGGGCTGGTGGGCGCAGCTTACAAGACGCAGACGACTGCTTGTTTGGAGGCGCTCATTGTGATTGTGTGGTTTGTGGTTTGGCTGGTTGTGAGGGTGGTGAGGGTGGGGAGCCGGGGTGAGGTGATAGTTGAAGTGTTGTCGTTTGGTTTCATGGGGGAGTTGAGGTAAATGTATGTGGATGTGCGGATTGCTGCTGCCCGCCAGCTCAGCTCAGGTCAGCGATGACTCGACTCGATCCCGTGGCGGTTGCGGCGCTGCGTTGGCTTGGCGGGGTAATTGCTGCCTGTCTGCCTGCCTGCCTGGCTTTCCCCTACTGCCCCCGGAGTATGCCTGAGGCTACCACGGCTGCAGGTGGGGTCGGGGTCCGGGGGCTAGCCTAAGGCTATCGCCATGCTATGATGCAGGGATGCTCTCATGGGATGCTCTCATGGTGATCTAGATTCCGCACGCGGGGTGTATGTAGTGCTTGTTTTGTCTTGCATGTTCCAGGATTGGTTAGAGTGCGCTAGCCAGTAGTTCGAGGCTCGCTGGTTTTGCTGTGGGGTTGACGGTGCTTGTTGGAGTGGCGATGGTGCGATTTATTGGATGATTGGATCTATTAAAGGTGCTGGTTGAGGGTTTAAAGAGTGTGGTTTAGTGTATAGCAGTTAGATTGGGGTCTTCTCTAATGTGTGGCTGTGATCATGTGGTAGCTGAATATATATCTGGTTCAATCTGGGTACTATTCACACAGACAATGCTTGTATTATAGAATAATGTATTAAAATGTATAAGAATCTTCAATTAAATTGATCAAGTGATGTACAAAGAATTTATACTCTCTCTTTGTTCAGCTTAGTAGAGAATGTTCAAGACTGCCCCAGGCTCACGTTGATGCCGTAGAAGACTACCTACCCATGATACTCCGGCTGTAACTGCAAGAGGCAAAGGTCCCCCCGGCCGGATAATCCACCGTCCCGAGGAGCTGCAAACAGCCCGCGTGCAGTCTACTTTGTAGGTCCTTAGTAAGCACTGCCGGGCTTCCCGACCAATGGGCAGTGGGTGGCTGAACCTTCCACCGCTGGCCTGGCCTTTGTCTCAGACTCTCAGAGGATCATCGGCAACTTGCAACTTTTTCTCCAGGTCCCGAGTCAATGTAGCGTGATGCTTATTTTGGATGCCAAGAATGTCTGAGACTCACCGGTGCTGCGCATCTCCCTGTCTATCCCTGTGTCAATCACACTTGAGATAGGCCAGATTAGATAGAGAATGACACCGCCGCAATAGTCGCCTACTAAATTGTTACGTACAAACCAACCACTCCCTGGTGGTGGAATTGCGCCCGCGAGATAAGCAGCAGTGGAACTGCAGCCCGGGTCGAAGCTTGGCGGGCGGTCTTGATGGGGCGCCCGGTGAATGCAACCTTCCCTCGACTATCAGCCGCTAACGGCCACCACATTACGTACAAAAAATAAGCATTCGCCGCTAGGCCGCCAGCCAATCCTTCCGCCGGCCCTCGCGGCGCCACCGACTCAATTTGCACCTTTGTCCACCATCCACCAGGCATGCCGTGCAAATTGCCTGTTCGAGGTGGCAGACACCCAGGGAAATGATTGGCAACCGGGTGAGACGTGCGTCCGGCGTCCACCGGAGTCCGCAGTATGCGTCTGGGCTGTGTCTGCTGTCGGTTATTAGTATGTATACAGGAAGTAAGGTGGACAATGTAAGGGTGAGGGTGAGGTGGAGGTGGACAGCATCACATGACCTGCATGTCATATTGTCAATCCTCAAATGTCCACCACCTCGGGGATCCCCGGGGAAGATATATCTCCCGACCGGCAAATTAAATAACCAACCTTAGATGCTCAGTATGGGCACCAGCCAATAGTGTACTGTACGTGGACGAGCAGTGGTGGAATCCAGATGGGGAACCACGAGGAAAGAGGAGCAACTAAGCGACCTTGCCGATGGTTCGGGCTCAACGACTGGGTTGCAAAGCGACGGAGTGTCTGGCCAGCTGGCAGTGTTTGGCCAGTGTCGTGTCAGCAGAGCCGGCCCTCCTGGCCAACTCCGGGCGAAAAATTGGAAGCTTCCACTGCAGCTCTAGCCATTTCCGCCGCGGCCGGTTCTTCCATACTGCGACGTGCAATCCATCCCCGGGCAGTGCGTCCATGGTACCCGCCTCCGCCCCCGAGGCGGTAATGGGTCTCATTGGTCCGCGCTGGCCGATGATCGGCTGGGTGACCAATTCCGTTCACAAATTCTCCTCTAAATCTGCTGCAGTTGGGGCGATTGCTGGTCTCGGCGCCGGGCCGATTGCTCGTGTGTGCCTGGCGCAAGTTGCCCATTCCCCATCTTCTTCCCCAGGTCTTCGGCATGTCAAACCATTCCCTCCTCTACCGAACTTCTTCTGGCCCCAGCGGCTTTTTTTCCGGATTCTTCTTTATAACCCTCCCTCTCCCCGGCTGATTTCCTCTCCTTCTGTCTCTATTCATCCATCCTCCATTGTCTGTCACCTTTTACCTCATCCGTCGCTGCTTCTCCATCCTTCCTCAATACTCCCTCCCACACCTCCTCAACCCACACCCCATTCATTCACCCAACACCATGGACACCGTCCACGGTTCCCCTCCACCCTACGCTACCGACCGCATCGACGACAAGAAGGATGCGTCCGTCGACCTTGAAACCAGCTACAAGCCTGGCTTCGAGGAGGCCGATGCCTTCGGTAACGAGGAGTTGGCCGAAATCAAGTACAAGACCTTGAAGTGGTGGTACGTCTCAACTGCAGCTCCTCCGCGCGCTTCACTCATGCTAACGTCATTTCTAGGCAATGCGGCTTGCGTAAGAGCTCCTGTTGATCGCACTCACTAAGTTGGCACCCACTGACCACTGTTCCAGTCATGATTTGCGAGTCGGTATCCCTGGGTGTGCTCTCTCTGCCCGCAGCCGTGGCGGCTCTGGGTCTCGTCCCGTAAGTTTGGCCCAAGGTCGTGCGCACTGGGCGTTCGCTGATCGATTGCTATCTAGTGCTATTATTCTGATTGTCGGTCTGGGTATTCTCGCCACGTACACCGGCTACAACATCGGTCTCTTCCGCGAGCGCTATCCCCACATCCAGAACCTGGCTGATGCCGGCGAAATCCTGCTGGGCCCCTTCGGTCGTGAGCTGTTCGGCTTGGGCCAGTTCCTCTTCTGCATCTTTGTCATGGGCAGTCATCTGTTGACCTTCCGTGTCATGATGAACACCATCACCGAGCATGCGACGTGCTCGATTGTCTTCAGTGTGATCGGTATGGTCATTTCCATGGCTCTGTCGGTTCCCCGTACCATGAAGGGCATGACCTGGATCTCTTTCTTCTGTGAGTCTTCCTGATCGGTTGCGCCTTGGACGATTCACTGATGGTTGTCTAGCCTTCCTGAGTATCTTCAGCGCCGTCATGATCACCATGATTGGCGTCGGTGTCCAGGACCATCCCGGCCGTATCATTGAAGCCACTGTCGACACTTCGCTCTACAAGGCCTTCAGCGCCGTCTCGAACATCGTCTTCGCCTACTGTGCCCACGTTGCCTTCTTCGGCTTGATCGCGGAGATGGAGAAGCCCAAGGACTTCAAGAAGTCACTGTTCATGCTTCAGGGCTTTGAGATCTGCTTGTACACCACCGCGGCTATTGTGGTCTACTACTACGTCGGCAAGGACGTTCAGTCGCCCGCCCTGAGCTCCGCCGGTCCCCTCTTGAAGAAGATCGCCTATGGCGTTGCCATCCCAACTGTAAGCTGCCTGTGCTTTGATCCCTACGGACATGGTCTAATTGCTGGTTAGATTGTTGGTGCTGGTGTTGTCAACGGTCACATCGGTCTGAAGTACATCTACTTCCGCACCTGCCACAAGTCCGACCTCATCCACAGCCGCGGCTGGCGCTCGGTCTCCATTTGGATCGGCCTTGGTCTTTCCTGCTGGGTCGTTGCCTGGATCATTGCCGAGGCTATTCCCGTCTTCAGCGACTTGAACGGCTTGATTGTAAGTTGCTCGCTTCCGCATCGCCCCGTACAGCACTGATTGCTTCGGCAGAGCGCCCTCTTCGCTAGTTGGTTCAGTTACGGTCTCAGCGGTGTCTACTGGCTCCACCTCAACTGGGGTCAGTGGCTCTCCAGCCCCAAGAAGATTGCCCTCACCGTCCTCAACATTGGCATCGCTCTGTTCGGTCTGATCCTGTGTGTCCTGGGTCTCTACGCCTCGGGCACCGCCATCCACGACGACGCGAACAGCAACAGCTTCACTTGCGCCAATACCGACAGCTAAACCTGCTGAGTTGGTTTACTTTCATCTTCTCACGACACGACACGACCTTCTCGTTGACGATGCGATGCATGCCCAATGACGACGGACCTCGTTGATCGCATCTCCCTCATATAGTTTAATGTTTTCCTACCCGCGACGCATCACGTCTTGAGTCTTAGCAGCTGGACTTTCTGCTAGCCGACGGGCTTCTATCTAGCGAGCGTTGTTTGCATGGCCGCGGTCGCATCATGATATCACTATTCCATGGCATAAAGGCGTTAGGAGACTTGATTTGAATGACATGTTCTGTTTTGCATTACTTGAAGCGTAGTCTAGACCTCCGCATGTGCCGCAGTTACGTAGATCACCCTTGGTTCGGACATCCTGCGACTCGCCCTCGGCCCTCGGTCTGGGGAGTTGGGCAACGACTCGAGGTTACATCGGGGGCGGGATCTGGGGAAAGTCGGCGCGTCATGGCCGCTCCATCGTATGACATTAACTTGCGGGGAAGCGAACCATGTGGAGTTTCCTGTACGTAACGCGGTCCGGGGAAATGTCGTGATCGACATTGCGCGAGTCCGGCGTCGGAGGGGTGACAGGCTCTACCAGAGGATCTTGCTGAGGAATGACTGTCAATAACTCGAACGATCAGACACAAGCTGGTTGCGTGCTGTGATGATGTTCCCGGGCTTCCCGGGTGTCCGGGCGTAACGAGCTCCGTGGTGAAGTTCTGCGGGAATTATGACGCTGGAATTTTGGGGGGGAGGGTGGGGGGTTCATGCTTAGAGCAGCTGTAAGCACCACTGCAGTCATCCGGACTTAAATACTAGATACTTAGCATAGTATGTGAGGACAGTACTGTATGTGATAAACAGGCACAGTACGGCACATCAGGCAAGTTCGGAGTCGCGGGTGTGACCCGATGCCTTATGCAGGATTGAGGCCTGAGGCATAGAGAAAG